ATTGGTAGTGTAGCGAACCTGACATAAAACAGAACATCTCTAGGACCCTAATGAAACGATGAGGTGCTTGACAAATATGTTTTTCACCTCCGCATTCTCTTAGTTCTGTAAAATTGTAGACTATAATTTGCAAAGTTTGGAAATTTAAGGAAAATTGCTGAGGCGTTTATGTACTAGTAAACGTTACTGGGTCTTTTTCAAATTTTCCAAAAAGGCTTTTTTTCCTACACCAGAAGAAAACCATAAAACGTTTGTATTATCCAGTCGTTAGTGCCTTTTGCAATTCTAATCGAACTATTTCAGAACTTACTCGTTCATCCCATCAAGCGATCTAGCTGTAATAGGGCGACACCGTGTCCTTGGCTGTTTCACTACGTATTTGTTATCGATGTCCCCGGTCCTGTTCTCTCTCCCATCCTTTTTACGGTATCATAGCTTAGAAATTTCTGTACTATATCTTTTTGTTGCAGTCTAGTGCAAGAATTTTGTCAAAATTTGGAACTACTTTATCCATGCAAACCGAAAGACTACGCCTCACTTCGTCAAATTTTCCAAAAAAATTCTTTGAAATTCAGGTCCTATAAAGGCTTATTTGCCACTTTATGCTCTCGTAAATTATGTGCAACTGGTTTACTCAATAGTTTCTACATACTAGTTCCACCAAAAAATAACTCTTCAACCATGGCTTGAAAGAAAACTAAGTGATAATTTACCTGCAAGTATATTTAAAACCCATATATAAGACTAGGACTTCATTCTTACAGTTCCTTCTACATCGGTAGAGCAGGGCTCGGCACGAGCTGGCACCAGGGAATTTTGAAAACGAAGTCCCCTTTGAAATTTGCCAATTTTTACGAAGTCCCCCTTGACTTTTGGGAAATTTTACGAAGTCCCCTTTGATCCTCAACGATATCCCCCCTAAAATCCTAAAAAAATCCCCAAAATCCCCCAAAAAACGAAACGTCGACTAAAAAAAAAAAAAAAAAAAAAAAAAAGGTCGCCGCCGCCAATTTTCCGTATGTCTTCGCCCACAAAAACGAAACCCCCTTTGCTTTTTGCCCCAAAAACGATATCCAGCTTGCCCCGTTCCAGCTGGTGCCAGGCCCTGCGGTAGAGCCTTTCAAGTGTTTCGAACTCTATAATTTTCACACACTATGTTGCTAAGGTTTTCCAGTATTTTCCTATTGTCTAATCTATCCTCAGTTTTGATTCTAGATTTTCTTACTTGTTCAAATTCCAACTCCGTACTGTCACAATAGAAAGTTCCAACTGTGAAGATTTATTTGCCATGAAAAAATTTCAAACTGGGAAATCTATTGGCTGCATAAAAAAGTCCTTCTTGGAAATTTTCTTCGTTTCCTCACTCCTACCCCTCGCATGCTTTTCATTCGCAGAGTATATTTTGTACAACTCTTTACCTATCTTTTGATTCAGGTTTCTGAGAAGAACATTCTTTCCGCAAACAATTTCTCGACAGTATGCTCAATTTGACATCGGCAATTATTTTCTTTATATTGTACTTCACACATGCTGGCACATCTTATCGTACACTTCTGAACGGAGAGAGATTTAAAGGCTTTCTTCAGGTATGTTTATTTAAATTTGCTTTCTACTAGTTACAACTAATAAAGCAGAGTCAGAACAAAAAACTTGTAGAGCGCTCGGCTCCGATAAAAGTGTGCTGAGTATCTTGCCAGGAACATCAATAACTTTTAGATTAGCAGTCTGCAGGGTACTGTTATTGCTGGGACATTTGATGTGCTCATAAACAGTGCATTCATCTAAATTCTTCAATTCCCTCAAGGACAGACGAGTCAACAATAAATTATGGCAAAAAGTTTGTGGAAAACGATCGCCGGCTCATTGCAAAGTAGCTGTTGAACGGATGATGTCGCAACTCGTTTCGGTTTCGATTACAGATAGTTTGAAGAAAAATAATAATTTTGTAATTGTCAGAGCTATGCAAAGAATTTGTCGGTGAGGTTGCAAGCGCTCATCATAAATTCATCTTAAGAGACGAAAAATGCTTTAGAAAAAACCTCTATTCACATTTAGAGGGCTGACTTGCTATTATCGGCTGATTTGCTATTATCATTGAGGGGAACTTGCCATGTTACTTATGGCTGAAGTGAAACAGGAAATATTGCAGTGGTCATTACACGCTCTGCGCGCACTTTTTTTGTAGCACAATATTATAATTGCCATTTTACACAAATATTTGGAATCAGCCTTCGCGAATAAAGTTTTTTAGCCTGATGTAATTGTTAGACAAGGAGAATTTTCTTAATATGACGACATTTTTTATTCAAGCTATTCTATAAGAATCTAAAGCTGTCGATTATATATCCAGTTAAGCATTTTTATTTTTATTTTTGGTTTGATAAAATTTTTTTTGTAAGATTCAGCATATACATATTGATGATAAACCAAGCAGAAATGGGAAAAAATAGGAAAGCAAAAAATACATGGGCCACTATGGTTAACTATGGTAAATACTCGTCATGGCCATTGAGGTTATTTGCGCCGAGGAAAATTACTCAATTTATATAGAAGGGTATTTCCACGTATTAAAGCGTATCTGGAGTGTCCCAAAAGTAAGTATAAATTTCAATAGGTAATAGCCTTGTCCCACAAAGTCTTTTGCTTAGCTCCAGATACCATCCAGTAGAACAGGTTTCAATCTACGTTGGAATTACTGTATAGAGTGAATCACCCAACTCTCTTCACTATGTAGGATTAGGGCAGGAACTTTGAAGAGGGCTTTGAGCCATTTCAACAAGCTGAAAAGTTTAATTAAGCCAACTGAGTCGCTGACTATGAATATGAAAATCGCATTTTTGTGTAAGGCATTTTCTCATAAGTTATGCTGAGTAACTTGCAATAACGTTTCAAGTGTTTTCAAAAATGTGAAAAACCATTTGAAACCCTTGAAGAACTCGTAAAAAGTTGTTTAGTAATTAGCACGTCTGAAAACGCTCTTCACAATTTTCCAGAATTTCTGGAACTTTTTCTCAAACGGACTATTTCATAAAGGCTCGTAGCTGAAATTTCTTACCGTAATCCTACAGTAATGAACAGCTAAGGAATTTGCTTTATACTGTAAATCTAATGAAGCCTGTTCTACCCAGTGGTACTTAAAGCTAAACCAGAGAATTTGCTAGAAGGGATTTAATAACGATCAAAAAGTGTGTACTCACTTTTGGGACACTTTGTAGAAACAATAATCAAATATGAACTAATTTAATATAAAATCTGTAAAAACAGATTTTATAGCTACAATAAAATAAAAGATTTTTTTAGCAAATTATGTTCTACTACCTATGTTATTTGCTCGATCAAAAATCAATAAACTATTGATATTTATGATGCTCCTCTTTTTCCAAGATTTCGCAGTATGAAAACCCTTAGTTGCTAGAAAATAGTTTATTTAAGGAGGTAAGAATTGCTCTAATAGAAAGTCAAAGCGAGCGACCATCATGCTTAGTCTATAAAGTAATTACTCATCTAACTAATATATATTTTTCGTAGTTTCACTGAAAAGGCGAAATTACAATAAAGTTGACACTATCTATATAATTTTTGGCTCTCCCCTTTTTTCTGAATGTGGGCCATTATAGCCTAAACAAATGCTATGCAATGCGAGATGTCCTTTCTATCTTGTACGTTTTAGGTGTTTGCTATGTTTTAAGAGCGCTCAAGGCCACATTGCCGTGTAGCCACTTTACCAGACATTTTATTACATAAAGGTGCTTCAAATCCCACAGAAAAGGAAAATTGTCGGTGATTGATCTGTGGTAAAGTCTCTTTTTCTGTAGAACAGAAAAATAGGGTAACAATGAAATAGCTGAGTATAGTCATAACAGAAAAATTCATGCATGAGCATATATGATCAATGAGTCATCATCTCACTAGCCATTTGTGTAATTGCACAACTTTGGCATGTGCAGGGAATTCCAGTAGTGGTATAGTCGTCCTCACCCCACTAGTCGGTCGGTGGTCGAATTCAAATTCGAATTGTAGCAGGCTACCCGCGGCAGAGCGCGGCAGACCGCCCCTCAGCCAACCGCTTGTACATGAGCTTTCGTCTTGATTTCTTCGTGTTTCTTTGCTGTCTCTCGTACTGCGGCAATGTTCTTGATCATATTTTTGGTTTTCGTACAGCTAACTATTGTTTTATGCAATTGTACTTGTTTGTTTTACATTTTTTCAGGTAAACCGGGAAGAATAGAGATTTTTGGATGAGAAATATCTTTACCGGTAAGTGAAATAGTCACAAATGTGATTTGATAAGTTTGTGATGTTTGTGTCAAGTTTTTCATTAGAATTCTAGACTATTTTTTGAGACAGGGCTGAAATCCTCTCAAAAAGTGTTTGTTTCAAAGAGTTAGCGGTACGAAATCTAAAAATCTGATCAAGAACATTGCCGTAATACGAGAGATAGCAAAGAAACACGAAGAATATAAGAAAAAATCTCATGCAGGCGGTTGGCTGAGGGGCGGTTTGCCGCGCTCTGCCGCGGCCGGCTTGCCCCAGTTCAAATTCAAATTCGACCACCGACCGACTAGTGGGGTGAGGACGACTATAGAAACATCGTAAAAATAGCAGAGAACGACATGATGATTCGCAAGAATCAAGAAGAAGCCCATATACTGACGATATCGTCTTGCCAGTGCAATCCAAAAAGTAGTGCAATCACACAACAGTAAGCGACTGATAGAACGACGACAATCACAAAGTGAACACTTCTCAAAAATGAAAAAGCGATTTTCTTGTTTTTGAGGCTTACGTTTGTCATGCTGAAACGAAACTAAAAATATTAGGCTCTTCATTTTTTAAAATTTTCCTGATGAGGAATACACACCATTAATCACATCCATTTCTCCTACTACATCTTTCTCCGTCGAAGTAAATTTGTTAAGGTCTCTCCACTCGGGCATGAACAGTATGTGGTGTCCTTCACCGTTAATCAGTCTGATGGTGATGTTAGATGGGGAGTTTACATGTCTTCGGCTCCCTACGATATGGCTATGATTACGGAAAACTGCAAAAGAGCTAGAAAAAGTCCTTGCCTCATGAGAAATCTTACACTCACGGACAAGACTGTGACAGCATGGCAAATTATTGGTCACACTATTGTCCTCACTCGGGGAACAGAGGTATATTAGATTGTGTTCTTTCTAGTGTAGCGGACGGTTGATGCGGTGCCCCTGCGGTACTCACAACATTGGCGCGTAAAAGTTCAGGGAGCGCACGCGCCTCATGTCCGTTTTTTCTCAAACAAGTTACCTCTCCGCAATTTCTCACCATACCAACCGCATCTACGCTGATTCCGAGATTAGAAAAGGGGGAGGGGTGTTGGACATCTTTGTATTAACGATTTTTTTAGACAGTTGCATGTGCCACAATAATTTTGCCCGGATTGCCCCTTATGCGAGCATCTTTTCATAGCCCTCCTGTTGAGGGGCACATTCATGTTATTCCATTTCTTGATATGGTTTGTTAAATCATACTTGTATTGTTTCAACATGCATGGCTAACTTTAGGTTCGAATTTTGCCCGATTTGAAATATTCTCCCGAATACGAGGATGAAGAGCCTCAAAAGGCTTTGATCGAATGGGCTTTCTCCATGTCTTGCGATGGAAATCTAACTGTTCCGGACGAAATGAATGGAAATGAATTGGGTGTTGACTCTAGATCAACAATCACAATCGGTAAGAATCAACAGTCATTAATTTTCTGAACTGTTCTTTGATTCGCAACGCAAAAGTTGTAATTTACATCCATAACAATTTTGCATAATGCACCAGAATCACGAAAAACATTCTTTTGAAAACCAAAATATAATTTTTCTGCTTTCCAGAGATCAACAAGAATTTTACCTATCGTGCACTAACATTATTCGTAAATGGCGAAAAGTTCGCCTGTTCTCCAATAACAAATGTTGAAATTCGTCATGTCAAACGTGGCTTGTATATTCTCTCACAGGTTTGTTTTGGGTACATGGTAACAAATTTATTATGTTTTTCTCTTTTCGAATTCTTGAGCAATTGAGATTACTACAATTTAGTAGATTTGTTAGCTGTTGTGGTGTTCGTGCGACGCCGACAATAGTTGCGCGTGAAATCGGCCGTGGGGCACAAGACCAAGAAATTTGCTCATTGCCATTCTTTACACGCAAATGTTGTCTTCACCGCAAGTGCATCATCTGCGTCAAAGTTACTTGACTATACGTAGTCACCAATAGATCTTTTTTCTTTCAGGCTCATTACTATGAGCCAGTTCGTTCGGCCTCGGATTTCGACATGGGGACGCTTCACATAAGGTAGATCCCATACAAGTGAGCATACCTTAGTCTCTACTTGATGAATCTTATAATGTGGACTGCTCCAGGTTTTCAGGGATGACTGCTTGGATATGTCAACTGAGACTGTGCACAAAAATTTCGAAAAATTCTATCCGACCATCAACATTTTTGGGCCAGAAACCGTCGCACTAAAGGTCTGTCAGTGACATCTGTTCGTGGCGGGAAATTTGAATGCTGTTTTCAGTCACTTGTTGCTGATAATTCATGTGGTCCTTTGCGGCCTCAGTTTCCACGACCGGCTGCAACGGCTACGTTCATGTATCCTGTAGTTGGAAGGTTTGTTTATAAAATAGTTCAGTGGTTAGTCCCAGACGAAGGCGTAGCCCATATAAGCTAAGCGCGCGCAAACGCGGTACGCGAGCGGTCGTCTGCCTTTATGCGTGCATCAAGCTCCATCGATGACAAGCGCCGCATCGGCGTCTTCGCATCCGCTTCACGACAATAAACCATCCGCTTTCGTCAGGAGCTAGCCTTCAAAATTTGCCACCATTCGACTAGTCCATAATTTGTAATTTCAGATTGGTGTTAGTGGACATGGATGACAGGATTTTACTTACTGGTGAATTGCGTCAAATACATGAAGATGGTGCCAAACGAGCAACTGTCCAGGTAATGCCAAATCATGCCAAATTTTTCTTTAAACGAGGAGATTCGACTTGGGAAAATTATTTTTTGGGTGACACGAATTTACAACCGATTATCCAGGTATCAAGTGAAGAGATGGGTTCGAAAGGATGTCCACAGTGTCCTAATGGAGAAAAATGTCGAACAATAGAGGATGCCGCGATTATTGTAGGGAAAGATGAGCCTCCAGGTTTGATCTGCAGTTTCGGTTTTTTCCCATTTCTAAGTGATATACAGGGTGTTTAGAAGTTTCTGATCTAGATTACTTAATTCTGACGCTTTTTTTGTTTTGTTGTGCTCTTGATTTTTTGTGGGCTGAACAAAACAATAAAGCTTTTCACGCCTTCTTTCTCGAAATGTCTGTACGGGAAGTAAAACATTTTTCACAGGACACTTTGTACACTATCTGAGACCACTTTTTCTGGTCTGTATGTGATTAATTTGTTTTGAAAAATCGTCCCTCAAAAGACAAGAGTTCTAGTTCCATCTCCCTTCAAGAGACCCATCTCCAAAATTTTTGTGATTTTTTTTTCACTTTGCAAGACTGCAGACCTTCTGAAAAGGAGCGCAATGATAATTAGAGGGTTCTGCTACAATTGCACATTGGAATTTTCTTGATAGTAGATTCAAAAATGCAATATTTAGTAACTCTTGCTGGTGTCTTTCCATGGTTTAAACTAGCCAACGCCCGTACAATGATTGTTGATCTTCAATGGACAAAGGTGGTGTCATTTCCAAAAAATCAAATTCCTAGATTTTCATGTTCAGGTCTGTGCCAATGTCACTTTGTTGATGTCTGGAGCACTATCGGCACATGCGCTTATTCGACAGATTTCTGCATATTCAGCACCTGTGGTTGCTTCTATTGTTGTTTTGGAGTATCCTGCCAACAACTATACAGAGGTAGAGCTGTCAACAAACCTAGGCACTTTGGAGCAAATATTTTGAAATTATCCGGCCATGACACGAAGAAATGGCGCGTTCAAATTTAGCGCGCAAAACGCACAGTGGCGCGGCATGCCGCACGTTGGAGCGCGATTTATTCAGTCTGCCGCATCTGTAGAAATTAGACAATGAAAACAGACAGTCAGAAGCATGCTACTTATTTCAACGGGCAACTTAAGAATACATCAGAACTTTCAGTACAATTTTAGCACGAAAAAACGTCAAAGTTGGGGCACTAGTAATTTTAAAAAATTGTTGCATTTGATTTGACTTTTCCGCCGTTTTAAGTATAATAAAAATTCAATGCTTTGTATTCTCACAACTCTACTACTACAACAAACACAATGCTATTTGCTTGTCACTAATTATAGAAGATAATCGCTGCTTTACCCCTTTTGGCCTTGTTTCGGAACATTCGATTGAGAAATGCATTTCATTAAAGTAAAATCGACTTAACAATTATGATGCCTGGCTTCAGCATCAGTCCAAGAATACAACTATTTAGAAAAAGATTCAAGTTTTAAGGCCCTTGTCAACAAGCACAAGGTATTTTCTGGGGTAACAGCACATGCAGTACCAGTCGATATGTCCATAACGGAGAATACACCCTGTGATGTCAAAAGTCTCGGCCCGAGCAAAGAGGTTCGTTCAAAACTTTTATAGAAAAATAATTAGATATAGTTGGCAAAAAAAATTCAAATAATTAATGTACAAACATGCTAAACATGCTGCTTCTAAAGTCGACTGCACGAATTAGCCCGGATCGCTGTAGGCGGTACGGCGAGCATGCCTGCAACGCGGCTGCCCTGTACAGGAGCTATGATGACTCATGCGCACGAATGCCAATGTTAGCTCGCCAGAGACACGCGCGCGGACGTTCAGTCCGGGCGATCCCGTGCAGTCAACTATACCAACAGTACAATTGCGCTCCTAATTCTTGGAAAGAAACGGATTGCGGAATTTTTCCGTCGCGGTGTATTTAATGTAAAAAAAACGTCGGGATGCTATAACTTTTTTTAAACTAGTTGAACTCCAAAGAAATTGAGAACATCACTACACTACTGAGAATCTAGCGAAACCCGAAACGAAAAACGAAACGAGACGAAATTTGAAACGTTTGTCACTACTTTAAAATTGCTCTTATTTGAGCTGTCGCGACGTATATGTCGCGAGAAAACCGTCGCACTGGAATAAGTTGCTCGAACATAAGTTCCATGGACTCACGAATAACTGTTTAGATTTTTGGCACGATTGTGCCGGAAAAATTTATCGCGATTCTTTTTTTTTCCCAAGAGTTAGGAGCAGTTGTGTTTATTGAGTTTCATTAAACGTTCGAGATTCACCATAGACGCTGAGACAAATGATGATGTCAATTTTTGTTAATTTTAGAGGAATTGATAATTCTGTCTCATATTTAAGTTACTTTTTAGATGTCAACATCATCCTTGCCTGTCTTTTTTTTTATTCAAGTAAATCTTTTCAGAAGTGGTGGATTCAACGACTAGCCGCAATCCTCAGCGGTGAAGACAACGATACGACGTTCGTAAGGATTATATAATGAATAAAAATTTTCCTTACGAAATATTTTGAGTCCACTCGGCTAAATCAGCACAATTTTTCCTAATAAAACTGTTTTGGCGCATCCACATTATCTTCTCCGAAATTTTATCTTGTAAAACAATTAGCAAAAAAACTATGCTTTATTTACAAGCAAGATTTGTGCCATGTAGTGGGCCCTGCGGTGGCGACAGCATTTGCGCGTAGATAGATTGCAATGCAGGTGATTTCGAAAACTTGCACTTGTAATAAAATCGTCATGGGGCGCAATATCCGAATTTTGCGGCTTGTGACCATCGATTCACGCGCAAATGCTGTCGGCACCGCAAGGGCACTTTATGAACTGCCGAAATAGCTTGTCCGTAATCCTGAACTAGTTTGAAGCAGAGGGCCGCTTCGGTTACGGGTTCTATATAATTAACATGGCTTTGGCATTCTTGAAATATCTTAAACTTTCCCTTACGAGACGCAATAACGTAAAAAGTTTGCGGCGTCGTTAAAATGAACAACAAAAGATTCAAATCGTTTGTTTTAGAGTCATTATCGGATCCAAACAACTAGTCACAGGGCCTGACAGTGTATTGGGAATATCAGTGCAACTTCGTGAGAAAAATGCTATCTCTTGTGGCTATTTTCAACCACTTACGGAAAAAGTAATTGCTGTCGCAAAGTTTGAGAACGTCTCACTTGGCTATGTGAAATTGGTGAGGACAACTTTATTCCTCAATTACTGCAATAATTGAGCGTGTTTAGACGCAGCATGGAACTTCAAACTGGGCAGCTGGAATTCCAACAGAAGTTTATTATTCATTGATTAAAGCAAACGGGTCTAGTGGCAATGGAACCAAGGTATTTTTGGATTCACTTTTTGCTTTATTTCTAAAACAAAGGCGCGCTAAAGGCACTGTCCATCCAGATTCTTGAATTCAATGTTTTGGTTGTTTCAGAGCCTTTTCATGTCCCTGATATGAAGTCGGGAAACCGCAAAAATTCCGACAATCACCGTTCCGGGAAACCCGCAGACCTGTCCTCTGGAACGGTGATTGGATGGGCGCGCAGGCATGGGCGGGCATTACTGGAGGGGGCGGTGCCGACTCTGGGTCCACATGGCTCTTCGCTGTTCCGAAGCGATTTTCTTACTTCAGAAGCGACATTTTGCGCCGCGACTTAAGCATAGGCTCAATAGGGGGTCCTACTATCGTAAACTGCCAAAAATCCAAGATCCCTAACTTAGGGTGGACGGTGTTTGATCGTGCGGAACTCCAAGTGAAGCTTTTGTGGAAGCTACGAAATAGCATCTACACGCCAACTGGGCTCGCGTGCATTTTAGCGCACCCGCTCCAGTTCGGATCCGGATCCTGACACTCTGAAAATGACTGAAAAACATGCATTTAGATTGAACTGGATTGGGAGTTTGTAACGACGGATAATATGTGCTCAAGCGCACCGATATATGATCCATTCCACTTGAATGTAAGTCCTCAAAATGTGCTCACTCTTGCCGTTCATACTCTATCCCGCTATAGGGAACCTTTTGCTCAACCGACAAGACCCTCTGTGCGATTGGGGATGCCGCGAGAAAGTCACGACCGCTTGTTCAACAAACAAGGCAGCATTTCGTAGTCAGCAATCTTCCACTTTCTGGACCTTACTCTGGTAAGAGTTTTGAGATGCATCAATCTGCTTATGTTGAGCTAGGGTTTATGCGAATATCTAGGCGAAGTCTTAGTCCTTCTCTGCTTCTTAGTCTAGAGGTTCACTCCGAATTTTTATGCAATGCATCGACCGTGAACTATGATCACAGTGAAGTCAAGTGATTTGTAATGCTACTTTTTATGGCGTTTTAGTCAGAGTTTTCGACCAACACATCACGACAATACGACCCACCGGTGGGTCGAACGTGTTCTATTTCGGACGGTACGACCCACCGGTGGGTCGTAAGATTCCTGAAGCTCTAGGTTTGCCAGTTTACGATGGAATTTCGGGGTTCTGGCACATGGTTGGGGACACTTAGGCGGCTCCAGTCAAAGTGGTTCTGGGCTCGGGATACTGTAATGTAATGTTACGGTAGGTATACCGTAATTAGAGATATGGCACAGACTTTAGATCAAATCCTTCGCGGAAAGTGTACATGCACGAGAAACACGGGAAGAGCCAGAGACTGCTGTTAGCCCGTCAAAAAATCATTGACTATATTGATTTTATTGATTTTTTGCATCCTCCGTCCCAGCAAGGTCACACCTTACATATATAGCTTTTGTAGCTGCTGATTTGTAGCTTGATAGTCCCAAGCCCCAGTACACGCTTTTATACATCAGCTTCTTGACTTTTACGAAAATTCTACCGTACTGTTATCGTAGCCCCACTATGAGACACTAGTAAACAAAGTGAACTCTTTAATCCTGATCAGCACGTGAAATGACCCCAAAACACAATTTTAAATGAAAATCTATGATGTTAGGTTCATACAGAATGACTACTGTGACCTTACCGTATAAGGCCAAAAACTGAATCAAATCATGTTTTGACAATCAGCGCCTTCGATAACCCCTCTGAGGAAATTCTCGAGGACATGTTTTAAACATTTTCAAAAATACTACCATTTCGGACAATATGACCCACTGGCGGATCGTAAGCTTGAAAAAGCGATGAAGGCTCTGGTCCAAAAAAGCAGTATTTGAAAAATTAGCCTTGTCGTGAATGTGTTAAACTAGCAACGCAGAGACGCTTGCAATCTTACCGTAACCTTACTGTAACTGCGAGAACTAGGCGCTACATCTCAGCTAAACTGGCAGTGGTGCCATATGTAGTTTGTATGATGGGACTCAAAAAGGCTTAGAGTAATTACCAGCTGATATGTATTGCTACAACATTCGCAGAGTATAAGCAAAGTTCCACTAAAGATTTTGCGAGTTTAGAAATGAAAATGCTGTCTTGACTTTATAGCTGCATAATCTTGTCAACAACGCATGGCGCAATTGAGACATTCAGAAAGGACAACCAGATAAGTGCTATTTAACATATTTTTGCAGTTTTGAAGACGTTTCTGAGAATAAAAAGAAGAGTGGATAATCGAACGATTGCTGAATGTGCTCCTCTACGGCGATTTTCTGAGGTATGTTAAAATCATGTTCAGCCAAGACATATGCGTATTAGATTTGATATCCTCGAGAATCAATTCAAGCAGGGATTTCTATATATAATTGTATTTTAGTATTATGTAGCGCGTATGCACATGTGCGGAGCATTTGCGGGGGTGGAGTTTGCCATTCTGAATATTTTTCTTCACTTTATATCAGTTTATAGTTGCATGAAGGTACAATACTCTAAATCATAGAATGTAAACCACTTACAAAACCGCTCTTGGAGACCCAAAAATCCTACTTGTGCAAATCCGCTTCTTACCCGGAACTAATTTTTTCTTTCCAAACTGTGCAAATTATAGAAAAACATTTTTACTAAAATGTAAAAGAAACAATTGGCTAAAGCGTAGCACTTTTTAGAAAAATGCTTTGTTATGTGTTTGAAGAACTTGAGACATTTAGTACTAGTAACAAATGCCGTGCCTGAACTATGAGACTCTGTTTGTTTTAAGTACAATATTCATATTATGAATTCCTTGCACTCAGCTTTGAATTTCAGGCCACATTCCGCTGGATAGCTCCATCAAATTCCACATTGTCACATTTGCAATCACTGATTGCAAAAAAATTAAGGCTCGACAGTTTTCAGGTCGGAATAGAAGTAAAATTCTTTCGCCAAAGTACAAACATTAGTTCAGGTACAATTCGATTACACCAGGGTCTCGTACAAAAGCAAATGCAACATTTATCGCGTTACTGTTCTGGGTAAGAGGTTTTCTTTGAAAGGGGTGTGGTGCGGAGCGACGATTTGAATCTCGCGCCCAAAACGTTTGGAGGCAAAAAATAGGTTGTGGTCCATGATTTGGCGATAAGGCAAGACTGGGCGTATCATTGGTCCTGTCGTGTTTTGCACATTTTTTTCGCCCCTCCCTCGCTTTATTACTTTGCTATAATAATTTTGCAATTTTCCAGAGGAGGACTGGCGGCTTTCCGAAATGCTCCAAATGTTCAACGTCGAGCAGAAAAAGTTCAAAGCGGATGCAGACTTCGATTGTGGCGAAGACACGAATGGATCTCAGACCTCTAGCTCTTCATCAACAGCTTTTTTTATTCTTTCTTACATGGTGCTCTTAAATTCTTAGGATAGCGCCCATTTCACTTTTAAAATGATACATACCTCCCAAGCTTTCGGTGAGCGTTGTGGAATGAATGCCCTTCTTCAGTACGCTATAAGTTATGTAATTAAATGTTTAAGAACATTTATTTGTAGTTCTGAAGCACTCACATTGTATAGTAGCAAGTGGCTTCGAGTAATAAAGAAACTCGTAAAGATTTTCCATTTGTTTTTTCGTTAGTAAAGTTGCACTTTACACTTTATGAGCAGTTGCGGACAGATTTCCACTTACTCAAGAAAAATCATGCATGCTCGTTTACGCGAAAATTAAGAGAACGAGATGTTTGTTTGAAAATCTTCTTTTTTCTACACAAAGTATGACTCATAGCTTACTCATTTAGCTCTATTTTCAGGGAAACTATAGTTACGAACATACACAAACGAAGTCAAACAAAAAGTGTGACTGACTCGTGCGCCACCAAAAAGCAACTGTTTCCTGGCTATTTATTGAAATTTGAGTCATGTAACTGTAATTCGTTTTTGGGAAGACATTAGAATTTTCCATATGGTTTTGTTTTGTTTTGAAAATTTTCAAAGTCCACCTATTTAATCTGCGAAGAGCGGCGCACCAAATTGGTGTACTTAGAATTTTCAGTTTAGATATTCTCTTCTTTGTATAAAATACTCAAAAAAGTACAGACTGCAATTTTGTAAAACACCACCTCTCTAGCTTGCAGCTCGGATACTGTATTAGAAACGAGGATTTTTCGCTCAACTGTAAAATTAAGCTGAAAATTACTATCGATTTGTCCAAATTTGAATTTGCCATGGCTTTCTTAAGCGTGTTTTCATTGATGCAGCATTTACATTTTTCTGCACGTTTGGAATTAACACGCTTTGGCAAGAGTGTTAGAAATATTATTATGTCTGCCTCATATCAGAGATTTTTTGAATAAAATTTACTTTATTTGATTCATCTACCCACGTTGTAACATCATGAATAACAAACCCGAATTCATTTCAGCTCTAAAAGGGGATTTTTTAAGTTAAAAGCGCAGGAATAACAAAACTTTAACAAGGGTGATGATTGTAAAATTATGTTGAGCGATAGAAGAAATACCATGAATTTAATAATAAATTTGGTACGGCACAAGGCACCTTGTGAGCAATGCTAAAAAGAAAAAAGAGTTTGTTCTCTTCTCTGGTTCGAAGCAATTTGGGTTTTTTGGCGCTTGCGTATGTTCTAGAAAATCTCGAGATACACTCGCAAAATGATGTCTATGTGTATGTATAGCATGCAAAAACTATTCATAAGCTTTTAAGTCTGGCTTTTCCCTAAGCTTTACACAATTTATTTACTGCTAGCTGCAAACATGTTTCGTAAACTTGCAATAACTAAATTACAGACTTGGGTAGTCATATCCGATATGAATTATGTTGTTACAAACAAATTCTTCGATTAATGAGTCTGCATTCCTCAGCAAAAGACAGCTAAACGATAATTTGCTTCTGTATCGTGACCGAGCAGAAATAACGCTTGGTCAATTTGGCTGTTGATAAAGTGTTCTTGCGGAGCCGACAACGTTCGCGCGTAAAAACGGCCATATTACGCAAAGCTTAGAAATATGCGCTGAATGACAATTCGTTACGATCAATTTTTTCCTCGCAAGTGTTGTCAGCATTGCAGGGGCCTACATTTCTTTTCTAGACCATACATATTTTCAGAAAAAAAGGGAAGGTTTGTTCATCGTCCTTGACCAACTAAGTAAGTCTGACACCTATGATATTGATCGCAAGTAGGGAGCGAAGTTTTTTTTGGTATTTTTCCGTTATCCGGACCCATTCTTTCGAAGAGGTATATTGCTTCTTCCCTTGTACCATATGTGGTCCCATTTTCACAGGAAGGAGTGTCAACCTTCCTGCCACGTGTCAAAGAATTTGACATGTCATTTACATGTTTAACTGGTTTAACCGAGCGTTTGAGATGCTCTACCTAGCGACGTAAGTTCAATCTGTTTTTCAGTCAATAATGGCCCCATTTTCGATTGAACAGTATCAAAAATGAAAATTGTTATCATGATAACGTCGATATTTTATAAAAAAAAAAGATTAAACAAAAGTGGGCTAGGGTCCCATCATCTAAGTGAGGAAACAAGCAGCACCGAGGAACTCCAAGCCATCTTGTATAGTCTCGTCTGGCTAAATTTGCATGGCGAAAAGTTTGAAGAGAAAGACAATGCTGAATCAATGCTGAAAACAATCCAGATGTTCTAGTATAAGTCACAGATTGTTTTGCCCTCACAGAAAACAATTAAAACAGCTTCTAGATAATCGCAAGCGCTCTTTTATCTCACCAGAAATAATTTCGAAAAAACATGTCAAAATGGACCAGAACGTATCAATACTTTCCTGACACGTGGCAGGAAGGCAGTCCTCCTGGAATCTATGAAAAATTGTTCTCAAACTGAAGAACATATTCTGTGAGTATTTTTTGAAAAAATGGGTCCGGATAACGGAAAAGTACCGTTTTTTTTTCAGAAAAAACATGATTTTTTATCATCGCGCGTCTATGCGTTCTTTTTTGGTACCTTCATTACCCAGTTGACCGCTTCACTATCTGCCAAACAGGAAACCTTCACTGAAAAAACGCAAGTGTTTTTTTCGTTTCGACAGCAGCTGAAAGCCAGGACAAAAAAGGCTGCCATAGAAATTTCCCCTCAAAACACGGCACTTTGTCATGAAAAACTCGAAAACGAAGATTTGGACTTCGATTTCGGCAAAATGACTCTGAGTTTTGGAAAACTACAATCTTGCCGTTACTTGTGCTAAAGTAATCTGCCCAGCCACGAAATTTCGTAGTAATTGAGGTGTAACATATTTTTAAGATGGGGGATAGCTGGCTACCCGAATAACAGCGCGCTTTGCGCCCGTTACTTAGTAACCATGGCATGTGCAGATATCCTTCCAGGTCAGCTTGACCCACGATGCACCTCAAGCGGTTATTTTTACAAGGATTTCGATTTCAACATTTGAATCGTATAGTTCTATCTATCTACTACCTTATTCACATCATCTCTGCGCAATCACCATGCGATGGTTTGTTCTTTTTCCCTTCAGATTCAAGTTCCACTTCACCTGTTCTTCATAGATTCGTAATTGAATCCCTTTTTTAGGAACTACTCAGCTAAATGTAACTCGTACAAAGCAGTACCTCACCACGCCTTTTTACGGTCAAGCTAATTATCCTCCAAAAATGGATTGCTTTTACGTATTGGTGGCGGAACCAGGCAACAGGATATTGGTAGAAATACTGAATATGGATATGGAAGCGCAAATATTTCGCTCTTGCCTTGATTATATCGGGTTTTATGAAGGTAAAAAACACTAAGTCAATTTTCGTAGCTTGAGAAGTCATTCATAGTAATACCTGCTCTGTGGCATAACTACTCGATTCCTTTTCATCGAAGCTTTATCTACGTTTGATGTTCAGAATTCAGGTTTAGGTGTTAGGCTCAACAGTCTCAAGCCAAAAATCAGTGAAGATTCCTGATATCGCAACGTTGTCTTTACTGCGGTTTTTGCACCAAAATACTAAAGAAATCTGTTGAAGTTTTGTAAATGATTGAGAGATGAACGAATGGCAGCAGCCCCGCTTTTTCACATTTTGTCAGTTTTATTGATAAGCATTTTTATGGTTGATGGTTCGTCCAAATTTGTTTAGTTTTTCGTTTCGAAGAAGCCACACCATGTTTTCTAGTTATTTTGCTTTCGAACTAAAAATGGTCAGAAGTGGTTGTTCAAACGTTAAAAGTTTAGTAATTTCATACAAAATCTCAGGCTACCAAGCCATCGAGTTTTCAAACAGTCTCAATTGAGCGGATGAATCGAATTTACGCATTTTTCGGGAGTGAGTCAAATTCGAAATTTTAATGGTCCAAAAAACAAACAATGCCGCTCTCCTGAATCAAATACATCAAGCCGAAACCGTATAGATCAATAGGAATTTTCCCATAAACAATCTGGGTACAGTTTCGGCTCGATGTGCTTGATTCAGACTGAGAACGGCTTTGTTTTTGGTTTTCCGACCCTTGGATGAATTTGACCCACTTCCGAAAAATGCGTAAACTTTCTCCAGTTCGCTTCCGAAAATCAAACTGTTTGCATATATCTGTGACCTACCACATAATCTCCATTATGCCCAAAAATGAATGCGTCTCAGCCAAAAAGAGAAGAGTTACGAAATTAGTTGCAAAACTTATGTGTTAACCTAATATTAAAAGTAGAGATTGACGAAAATCTTTATCAAGGAAATCTCATTTTAAATTTGCGCTTTTTAAACTGAAAGGAACTGCTACTGATTGTGCTTGATGCTTATAGAATCACCGAAAATAAGGAAGTAGTTTTTTCAGGCAAACAAGAGAGATATTCGCGGCCATATTTAACTTTCTGTGGGCAGCTCCAAAATAGACAGGTGTTTCTCATTATTTTACAGAAATTATTCAGACAATTATAAGCATTCAGGTCACATCACAAGGTTCATCTTTGACGATTCGATTTTTTTCTGACGAAATTATTGAGGGAAAAGGTGCGAAGCTCACCTACGAGGCAGTGGGTGAGTATTATATGGAATTACGATGTTTATGTTATTTAGTCCTATCAAACGTATTCTCACAAATATTGGTGTATATTATTGACATGTTAGTGTTCTTGGAGATTCTTCCTCAAGTTTATAAGAAAATTCTTCATTGACTGTACGTAAACGGTCCCTCACAACTAAAACATTTCTTTCTGCGACAATAAAAAATGCTTAACTAATTCAAAGTCCCTCTTTTGGCAATTAAAATCATTTGCTCATGCTACGTGTTATGTCAGGCCCCCTGAATTTCATATAGCAATTTTTGAAATTTTACAAAAAATTTTACAAAAAAACGATCTTTGTCGGGCGTGCATTTTGCCAGTTTTGCTTGTTCATTTTTGAGAATGTAATTCGAGCATAATTCGAGTACTTATCTTGAATTCACGGTCAATTTCAGCATTCGGGGAATGCGATGCAGGATGGCTGAGCAAGGAGGATGGAAACTGTTACCGATATGTGGAGGCATACCCAAGGGTTGGCTGGGCGGAAGCACAGGTGCTTGCGATTTTTGCATGTATTTCTCCACAAAATATTAGGTTGGAAACTAAGTTTTGCAACTGGTCTCATAACTTCCTTCTCACTCAACATGGCGCACTCAAATTTTGCCACTGCGTTGGTTATTACGTAAGCTACAAGCGCAGCTGCTGTCCTACCAAATTCTGACGTCGCACTGAGGGTTACGGTAGGTGCATGGTAAGAAGGGGAAAATTCAAAGTTTGACGGATCTGGCTGAAACTTGGCATAGGGGTGTTATCCAACATGCTGATCACGAAAACGATAGTGAAATTGCGTGATAAGGGCTTTTTTGTAGGATTACTATAGGTGTACGATATGGGGACTCACCCTAAACAAGGAAAAAGGCGTTGATTCAACAAATGAATGTGATATTCGCGTTTGGCAGGTCAAATAATCTCACTATGTAAAGTCTCGGCGGAATTTGAGCTTCGGACTCTTTAGTCATTGACGGTCGTCCACAGCACCTCTTGCGTACATCGACTCGTTCGACTTTATGAGGACGCCAAATCTCGACATGCCCCTAAATTTTGTTTCTTTCTTACTAGGCCAAAGAAGTCAAGCTCCAGCAATAATTTGTAGACGAATTCGGATTACTGCGCATGGTCTAGGCTGCCAAAGGCTTCATTTTAGCTTGAAACCCCAAAAATTCACAAATTTCACTAGTTTTCGAAAAACGCCTGAAACTTTTCTATTTCGTGTTCAAAATTTAGACAATTTGTGCTCACGTGTAGCCAACATTGCCTTCTACATAATGCCAAAGTTTGAGTGCGCCATATCCAAAGAGAGTGGAGTTATAAAACCAGTTGCAAAACTTAGTTTCCAGCCTAATAATATTTTATCAAATTTTGACCTTAGTATACTGTATCAAACATTTTCATTTGGCCAAACTCATGCAGCCAGCTTTTTTAGGAGCAGTGCAGTCAGATGCAGTCAAACCTCGCACAAATACGAGACGAACGGGACTTCGAGTTTTTAGACAGTGAGTTGTACATTTTGTTTGACCGTAGACTCTACCTAAAAATGAGTATAGTATGTTTTTTTGTCTAATTATGAGATAAGTAAATTAAGGGCAGTTGGTACAATGCTTTTGCGATGTCGACAACACTCGTGCGTGGGAGAATGGCTTTGGGGCATTTTTGGAATTCTGCGCTCCATGGCGATTTTTCCGCCTAAGTGTTGTCGGAACTGCAAGGGAACCAAGAGTTCTATATGAATCGTTAATTCAGCTAAGCTATAGTACGACTTAGGCGTTATCCTAATATATTTTCAGAAGCATATGGTCACTCGTCAGCCCATGCATGGATTGGATATACGGATGCAGATGAGGAAGGGAATCTGAAGGGTGTTGACAGCAAATCAAACGCTATTTGGCCGTAAGTTTAACGATGTTATGGCTCTTTTTTCCCTGACTTTTTCAATAAGGTTACGAAAAAAATACACCGTAGTTATTTCTGTTTAGAAAACCAGCTTTGTCGAATAATGCCGATGTTCGCGATTGTCTTTACCTGGACTACTCGCACTCTGGCGATGAATCGTATCAACTGGCGGATTGTCGCACGAAGCAGACATTTATCTGCCAGAAGCACAACAGTAAGACCATCTCACACCTTTTACCTTTTACTGCTATGTTATTTCTAAATTACTTTGTCGCCTAATCATCAACATTGGATTTGAGTACTGCAACCTGTGTTCGCTTGTAAGAATAACCAAAATCAAACAATTCGGCTAAACTGTTCCTCAGAGATTCGCTCTAGTAAATTTTCTGGTTGTTTACCATGCGAAAATGGCAAATTGCGCAACACTCGAGAATGTGTGCTTAGTAGCCATTTTTCACGCCCAAACGTTGTCTGCTCCGCAAGTGCACTACTTCGATTGTCTAATTCGCTAAGCTATAAGCTGCGCTAAAGACATCTAATTAACATCAGTGTCTTACCATTTTTACAAATTTTGTCAAGAAACTTATATGCAGTTATCTTACATTATATATGTGTTTAGACTGGTCTACAGTAGCTGTTGAGTCTCAAAAAGACCGCATACGAAGGGGGTCACTAGAGACGAGCACTGGAAATACAATCTGGCTTCTCATTTTGGTTCTCCTAATTCTTCTGACGATTTTGCTCTGCATCGCATTCCAGGGTGAGCTATTCTGACCCACCCCTTCAATGCTTTAAAGCGAAATTTTGTTTTAGCTTGTTTGAAAAAGCGAGATCGAAATCGTGTGTCGAGCTCGGAAAGCAATCGCCTAGTTCATGGAAGCGAGAGTGGTCCTGTGCATGTGAACGAAATGCCAGTAAAGTCACACCGAGTGGATGAAATCAATTATCAAAAGAGTGCAGGTACGGTACATTACGGTAGGTAAACTGTCTGCGTCAAAATCTTCAAATTAGATAATACCGTGGAGCTTTCCGTAAAAGGTTTTTTGATATGCAAATCATGACTGTGGAAGCGGGGGGGGGGAGAGATCTTTCTACGAATTTTCAGGCAACAATGGTAGATTATCCATCGTAACCGCGCAAAGTTGTTACTATGATTTTGATCAGCATACTCAAACTCAATTAAACTTTTTTAAATAATTCCCACAGAAACTTCTTTTAAACACCCTTATCCTTTCTGAACATAAGGTCATTACCATGCAAAATGAGTATGGTTCGCGTTGTAAGCTTGTTACAGACCCTGAATGCAAAGTACCACCGAAATCTGTGTATACGACGTGCCAACACGTCATCCACTTTATCCACTTGGTCAGATCAGCGATTAACCAATAGCGAAGGGAATGTCCACTTGGCACGTCATCCACTCCGCTATTGGCCAGTTCTTTGATTTGACCAATAGCGAAAGCTGATGGAGTGGATCAAGCGGATCAAGTTAAGTATGGCGTGCCCCTTCCAAATTTGACTCTAGCTTCTGTAATGTTGTCCCCAATTAATTGAAAAGCTCAACGAAGAATGGGGCTTTGCAGAATTTTGGTTTGAAAAAATGCACGAACTTGTATGGAAGTATGGATACAGCCCTTTCGCGCCGCCTCCGGGGACTTTTAATCTCATATGATATGCAATTGTATGTGCAAGGACCAGTTCTCGGAGGCGGCGCCCATCGGCGGTATTACCGCACCCATCAAGTTGACATGAGCAAAGGGCGAAGTTTATTTCCCCCATTTTCCCCGAATATTCTTCTTGGTACGTAGGTCCAAATATACGTAAGGGCCTAGGACAATGAATCTAATTAAATCTTGATATTTCAAGTGACGACTGAAGTGTGAGTAGAGGACTACATGTCGCCGAAAAAGGGCGGTCCCCGCGGTCATTTGCGACAAATACGCACATTTGTATATGCGCGGACATGAGTTACTGCTGGAAATCCGCGCGGGACTCTTCCACATTCGGCACAGTGACCGCCAAAAAGTTGCGGACAAGCCGCCTTCCTTTTTTCATCGCTCATTTTCGGATGGGAAACAAAGATGAAAAAATGTTTGGATTGCATGACGTGATAGAGCTCCTCAAGAGTTACAACCCACACATTGCGCTTCCTGGAAAACATGCATTTTAAAAATTTTAAAAATCTTTTCTTAAAAAAAGTCCGAAAATGGCCGCGTCACAATGTCGCGGACATTAATTCTTCGAACCCGAAAATTTTCTTTTATGTCTTTTCTTGGAGCAGAAACAGAAGTTTTTCGGACAGGTAAGCATACTATGTTGTAGAGCTCATCAAGGACAACAATCGGGTAGTGGTTACTTCCAAAAAAACCCAAGCTTGAATTTTATTTTGCTTTTTTTTCAAAGATAACTTGTAATTCCCCTTTTTAAGCCAAATTTCTTCACATGGGAATCTGTTCAAGATATCCCAACAAAGCTAATTGGATGAATTAAATGCTTTTTGACACCTTCTATGCATCCGACATGTGCTGTTGAGTTTCTTTGCCGAAAATGGCTCTTGACAGTGAGTGCAGATGACCCTACCTGCACCTCACAACTGACTTGTACCGCTTGAAGGGTTTGTAGCTCAGCCGTCAGGCAATCTACGAGGCTGCATATAGGCTCATTCGAAAGAACATGAGTTTCCCGACACGATGGTATGCAAATGAGGTGGGTTTGTGAAGTCCCGGAAAATCTGCGGATGGGGAGATAAAACGCAGCTTCACTTGTAGGCTGAGGATTTTTCAGTTGAAGTTGAGCAAAGCTCCTTTCGCCACCAGTTCTATCCTGGAAGTTCAAAACTGTTAACTTTCTTTTAATAGACAAATCTCGGAGCTCTAAGACTGTTTTGGTGTTGATAAGAGCGTTCACTCCATTCGCCTCAAGGCTGCGCTTTAGCACCCCGTCCGTCAAATCTTCGAGATTTCTCAAACCCACCTCGTTTGCATACCATCGTGTCAAGAAACTCACGCCCTTTCGAATGAGCCTACGTGCAGGCTCGTAAATTGACTGCCGGCCGAGCTACAAGCCTGCAAAGCAATGCAAGTCAGCGGTGGGTGCAGGTGGGGTCATGCGCACTCACTGTCATGAGCCATTTTCAGCAAAGAAACTAAACATCACACGTCGGATGCATAGAAGGTGTCAAAAAACATTTATTTTATCCAATTAGCTTTGTTGGGATATCTTGAACAGATTCCCATGTGAAGAAATTTGGCTTAAAAGGGGGAATTACAAGTTACCTTTGAAAAAAAGGCAAAATAAAATTTAAGCTTGGGTTTTTTTGGAAGTAACCACTACCCGATTGTTGTCCTTGATGAGCTCTACAACATAGTATGCTTACCTGTCCGGACAACTTCTGTTTTTGCTCCAAGAAAAGACATAAAAGAAATTTTTCGGGTTCGAAGAATTAATGTCCGCAACATTGTGACGCGACCATTTTCGGACTTTTTTTAAGAAAAGATTTTTGAAATTTTTATAATAAATATTTCAAAAAGCGCAATGTGTGGGTTGTAGCTCTTGAGGAGATCTATCACCTCATGCCATTCAATCATTTTTTTATCTTTGTTTCCCATCCGAAAATGAGCGATGAAAAAGGAAAGCGGCTTGTCCGCAACTTTTTGGCGGTCACTGTAGTCCTCCACCCCTGAAATGTCAAATGAATTTTGTAGCCGTTGACCGTGGAGCAGCAAGTCATCGCAAAGCAGTTCAAGCAGTTCAAATGCCACATGTACAAGATGAGGTCCACGCAAGCCCTGTCGAGATGACGCTAGTACCAGCAAAAGAACTCCCTAAACTAGTTGACGACACCGAAACGAAAATTTTGGAGACTGCAAATTTGACAACTAAAGAGCAACAACCATCTACAACGGTGGTTAATGTACTACCTGCTCGTCCACCACCACGAAGTTTACCGCCATTATCGATCCATGATACGACGCTGCAAAGTATGAACACAAGGTAAGTACCGTTTCACTAGTCGAATCGCTTCTTGGTCCTAAACGGAATTTCCAGGGATGAAAGCTTTTTACGGAGCAAACGAAGTTCTGTGCTGTTTGATCGACCGAAAATGAATGTGCTGGAGAATGTTTCTGCCATATCTTTGGACGAATTCTGGAGCAACACCAAAAACTAATTACTTGACATGTTTGGGTGTAGAATTTTTTCCAAACAATAGGCGAAATTACGATGACACGCGTCCGCTCCGCAAGGTTCGCGCTATATCGCGAGTGTACAGGTCGTGACAGGGCCACTCCCCACTTCACTCCGTAGCGAAGTATGCGCATCAAATTTTGTCATATTACCAAACAGACTGTAAATGCGACTTATATGTTTGCCAGTACTTTGATTTACCTTACCAAATTTTATTGTATGGATACTACTATGACAGAATCAAGGTCAATGATGAGTGCTTTCGCAATACGCGACTTATCGCCTTAAAACCTTTTTTTAACATTTTTGTTGTACTGTTCTTTTGTGCTGGGCAAAATCACCGATTGAATTGCGCCACAACCTGACTGCCTGATTACGCTAACTCTTATCACTTTGACAGCACCATTCTGCATTTGAATTCTACAGTATATATTCAAGTTCCTTCGATTCTCGTTAACATGAGGAAGCCGATGGTTTGTTCAGAGTTGGCAAATCTTGTTTTTCTTTGCTGAGGCGATTCGATTTTCTCATTTTAGGCTTCTTCTTTTTCGATTGGCGCCTGATTCTGTGCTTTCCAAGCGGTCTGTAATTTTGCAGTGTTATGCAATGTAGATACTTGAATTTATGACATAAATATTGTGGTGAAAGTGTTAATGAATGAAAAACTGAAGCGAATCTTCTGCTGGAATTGAAGACCATTCCACCAAGTTGACGCATCAGATTAGCACGGTACGAGAGCTGTAGAGCACGTTATAATCAGGGTCGCGTGGGATGTGGCCAGGGCCCGGCACAGATCGTCTGGAGGCAGGCTGGACTTCGTTTTTGGAGCAAAAACCAAAGGAGATACGCTTATGACGAGTTGGGGCCAAGCACCTAGAATAAGCGCCATTTAGTCGAGCACATACTTATCGGACAGGTTTGCACATAATTGGCATGCTCTATCGTGTATCAAAAGTGCGCGCGATTTGAAAGCAAGGCTATAATAAACAAATTGTTTACAACGCACACAGAATCATATGAAACATATGACATCAATATTGAACTGTATACATAGAATATCATTTACAAAAGAATTATGCAAAACTTATGTGAAGTATTATCTTTTCCAAAATTAGTCCGTCTCCAGACGGTCACCAGACATCTAAGATTGTCTGGAGCATATATTTCTGTCATTTCACATAAGTTTTGGATTTTTTTTTACCATGGACGGACTCCTCGGTCAAAAATCTATCCCTGAGCATGAAGACATTTTCATATCATTGCCTTTCCTTTTTTTGCCCTAATTCCTTCATAAATCGCTTTGTCAAATATCTCGCTCAAACGCCAAACTCTTGTGCACGCGTAGTATACGCTCCAATTTGAATTTTCATTCTTATCTCACGTCTTTTCTCTCAGACTAGTTAATCTTTCTTGTTTTCATCTTCTCCGAAGTAGGTAGATCAGAGGGGATTTCGTAAAACTTCCGAAAGTCAGGGGAGACTTCGTTTTCAGAAAGTTCAAAAACCGACTCGTGCCGGGCCCTGGATGTGGCATGCCACATCAGGTATACGGGCCATTTTTCGCGAAACGACGCCGCAATGCGATGCTAAGCAGTACAAGCCTCAGCTCCCGTCAGTACTCCTTCCGCAATGTTACTTATGGCATCGAGTCATGTATCCGCCGCCATCCCCCACCCCTGCTGTGCCACTTTAGCACCGAAGAGTTTTTGTGAGGCGCAAAATTTGGACAAATGTTGAGCGTTTGGACGCCGAATGTTGAACGTTTTTGGGTTGAAAAATTGAATGAGCAATTAAAACAAAATCTTCAGAATTTCTCAAATTATCCAGTGCCAATTATCAGAGAAAAGCGTTTTTTCAATAATTCGCTTTCCGAATTTTATTCGACACTACGATTTTTGATAATTCGAGTTTCCAAATCTTGTTCATTTTAAAATCTTTGAGTTTCGAATTTCGAATACAAATTTTCGAATGTTTTATCCGAATACCATAATTTTTTCTTCGATTCAGACCAGAATATAGTATGCAGTTTGTTGCCACTTCACTATGACCCTCCTTTATTAGTTGATCAGCTTTTAGGCTATCTGAGTGACTTTGTACAGTTTTTTATGTGCACTACTTTGTTGTCAATGAAATAACAAAATGATGCACACTTTTATTGGTATCAAAAACCAACTTTCAACTGCTATTAAGGTGTTGCCTCAATGAAAATTCCGCCGTTGGCTGTCAGCGTTAGTTGGTTAAAGTGAGCAAACTCCTGAATAAACATTTGGCTAAAAAAGAAGCATCAAAGATCGTTAGCTAGAGATTTCATGTTCTGACACCGTAATCGTTCTTGAACTCGTTTAACTATTGATCTCAAGGACTTCGCATATATCATATAGGAAAACATCAGAACAGTAAGGAAACAAACACACTTTACAAGGACGATCATCGTGCCAACAAGAGTGAAATGAAGATCAGTGTGGAACAGCATGGATCATATTAAGGAGCAGTGCCGACTTACCCGTTACATCGCAAATCCATGTCAGTTGTTTCCGCACATCGGCAAATACGGCTCCCTCTGGAAAATCGCTGCATCATCTCACGATGTAGTAAAGCTTTTATTCAGATGCAACTCTAAGAATTTCGGCAGTGGCTCGGGGAATTCGCAACTGCGAGCTTTCCATCCCTCCTTGGCCTACCGAATGCGCTGAGTTCAGGACTATGCTTGAAAAGTCAAAGAGGTGCTTTTTATGATGTTTTCGACCTTGGAGATTGCTGGAGGAGCTGCACGAGCGATTCTCACCAAATGAAGTGCGATTGGCTGGGTGGAGGAACGAACACCTCAATTAGGCACCGCCTTCGCGGACTATTGGTCCCAACATTGAGGTGTTCGTTCCTCCACCCCGATTGGCTGCTTGAGCCAATCAGCCCACTGGCGACAAAATTGGGTGGAGTTACAGTCTCCTGTAACCAGTCCCTGTTTCTAGTGAGAATCGCCCGCCCAGCCTCTCAGCAATCGTCAAGGCTTAAGGCATACCTCATACGATTTCAGTGGCTGCCCGATCTCGCACTGCAACGATTCTTCATAACTGGTCGTAAACGCACTTTGCTTGGGCCCTACTTGATGTATTTGCTACGACTTACGGACGCGCCCATGCATCTGCGACCCACACATGATTAATCTATAGACATCACAAATCTCCAAATGGCGTGGATGTGGCGATCTCGCGAAATCGCGGGAAGCATGCCTTAGGCCCAAGGCCGGAGAACGCCAAAAAAGCACTTTTTTGCTTTTCAAGCACGGTACCGGACTCAGCGTCTAGAAGGCCATATAGACGTGAATAGCTCGCAGTAGTTTCCCAAATCACTGCCTTCAATGAAATCAGCATGTTTGAAAAGACCTCCTCCCAACTTTTCAGAATTTTCTGAAACTTTCTTGAGACGGCAAATTTTATAATGGCGCTCTATGCTAAAATCCTACTAATCCTACAGCAATGAAGAGCGATGAGTGATTCGCTCCATACTGCAAACCTAAGTTCATACTCTACCGAATGGTAATTGAAGCTGAGCAAAAGAGTTTGTGGAAAGAGAGTTTCTTTTGGGACACCCTGTATAAAGAGTGGAGATTGCAACTGGATTTCTTGCACTTTATTTTTTGGATTGAGCTTCGTTACGTACCTGCTACTGGGATTTGTCGTCCCCCGCTGTTGTGCACCCTGTAACCGTAGCCCGCATGTATACCGAAGAGATAGTGTTTCCCTTCCATCTTCTGAACGAGTGGTCCTCCGTTGTCTTCCTAAAGTGATGGCGACGTGTTATTAGCTCAGTACAGATGCATTGTTTTCAATCCTTTCAAAGAGGGATTCAATTTCAAAAATCTCTTGAATTCATGGAGATCAAAATCCCGAATCATTACATTATATCTTTCTCCTAAGTCTTTCTCCATATAACAATTCTGGGTCATGAAGTCTGCAACTCACCGCGCCATGGTCAGTTTTCATGGTCATGTTGTAGGCAAAAATAGTTCTTCCTTCTTCCAGTATATACCGGTACCAAAGTGATTGTAGACCTTGATGTTCATCTGAGAATGCATTGAACACATTGAATTTCAAGCTCACCGAATACAAAACGAAATACAGTTATGCAGCGCTAATAACATAGAAAAGTTTAGAAGTCAACTGGATTTATTAACGCAAGTTCTGATCCTTGCCTAATCTGTGAAGCTGTATTCTAATAATTTAATTCAAGTGTTAACACTAAATCCACACCGAATCCTTTGGGGTGATCAAGAGATAAGCCTTGTGAACATATCAAGCGAAATGAGAACGGACGTGACCACATAGTACCTATTTTGCTTTCAAAAGAATATCCTTAGCTTCTATATTGTCTTGATCCCATTTAAAGCAGTGGCTCGGCAGAATGACCACTTTGGAATATTTATCGTTTCTGACTCCCCTAGATGAGCTGAATCCAAAACTGTGCTTGCAGCTTCTGAGGACTTCTGAGGATGTCAATAACTCGCTTTTCTGGACGTGGAGAGTGCTTTTTGGGCGGGAAGCAAAGTCCCGCCCCTTCCTAGAATGATTGGGTGCTGGAGCCAATACACCAATTGCCGCAGAGATGAGATGGTTGGGTACGGTATTCCCATCCAATCAGACTCCACGAGCCAGTAGCTCTCGGAGGGCGGACTTTCGCTGCCCGCCCAAACAGCTAGAAAAAGCTAGTTATTGATATACTTTGGAACTGCAACGCACAGTTTTGGATTTAGCTCATTCGGGCAACGAGAACACGGACACTTCAAAGTTGCGATCTGCCGAGCCGCTGCTTTTGAGATGAGATGATTTTGTAAAAGTCAGGCTTGGAAGAAGCTGTGTTATTAGACAGATCCACCCCATTTCCAATTTTCGGGTCGCAAACATTAAGTGGTAGTCCGAAAGTAATTGTGCTCATTACTACAGAACTGGGTTTGAAGATTCTTGATTGTTTAGCGACACTGACAAGTCTCTGATTAACGCCATGCTTGAGAATGATCCACAACTTTATAGAAAATCAGCACTTTGCAACGAATCAAAACTTCCACGTCAACCTCAGGTTGTAAGGCAAAGAAGCAACAGTTCACCTACCTACTTCTCCGTATCCAATATATCTAAGGTTTTCTGGCCTAGAAATTGCAGAGTACGCCCCGGGCATACAAATAGGGGCAGTACGCACGTCCTTGTCCAACTCAATCACGGCGAGGTCATATGAACCATCGCGCATGCAATCTTCGTAACTGGGATGCATAACCACCTACAACAGCTTTGAAAGTGTTTTTATAAAAAAAAAGTCATATCAAGTAAACTTCTCACGGAAGTGGGCCTTAGCATTTTTTCGTTGAACCAGCATTCCGAATTCGTGCATCTGCTTGAAAGAAGAACACCGATGTTCTCCGCTGATAGTTTCGGTGGGCGTAACCTAAGATTCCTCCCCTTATAGGCGAGGGTCACAAAAAACCACAAAATCAAGGAGTACCCATGGGTGCACGAGCGCTGGTAGTCCATATATAAGCAGACTGCTGAAGTCAGAATGTGTCTGGGTGAAATCAGCACACCGCTACAGGTCGGTAAGGAGTGCTCTTCAATTTCTCCTCCGGGCACTGCATAATAGACTCAGCTATCAGATAAGCGCTTACAATTTCAGAAAAAAATTGTTTTATAAATACTAACCGATACGACGTATGCACAAGGCAGCCGCAAATGGATATTCGTAACTGCTGGCTGGTTGACGCCGTTTAACGCGTGATAGCACTGATAATTGTTAGGATATAAAAATAAAAAACAGAAGTGGGGTTGCCTATATCTACATAGTATAAAATTCATGAATTCTAAAGTTCCAGAGAAGTTACAGCTTTGAGTTTCTAATTATCACAATTTTTTTGGAATGAGTTTATTTGAGAACCGAAAGTAACTTATAACGTCCACCCCACACGATGTATGGTAAACTAGGGCCCCGATCGTTTTTGAGACAGGTGATCTGTTATGTATGTACTACAACACAGCGACCAATTCTTAAAAATCAAACATTTCCAACCTTGTGGTAAACATGGCAGGCTCAGAACCCTCAATATATAACTTGAACATTCCTTACCTGATGCCTTGAGAGAGCACTTTATTTTTAGCATTTCATTCTCCTCTTTGGTTATCTTTCCAGCGAGTACTGTGTAAGGAAGAAGAAGAAGAAGCCAAAGTTTGGTCATCTGTACAATCAAATTTTAGACAAATGGATCACAGACAGATTTGAGATAGATGAATTGGGTGTTGTGGAATGTGTGTATAGTTGTTTTCTAAGGGAACGAAGCCACCACTTTTTCCAGGACTATTTTTTAGTACCTGCCCCGTTTTCGATAATGAACTAAGTGAGCAAATAATTATTTTAGTGGAAAAAGCAGAATATGGGAAAAATTCTTCTAACGCAGTTCCGTCACAAATCATCAAAAGATTTCCTCATTCTTACGATATATTTTGCCTCCCCTATGCATTTTCTTGGTTGATATTCCATTGTTCAACTCATCATTATATTCAAGGCAGAAATCTTCATTTCACAAGCAATTTTTTCTCATTTCCAAATTTTGTGGACGGTTCTAGATTTTCGCTGTATACATTTCACACATGTAAAACCAATTTTATGAAAGCTTTTAAAATTATTGGCTGATTTCCAAGTTGAGTCGTTGAAGATAAACTTCTGAAGGTTTCGACAAACACTGATGCTTCCGAAAGTTTATGAAAAATCTAAAGAAATGAAAAAGAATGAGGGAATTTTTGTAAAGCAAGGAAAAATGTGGAAATTAGAGTGTCGCTCGAGAATTCCCTTTATACATTCTGTAGCTCATGTCGTAATAGCGGAAACGATTCCATTGAATAGCCGTTCATCATTTACCCATATATTTCAAATATGAGACTTTCCCTTTCTAGGGTTTTCTAAAGGGAGAAGAAGAAACTATAACAAAATTTATCTAACAACCTAATAGTTATTGCATCAATGTAAATAACGAAAAAATTTATCGCCACGTTCTAAATCACACTTAGGCTACATCAGTCATACGCAGTCCAAGTCATTTGAACGGTGGATAAAGGTAGTAAGTTTCCGATTTTGAAAGAGTCAGTTGTTAACTGTGCCCTACATACCGCTTTGCAAAACCGTTATGCTATTTTGCTCAAAAGATATCGGGAGGTAAACGTAAAGAGAGATTAGAAAGGCACTTGGAAGTGGAGGATTGCACTGGAATGGGTGATGAAGAGTTGTTTTTATGCAGCTTTTTCTCTGACTCATATGCAACAATCCTTTGATTTGTGAAATATTGTAAATAGCTTCTGTATGTCTTTCGTACAATGCTCATTAAATGGCTACCATATGCTATACTCTGGCTGCCTAACCGGCGAGACCTTTTATGGTGGACATTCACATTCTTGATGTGGGAATCATACGAAAACTCGGACGATTTTATGAAAAAAGTTTATGAATCTTTTACTATTGACTATTGCTTCTTATTATACCAATCATCTCTGCTTCAATTCGCACCCTACTATTCCAAATGTAGCATCAGAGAGCACTGTCCTGAGAGAGGTGCAGACTGCGTCGCGGGTGCGAGCGGTCGCTTTCCACCCGCCATTCCCACTTAAATGAAGGATAGCTCTTGTAATTTTTAGTGGGAACCACAATAAGGTTACACAGAAAGATCTCGTTGTTTGATGTGCAATGCTATCCGTGAAAGACTAAGAATGAGTAGCAACAGATCTCTTAGGTCTAGGACCGCTCTAAAAAGTTTGTAGATTTATCTCTCGATTTGACGCAACGCAGAATTTTGCAAATTTCCAAAGGAGTATCTCTTCGGGCTACATTATTCGAGCAAACATCTGCATTGGCTTGCATCTCATTCGGGCTGAATAAGCCTGCATCTTCGCCTGAATGACAATGGAGGTGTGCGAATATTGCATTGGTTATTTTGAAAAACGTTTCACTATCTCAGTCATTTTATCTTGCTGTTCAGGTTGATTTAGACGATAGACTTTTATTGCCTGACGTTTCTCTCATGTGCTCTTCAGTTGTTGCCATCATTCGAAATCGTCGTTTGCCGATGTTGTTGGCTGCTAGCATCGGGGTTGAATAAGAAAGTGGGCAAACTCCTGTATAAGGAAATATGCAGAAGCCATTGAGGATTGTTAATAAAGAACACCCACTGAATAAACCCCTAATTGCAAAGATATGTAATTTGAGGAGAAATCAGAACAAGCCCCAAAAAGACGATCATTGCACTAACACGAGTAAACTGAGGAGTTAAACATGGCAGCATGACGATGGTTTGGAACTCATGTGCCCACTTACCTGTTACGTCGCAAATCCACTCCAGATGTTTCCTCACATCGGCAAATACGGCTCCCTCTGGAAAATCATTGTCATCTCAGATATGGTGGAAGACTGCATTTAGATTGTGGATTGTGAAAAATTTGGAACCTATCACTGCGGTCTTCTTGAGGGTTCCCTTTTATGCTTTACGCTATACTGAAGAAACTTCGCAGTTTTTTTATGACTGCAAGAACGTTTGTATTTTAGAGTGTCCGATAGATGAGTGCGATTTTGAGATTTTATTTCTTAAGCAAACCTTCTAGTGCTGGTCCTTAATAGTTATTTTACGTAATCAGTCGAGCTTTTTGACAGTAATTTATCACTAGTATTTGATATATTAGGTGGGTCCGAAAGTTTTGTCGGTTTTTTCAATCCATCGGCAAACACGCTAGAATGAAGATAAACAAAAGCTTTGAAATGTATCCAATGCAGAATTTCTTCCTCTTTCCAGTAGCTAAACTAACATTGTGTTTCGTTGCGACAGTGACAAGATATTTGCTGGAAATTACAACCACTCGTTTTTACCATCTCCAATTTTCGCTAATTTTCAGAATTTTTGCATGAGACTTTCGGAGTAGCCCTAATAATCATCAGATAGGGCAAACCTTTTGCCAACTTATGCAATTTTTTTCTTTTTTTCAGCTGCTTTTTCAGATTTTTGCTAAATAATTTTCGAAAAGTTTTGTGTTTTGGCAAAATAGCATGATCTATTATTGCACCAAACGCTGCAAAACCTATGGAAAACTGAGGTTTCAACACATGATTATTACTACCGTTATCATTACAAAGTAAATGAGCGATTTTCGCTTCAAATTATGAAGATTTTGAAACATAAGTTACGTCAGTGCGCACTCCTGAAATTGAGAAATACTGCGATTTTTCCCACAGATTTTGCCTGTCTCGGCGAAATAAGACAAGCATTAGAAAGAGGAGAAAATTCTGCATCGAATGGTAACTGAAATGTACAACATTTTATGTTCTACGAGGTTAAAATAGGCTGATTGTAAAATTTGGTCACTTCAAAAAATAAATAGTAAAAATTCTGAAAGACAAGCCATAGGGCTACAAAAAATTGCTTCTGCTGGCAAAAGGTTTGCCCTATCCGCTGGTTATTAGGGCTCCTCCCAAGGTCTCATACAAAAATTTTGAAAATTAGCGATAGTTGGACATGGTGAAAACGAGTGGTCGTAATTTCCAGCAAATATCTAGTCACCCTCGCAACGAAACACAGTGTTAGTTTAGCAGCTGGAAAGAGGAACAAATTATGCATCGGATACATTTTGAAGCGTTTGTTTATCTTCATTCTAGCGTGTTTGCCGATAGATTGAAAAAACCGACAAAACTTTCGGGCCCACCTAATAGTAGTCTAACAAAGGGCATACCTAGTGACCGTGGCCATTCATAAAGGTGTATAACTGCAGACGTGTTTCTAAATTCAGGTTCAAAAACTGCCTCCTATACCAGCGAGATAATTACTTGGAGCCATAATTATTTTTTTTTTCAAAATGAATCAATTTACTGCGCAGGGTCAGAATCAATCGTGCAAGTTTTTTTTTGTTTTTTAACTGCTCGATACAATTCAATTAGACTAAATGGAGTGATAATTTGCCTCAAATTTTGTTGCGTAGCATCAAGCAGTAAATTTTACCGACTGACGATTTCGACCACCCTGAAAGGCTTCAACGGCATTTCTCAAAAAGTGTTCACATCTTTTTTGAGACCATTTTGCAGATAATGGGAATACCAAATCAGCGTTTTGAGGTGAATAGCGACGGCCACCAGTAGGTTTTGGGATAATACTATGCAAGATAAGATAGTGGATGGATTTTCCGCAGTGTACGGTATTGGTTTAAGCTTCGTTACATACCTCCTACACGGACTTTTTGTTCTCCCTCATAATGAAACTTGTAACCATCGCCCGTTTCTATACCGAAGAGGTAGTGTTTTCCTTCAACTTTTTGAATGAGTGGTCCTCCACTGTCTCCCTAAAGATTTCTATTTTCAGCATAGGCAGTGCAAAATAGTTTACAATTGCTTTTAAAATTTGAACAATTAAAGACGTCACAAACTCATAAAAGTCAAAATTCAATATTACCACATTAAATTTGTCGCTAAAAAGAAACATTTTTTTTGACTTACAACTCACTTGAGCGAGGTCATTTTCCAGGGTCATGTTGTAGGCAAAAATATCTTCTCCTTCTCCTACATGATGGTACGAAACTGATTGTAAAGCCCGTTGTTCATCTGAGATTTGCAATGATTTTGTGGACCTAAGGCAAACCGAATATTCTTAGTTTACACATATTTTAAATGTTGTCTTATCACGCTGATATCAAGGGGAAATCAAAATGCTCATTAGAACGATCTGATAGCGCTAAGGAGTCCTGATCCATGTCATATCTAAAGTACCAACTGGCACTCATAAACGGCAAATCCAAACTGAGAATTAGCTTGCAGAGTATTGCTCGAATGCTCTACACGAATAGCCTCAGACCCTAAGAGTTACGCGTCCGAAACTGACGGTACTTTCTGCGCGTCCACTCGACGCGACCACCCAACAACCACTGCCCATACATACACAACGCGCGTCTAGTTTAAGCAATTTATATACTAGTGTGTAATCCAGTGTGTGGAGTAGGAAGTGTTCAAACGCTAGAACTTTTAAAGTTTTGTCTTTAACTCTTTTCGTAACCGAAATATAGCATAAAATCTTTTAGGCACGCATAGCCTTGTGTAGAAGGCAGCAATTAGTAGTAAATTATTTCCTAGCTCTCTAGCTCTTTGACAATGAACTATCCTTGGCTGGTTTGAGCTTGAACCCCTCCACGACACATACTACACCTTAGCTCCACCAAAATCTTCTTAACTCTTGGGAGATGTGCCAATACATTGCCTGCATTTTGGAGGTTTTTTCTATTCGTGCCGTAGTAGCTTCCGCTCTCTACCCCACTCCCCTCCCACACCTCCTCAGCCCCCGCACTCTACTCTATACGAACACCGTAAATTTTACTAGGCTAGTGTGTGCGGTTTTCCCGCCATTTATAGAGATTTGAGCGGGTCTCTATTCTTCCCCCTCCCCCAATGAAGAGTAGTAAGTTAGTCCCCAGCACTTTAGTTCGCAAGAAACTCTAAAATTTCCTAGCTGACTAGGGCTCAGACCTGCACGCCGCATGCTGCGTCAGCTTCGAAATGCTCTCAGTGCTAGAAATTTTTTTTCCGGGAAGTGTGCCACTGATTGCGACTGCACTCCAGGCTCCTATTCGTGCCAACCTTTCTCTCTCCCTTTCCCACCCCTAACACCGGTTACCCCCCCCCCCCTCCCCCAGCCTCTGCCCCCTCCTTTGCACAGAACACCGTGAACTACATTACGTTGTGCAGTTTTCCTGCCTCTTCGAATCGAGACATAGCAACAGACGCATGACGTCATGGGCCCCTGCGCTTTATATATAGTTATGTATATAGTCATGATAACAAAACATGAAATATATAAGAAAAAACTCTCAAGCGCTACGAAACTGCTAACCTAAAAGCGGTAACCAAAATGATAACAAGGGGGACGAGTGGCGTAGTGCTATGAGGCGTCGCTATGAACAGATCGGACAGAGGTTCGAATCCCGCCCCTGGGGCAACCAAGCCCTCTACCTCCGGGGCTGATAAATTGGTACCAGAGTAATTCGGGAGGATAAAAGCACTGACCTGAAAAAGGCTGGCCCCCGCAAGTCACTGTAATAGGCTCGCACGCATACAATTGCCTCTTCGACTATGAAGTATTGCGCGTTTGGCGCATGCCCGCAGAGGGTAGTGAAAACGCCAAATTCTCTATCCTTTATCTTTTAAAATAATAACAGGGGACGAGCAGGGTCGTCCCGTGCTGCCGATTGCTTTCAAAACTAACATAAAGGATGTCGGGTTCCTCCAAAGGTTCCGCCGCTGGAAGCTCTGGTCCGTATGGGATGGCGCGACCCCAGCTCAACTCCCGCAACCTTGGTCATCTACTAACTCGAGGGCCCTCTCCGCGCTCCTGCGCCCAATAAACAAGACATCCGATGCTCGAACGCTCAACGTAAAAATCTCCTCATGCGGGAGCAGCTGAAAACGAGGCAAAGTATGACAAGAGAGCGCATAACAAAACCGAAGTCAAGGAGGCGATGGCTGCTCTCACGCGCAGCCTTCTATACCCCGCCACTTGTCGTCCCCAGCAGGAGTGGTCCTGCGGCGATTACAAAAAGCGCGACAGGTAAACACGGCATACAGCGCTCCCGGCACCCTATTTCGAGGAGCCGCGACACTATCTGTAAGTCTTCAAAATAAGATTTTTACTTGTTTATACTATCGTGATCTTATTGATTTTGATGACAAAAATCAGGTGCAGTGTCCAGTCCACACCCAACTCTTGGGACATGTTACAGCGGATGCGAACTCGAAGGTACGTGTTCTGCTCATTATTCCACCTTGTTTCAAATATTAAACGAGTTCTTAAATGTTAAGGGATACTGACTGACAATTCCCTAACGACACGCAATCATTCTAACGGTAAACGAGAATGATCCACGACTCCAAGGGGAGTCAACAGGGTAAAGTGGGAACAGGGCTGGCATCGGGCCAAGCTACTCATCGTTTTTGCATGGGAGGGGGGGGGGGGAGCAAAAGGAACATCGTTCTTGCATTGTCTGGAGCAAAGTCCAGGAACATCGACAGAGGAACGAATCGAACCTTATTTCGGTAGTAGTCCTTTCAGGTTTCCTCACCGATTTTAGACTGGTCAATTACAAGGCTAATACTTGCATGCTCTAACATGATTCGCACGCCTGAGTCAAAATTGTGCTCCAAATGAACAAATGTGTGGTTCTCAACGTACACTCAAGTAATAAGCGTAAACACCATATTTTGCCGGGCGTGAGAGTACTCGAACCATGTCTGAGAAACTTATAAAAACTTTTGCAATTCCAAGAGTCCCAAAAAAGATGTGCACACTGTGCACACCGTTAATAACTCTCTTGCTTTCTAGTCTTTTGCCGAGCTTGAGGCACCATTCTGTAGAGCGAGGTTCAACTTAGATTTGCAGTGCGGAGCGAGTCATCGATCTTTCTTCATTACTGTAAGATTACGAAAGGAGCTTCGAGGAGGATTTTAAGCCATTGAAAACGGCATTTTTGCCGGTATTTTGCCTCAAGAAAAAAGCCAACGAGACAGAATTTCTTGAAGTGGGCTATTCGAAATCGCTTATTCGAATATGAAATTTGCACTTTAGTATGGTGCTTCTTTCATAACTTATTTTGAATTTAGGGTAACAACCGCTTTTCAATCTTCGTCACAAATGTGACACCAACAAGAAGGCCCGAAAAACTGGTGGAAAGTCGTGTAATGAAATCAGCACGCCTTAAAACCTTAGGAAATTCTCAGATTTTTTTTTGAAATCATTTCATCAAAAGGCTTATTCCTAAAGTGACGCTGTATGATGAACGTTCATACCGTAATCCTGCAGTAATGAAGGCAGTCGAATTCGCTCCACACTGCAAATCGTAGTTGAACCTCGCTCTACGGAAAGGTACCTTAAGCTCGGCAGCATAAAAGCAGAGAGTTATTAAAGATCAAACAGTGTGCACATCTTTTTGGGACACCCTGTAGTTTTCCAGAATTTTTTCATAAGTCGTCTTTACATAACGAAAGTTTTCATACTAGCACCAAGTCGTTTCATACTCCCTCCTTCACGCTGTTTATAGAACTTAGAAATTTTTCATTAATGGCGCAATGCTGAAAAATGTCGGAATAAAAAAACATAGCAACGTGATGTTTCATTTTCGTTAATTGTTAGTTCATTCATGCTTGTCTTTCATCTTTCAGTCTGCTGATCTATGACTGTTATACCTAGTTGCTGCTTCACTATGACAGACGAGGCCATTTTGATTACGCGGTTTTACAAAGTTTCCTTTAATTTCTTGGAGCATTTCAAGAAATTAAAGGAAACTTTGTAAAACCGAATCAAAATGGCTTTGTTCAAAACTTCTTTGTTCCAGCCATGGATGCGACAGGGTTAGCCGGGCTCTGTCTAGGTGAAGTGGGTCTCTGCTACTCCCATTCTTGTAGGTTGAAGGGGGTAAGTGAGCCATGAAAGCGAAACACCCCAACAAGCTACATACCATTCGAAAGGTGAGGTCACGGAGAATCGAATATCTCTGTCGACTTTTTTCCAAGTATTTTGGGCCGAAATATGTGAGCGATTTTGCTTGGTCAAGATATCACTTGATCTTGTGCTCACTTTCTTTTGATCGTAATGAAGATGAAAGCTACGAGAAAGTCGACGGTCTACGTTGTTGACGAATAATTGGTCCTGCTCTGTAATGCAGATAGATAATCAGCAGTAGTTAGGTCTTCGTTGGGCAGAAATCTGCTGTTAAAAATGGAATAATTTTAGATAAAATGCGGAGTGCCTTTCGGTAGAGTGGGGCTAGGAAAAAGTCGACGGTCTACGTCGAATCCTTGTTCCCTAAGCTTTCGAATGGTATATAGTTTGTGGGGCGAAAAAACTTGGCAGTTCTAAAAAATGGGGTAAAGATATTTACTATTAGCTTGCTCTACCCCGCTCCTCCCATACCATCGATACATAGAGCCATGTACTCTGGTAATCTTCACTTGACGGTGGCGTCTTTGTAGCCTTTTCTGCTGGTTTTTAGTCGAAAATTTCCCTAGAATTGAGGAAGACAATTCTCAATTAAACCGTTTTTTCTTCAACTTAGCTCTTTTCAAGCGGGGTTTTCGTGCACTTCGACCTTGCCGTTCATAATGTAGATAACGTCGCGGGGCTAACTTCTTCGATTTTGGTGGAATATCTAGCACAAAAGCTGCAAAAAGTGCGGTTTTGTTTATAGGCTTTTATTGTGGTTAGAAAACAACCATTTCTTACGTGCTTGAGGGCATTTTGCCCAGGATACGAGCACGACAAAGCTAACAACGTGTTAGAAACAGAGGCTATGAGAAGGGGTAAAAATTTAGAGGACGCATCAAAAACTAGGTTGTTTTTGACATGCATTTTGACTTAGGAAAAAACATACTTCACGTTTTCATAACTGATTGTTTTTCGTTTCTTTCTTCTTGATCACCAATTTCAAAATACGTTTGTTTTTCAAAACAATCACAAAGAATTGCTTGGTCCTGTAGCGAAAACCTGAAATTCGAAACGCCGCCACATGAAAGATTTTGAACTGATTGCGGCGTTTCATTAGGTTTTCAAGAACTTCTCTTTCGCCAGTTATTTTGCATCTTCTTTCCTTCTTTATCTTTCTATAAACAACTTCCACTTTTTATAGGGGGGAGGGGGGAGAAGGGAAGGAGATACTCAAACAACCTTCACTTTTGACGCCCTATCTCTAGACTATCGAAGGTATGGCTCCTCCAATGTACTGACTTCTATGGGTCACCGGAGCAAGCATTTCTTTTTAAAGCTGGGAAGCTGAATGCTCCAACAAGGTATATACATTCGAAAGCTGAGATTATGAATCGACGTAGAGCATCGGCTTTTTTCTACTCTTCTTAGCAGTAAGATATGACTCTCATTTGAATATCTAGTGATTCGCTTTAGCTGACAAAAAATGCATTCAATTCTCTTCCATTTCACAAAAAAGTAATCTTACTAATGTGACCTCTTACTGTTCACGGTAATTGCTGCATATCACACTGAGCTGTTTTTGCAGTCTTTAGCAGGACTTTTTGGTTTCTACGAGCATCGACGACCTGGATATAGACTTATAAGAAATGGAATTTTCTATTCGGAACATACGGCGGAGCCGGGTAAGCCAGCTAGTTATACATATAGACCAGTGGCGTACCCAGGATTTCGGCTCGGGGGGGGGGGGGGGCAACAAAAAATTTTTTCAAATGAAGGTGAACTCCGAAAAAATTCTAGGGGGACGTCTCAAAATTTTTGCCTGCCCCAACCCTAAAATCTGGAAAAAGGGGGCGAGGCTGACGCCACGCCCCCGAAAAAATTTTTTTATAAGGCTAATTTGTATTTTAAAAAATTTTAAAAATTATTTTAATCGTTTACAAAAATAAACAAGTCATTTGCACATTTTTATAACTCATGTAAGTAACTTTCAAAAATTTCGCGACCCGTTCTCGGGGGGGGGGGGGGTGCCCCCCCCCCTCCCCCCCTCGGTACGCCACTGGTATAGACGTACTTATTATTTGGTTTTTTTGCTTCTCTTACAAGCAAAGGCGTCTATCTGTTTCTATCTCAAAACTATGACAAGCTTTAAAATCTCAAGATCGATAATAAATATGCTCAAAAAAAATTTTTCTAAAAAAACGTAGAAGAAAGAGGCAGCAAACAAGCATCAACCATTGTGGTTTTTGAGAAAAAAGTCCAAATGTTTTTTGACTCTTGCACTCGTTTTTGGAATGCTTGAATCTCCAATAGCTTTTTGATCATAATTTACTCTCATATTATCTTCCCAAATTATCCGCAGATGAAGGGGTTCATCCGGGTTCTGGCTGAAACGTGGGGTGGGGGGTAAGATCCATTGCTCCCCCATGGTTCCAGCTCGTGCCGAGCCCTGCGCGGAAAGGCTCTACATCGACCTGATATTGCTGCGGCAACCCAATAACAGTTCACCTACCTACGTTTCCGTATCCAATGGATTCAAGCTTTTCATGGTTAGAAAATGCAGATTTTGTTTCAGGCATACAAATGGGCACAGTATCCACGTCCTCGTTCAGCTCAACCACGCCAATGTCAAATATACCATTGCGCATGCAATCTTCGTAGCTCGGATGCATGACTACCTGCAATAGCGCTGTGAGAGTTCGTACAAGAAAAGCTATATAAAGTAAGCTTCTCACGGAAGTAGGCTCAAACATTTTTTCCTTAAACCAACATTCCGACTTTCTACATCTGCTTGAGAGAAAAATACCGACGTTTTGCGCTGAGAGTCTCGGTGGACGTAATCTTGAAAAAATTTCGCAATGGTAGGGAAAAGCCCCAGAAACAATGACTACCCATGAGTGCACGAAGTAATGTAGTCTGCATATAAGCAGTGTGCAGCCGTCAGGATGTGTCGGGATGAAATTAACACGCCGCTACATGTTGGTGTAGAGCGCTGTCGTATCTCTTCTCCGAACAGGTATACTAGGCAACAGTAAAATTCAGCGATTGTGTACTGGTTGAATTTTGACAAGTATACCATAAATACTAACCGACACGACGTTGGCACAATGCAGCCGCAAACGGATATTCGGAGTTACTGACTGGCTGTCGCCGTTTAACACGCAGATGCACTAGAAATCGTTATATGTATGTAATGTAAAAATAACAAAAAAAAGCGAAATTCTTTGTAACCATACAGGTGCTGCGGAATTAAGTATTGAGTGTGTATTAAGTGTAAAACGCTGTGGAATTTAGAGTTTTGAAGCACGATCAGTATAGCTCTCCAGGAGTAAATCTTTAGCGAGGAGATTCAGTTAGCTCAACTTTTTGGGTCATGTTTTACCCGGGATTCAAATAAGTTCATGACACCCACTTGCTCCGGGGCTTGCAGGGTGCACCAAAAGACAAACAGTGCGGAACAACATAGAGGGGCAAGATTTTGTCTGAGTGCTATTTAAATAGTAGTACTTGCCGCACAGCCTTTCTTGTTCGAATTAGCCTCCTATGCAGCTAACGTAGGCCTTCAAACCCTTGGCAATGCCACGGCACACAGGTATGTAGTCATTACACAGCTATACGGAAATTGCTTTTCTTTGCTTAGAAAATATGCAGCACGGTAGAGCAAAATTTCAGCTACAACACACTGTAAAAGAAACTTTTGCAAAGTTAAAGGATAAAATCCTTGGAATTGTCAGGTGGGCAATACCACACAATAAAGATTATTCGGATACTAGTGTGCTAGGGAAAAATGGAATATTCACTTTAAAGTACTTATGAAACCAATTTTCGTTCTAACTGAACTGGATTTACACCTAGAAGGCTTATAGAAAGTAAATAGCTTAGTTTAAATCACTGCTGTTTTCATAGCATCAAAGGTTTGAAAGGCAAACGACCAGTAACATAAGATATATAATAAGATTATAACATCTTGAATATGTTTTGTTCTCGAAGAAATGGATTTTGTAAATTCGACTGCTGAAGTGAGTAGTGTAATGCCCCCTCCTCTACTTTGTAAATTTATAAACCCCAAGAAATTGAAGAAAGAAAAAAGGAATTTTCGTGCTCTACAAAGGGACTAATTTAGGTACTCATCGTTGAAAATACGTATGGCGATCATACTGGCTCGCAAAATTCTGTTTTGTAGAGTGCAACTGCAACATTATGTGACATAAATATCAAATCAACTAACAATGATGTTCAAGTTACAGTATTGCGAATTTGGACTACGACATTTTTGGTGCACCTGCAAAATACTAACGGCACAAAATATTAAATAAGCAAAATCTTTTCACAGCAGTTTTAGAATTCTTTCAATGTAGCACTTCACATTGCTTACCTGATGGCTTGACAGAGCACTTTTCTTTCAGTTCTTCATTCTCCTCCTTGGTGAGCTTTCGTGCGGTTACTTCATGAAGCAGAAAAAGGAGAAGCCAAACTTTGGTCATCTGTACAGAAGAATTTGAGGTATCGAAATTAGGGATTGTGCAATGAGTGAAGAATCTTCTGAAGGAAAGCTTATCATTAATGGTACGAAACTACTTTTATGAGTTTTTATTTTTTCACTTGTGTCTTATTTTCATATTGAAATGAGTAAGCAATACTTTTGATGCAAACGCAAAAGCAGGGCACTGTAGGGTCTTTCGACGAAACATCGTAACGAGTTATCTAGGTATTACCTAGCCTTTTTACTGGTGGTATATTATATTGAAAGGCGCAGAGTTAGGATGTATCTTAGTGCCTATTCCCTTTTCTTCATTATATTTATATTTTTACTCATTTCTGCGCCTTGTAACATACTAGGGAGAAAAACACCAAAAATTTATGCCTTGTTTTCAAATTACAGTTACGCTACATCAACTACACTCGTCCCACCTTTCGGAACATATATGTAAAAAAAGTAAGTCTTTGAGGGTAGGGGAACGAACTCTGCCAGTTTAACCCCTCTTTCCCTGGCAACTGGTCCTATTGCAGTATTGTTGCACTTTGTTGCAGGACCAGTAGTCCGCGAAGCGGTTCAAATCTGACGGAGTTCGTTCCCCCTACCAGTCCTTGATTTCAAGACAGTTTTTTGTCAACTGTGTCTTACATGAGTTGCAAGACCGCTATCGCTACTTTGCTTATGAAATACTAGTTGACTTACCCGGCTCCGCCCGGCCCTGTCATTATTATATTCATAATCAGCATGCTCGATTACCCCCCAGTGCCAACTCCCAGCCCCGTAGCTCAAATTTTGCAAAAATCGATAAAATCGATATCGATCGATGACGAGAAGTGGCCTATGACACCCGCCGGGGCCCAAAGTGTATGTGTGCCAAGTTTGGTCCGGATCGATTCAGAAATGGAATTTTCTATTCGGAACATACGTACAGACAGACAGATAGACAAACAGACATTCAGCTTTATATATAAGAATTTGGAAAATGTGAAGGGATCAGAGAAGCACGAAGCTAGAGAACTTGCATTGTGAAAGGTGATGAAGAGAAGCTTTTATGCAACTTTCTTCTGACTCATTCACAACATTTTTCTAACAGTTTGCAAATACCAGACATGCTTTCTACCTGGCTTAATCGCTCCAGTGTGCGCTAAAGTCAGACAGACGTTCGCTGTTTTGTCGCTGTTTGACTGCAATAAGAAGAAATTTTTTGGTGAACAACCATATATGTAATGCAGGATTCATACAAATAACTCACAACAAAACCGTATTCACCATATTAAGATGCTGATGAAATGGGCTTTGAAGACGGTTTTCTGTTTCTTAGGGACATCTTGGTAGCGCTGAATCTAGTCTTGCTTCAGAGCTTATTGAATTGTTTGTGCTGTCCAGTTTCTAGAACTGAGAAGTGCAGGGTTGGGGATATCAGCTTACTTAGATAGTAGCGCTTGGAGGCAGGACTCTGAAAAATTGCGAGTGCGGATTTTTCAACCCCAAAATGGGTGGAGTGACTTCACCCATACAGTCTCCTGCAGCTGATCGCTGTTTTCAACGGGACTCTCTGGCCCCTTCGGCAAGCTCCAAGCCGGAAAGCGATAAAAAGCACTTGTGACGATTTCGAGATTTCAAGCACAGTACTGGACTCAGCGCATCCAGGTCAAGGAGGGATGGAATTCTAGCAACCGCAATTTTTCTGCCACTGCTTTCAAACGAAGCAGAGTACTTTCACTTTCCCGGGCTGGTGCGACTTACTTCTCTCATAGTAAGTAGTCGGTCGCGCACATCTTGTAAGTCTAGGAGGAATTTCCGCCGTGGAATGTGTGTCGCTATGAGAAAGTTATAAATCAGAAGATGCTTGACACATTCACGACAAGGCCGATTTTCAATTACTGCCATTTGGGACCAGGATCTTTTCGTTTCGTCAAACTTACGACCCACTCGTTGGTCGTATTGTCCGAAATGGTAGTCTTTTAGGAAAACATTCGGAACATGCCTACGAGAATTCCCCCACAGGGGTTATCGAAGGCGCTGATTGCCAAAATATGATTTGATTCAATTTCTGGCCCCATATGTAAGGTTACGGTATTCATTCTGCACGAACCCAACATCGTGGATTTTCTCGAAAATTGTAAGTTTGGGTTATTTCACGTGCTGATCACGATTACAGTGTCCACTTTGTTTACTACTGCCCCATAGTGGGACTGCGGTAGCAGAACAGTAGAATTTTCAGAAAAAAAATCAAGTAATCGATGCAAGGAGGCGGTACTAGGACTTGGGACTATCATTTTCCTAATCAGCATACTACATCCTATATATGGAAGACTTGAGCTCCTTGAGGTGAACAACGCAAAAAAATCAATGAAATAAATAACATCAATATTTTTTGACGGGCTAACATTAGTCTCTTGCCCTATCCGTAGTTCTCGTGCATGTACACTTACATTTTCGAACAGCTCATTCTGCGAAGAATTTGAGCTAAAGTCTGTACCTTATCTCTGTCTACGGTATACCTACCTTAACATTACATCACAGTATCCCCAGTCCGGACCACTCCGGCTGGAGCTTTGCCTAGGAGTCCCTAATCATGTGCCAGAACCCCGTAAAATCCCATCGTAAACTGGCAGAGGTAGAGCTTTAGGAATCTTGCGACCTACCGGTGTGTCGTATTGTCGTGAATGTGTTAAGGTAAGATCTCTTTCAAATTTCAAAAAATAACGCATCAATAGGACGAGCGAAATGCCTATTTCTTTGTAGATACTTGACACGCTTGCAAAAACAAACATCTATGTCTGGATCTCATTCCCTGCCAATATTTTAACACTTCACCTTAACTTCTAGCCGCTTTCATACCTTTATTGCGAAGATACGACCGCGCCCACTTACCATTGCGTCTGACTAAGTGCTTTTTGAAGTATATATGAGCTACGAATTCGTGCATTAGAATAAGCTTGAAACTCCATACTGGGCGACTTTCATCCTCCATCCACTTTCTGTTAGATTGTGTGAGCGCAAGTATTGGTTTCTGTGTCTGTACAAAAACATATTTCAACTCAAATTTTCGCTTTTTTTCAAGCTGGATACCAGAGGGAGCTTCTATCTATTTATCTCAACCTTTTGGGACATCACAATATCTGATTGACGACGCCATCGTAGGCAAAGAAACATGATTACTCATTCACTGTACGACTTCACCATATAGTGTTGGTACGTATCGGTTACAGCACCATCTGTTTTGAAGCTGAAAATATCTTTGTCCAATTAGGATCGTAATTAGATTCTGCGCTTTCCTAAATACGTATCTATTTTGGAAGTTTGTTCGTTTCCACAAAAATCATTTACATGCCTACCATGGTAAAAGGAATCACCTGTCTCACATACATTAACATTAACATTTATTGCATAGGGTTCCTATGCATCAACACAACATAAACAATAACGAACGAACAAGAGATTGAAACAACAAAAAGAATGAGGTAGATGAACATAAAAGTCAGGTCTGTAAAGGAGAAGATAGATAGTTTTTGAGAATGGTTTTAAATTGTGCCAATTTAACAGGAAATCTATTCTTCCTAACAAACTTATCAATATCATGAGTAACTCGGTTTACAAAGAAAAACCGCCTCACATTTTTCCTAGGCCGCGATAGTACTATCTTGTCTGAGCCTCCTCTAGTTATGGAACTTCTTCTCTGGAAAAACTCTGAAGCATTGAGATTGCAACTTCCGAAAAGAATCTTATGAGCCATTATCAGATCAAAAGCGCGTCTTCTAGTAGCAAGAGGCTCAAGACCCAAATTGTTATTTCGAAGGGTGTAGTTAGGGATACGATCGTATACAAATCCATTGCTCCTTATCAGCAGTTTCCTAGTGAAACTGTTTTGTACTTTTTCAATTGCATATATACTCGTCTTCTTGTAAGGATTGAACACAACAGTTCCGTATTCAACTAAAGGTCTGACATAAACTTTATAAGCTCTTACGAGAAGATCGATATCATTCGTTGAGAGGGCTCTATACAAATTATAAACTGCATGCATTCCTCTCGCAGCAATGGATTGACAATGTTTATCAAAACTTAGTCGATTATCCACCAGAAATCCAAGATCCGTCACCTCAGTTACATAATCTAGGATGTCCTGTCCTATAGTGTAGGAATATTCCACAGATTTTGGCCCTAGAGACAATACCTTTGTTTTCTCACGCGAAATAGGCAATAGCCAGTCTTCCGACCATCTAACAACGAGATCTAAAGCCATCTGTACCTTTTCTTTATCTGCGCGCTCAATGACTGCACTGTAGATTTTGAAGTCATCAGCGAAAGCACAGCATCCAACACCAGCTCCCAGCACAAGGTCAGGAAGGTCATAAGTATAAATATTGAACAAGATTGGGGATAGAACCCCACCTTGAGGCACTCCACTCAGCATAGGTCGTAGACTAGAAAAGCTTTCATTAACTCGGACTGTAAATGAACGTTCATGTAAAAAGGCCTCAATCCAAGCTATAACCTGGGGATGGATGCCAATCATTTTTAGTTTGACTATAAGTTTGGTATGAGAGACCTTGTCAAATGCTTTAGTAAAATCTAGGTAAATGACATCAACCCCTTTGCCTGCGTCTAATGCCCGAGTCCAGTCATTCAGCGAATGCAACATCGCCGTAACCGTTGATTTGCCTGCTTGAAACCCATGCTGAGCGTTAGAAATGATACCACGACTGGTTAGATGATTAACTATTCTTTTCTTTAACACTTTCTCAAACAATCTAGCAAAAACGGAGGTAATACTTATAGGCCGGTAGTTTTTAGGGGAGGTGTGAGGCTTCTTTTTAGGTATGGGAGTTACATACGATATTTTCCATCTGTATGGAACTTCTGCACTAATCAAGCTCAAGTTAAATATGAATTGCAGGGGTTTCGCAATGATATGGGCAACCTCTTTGATGAATCGATGAGGTATATGATCAGGGGTCAGAGATTTTGATTTTGGCCATCTACGAAGAAGTTCAAAAATCTCACTTTCATCAAAATATACAGAGTCCATAGCTTCAAATCGCGGTGTAACATTTTCGGAAACACTTGATTCATCTCTCTGAAAAACCTTTTCGAAAACATCTGCAAAACACTCTGATTTTTCAGCATCAGTATTTATGGCTGCACCATCATCAGCCAAAAGAACTCCCAACTTCATCCTCTCTTTAAGCCTTGAATTAAGGAGCTGGTAGAACGCTGATCTGTTTCCACTGTTTATGGTTTTCTTTTCCAAGTAAGCCTGATATTTTTTTAATCGCTTCAAGTATCTATGATTTATCCTTTTGTATAATGTAGAAGCAATTCCTCTTCCATTAGCTCTCGCTTTATACCAAGCTTTTGCTCTAATACGCGAAAGCGTCACAAGATGTTTCGGAATGCTCGGCGTATTTCGCGGTACAGATATGAGCGGCACGTAAAGTTCAATTGTATGCTGAAGGATAAAAATCATCATCTCATACATATCATTGAGTGAGCCTGCTGCATGAAAGGAGCCTAGCCAGTCAATTGTTTCCAGATAGCTGATAGCTCCTGCCATGTTGGCATTTTTAAAGTCCCTTCTCAAAACGCATTTGACTTTAGTTCTACATAGGTCCTCCAAACGAAAACTTATCAAGGCATGGTCACTAGAGCCCACCGGTGGATTTACCAGGACATCCTTTATTAATTCTTCATCATTAGTTAAAATCAAGTCTAATATGCTTTTCCCCAGCGTGCAGGTGGTTACTTTTTGAACAAGGCGATGATTCAAACACATATTCATGAACAATTTAGCTGCAGGACTTGCTTTGCAGAATTGAAAAGAATTCCAATCAATTCCCGGAAGATTGAAATCACCCAACAGTACTGATGGGTAGCTGCACGCTATGAGATCTGTAATAGCTTTAATCATTTGCCTAATGTTTCGAGCTGTGCATGACGGCGCCCTATACACAAGTATCAAACGCATTTGTTGGCGACTGGTTACGATATCGGAGCAAATCAATTCATATCCATCAACGACTGATTCAGAAAAAATCAATTGTGGATATAGTTCCCTACTAATCAATACGGCCACCCCTCCTCCTATTTTAGCCTCTCGATCACACCTATATATTTCAAAAGAATTATGAAAGTTTCCCAAGATAGGCAAATCACTGATGGTACTTTTGAGCCATGTTTCAGTAAGGCAGACTATCCAGGCAGGAGAAGACCGAAGAACAAATGTGAGGGGCAGTGCATTTTTAGAAAGAGATCTTATGTTTGTTAGGAGGCACGGAATAGAACTATCTATCTTCCGAGGAAAAATCACGCTTGCAAAAACAAACATCTATGTCTGGATCTCATTCCCTGCCAATATTTTAACACTTCACCTTAACTTCTAGCCGCTTTCATACCTTTATTGCGAAGATACGACCGCGCCCACTTACCATTGCGTCTGACTAAGTGCTTTTTGAAGTATATATGAGCTACGAATTCGTGCATTAGAATAAGCTTGAAACTCCATACTGGGCGACTTTCATCCTCCATCCACTTTCTGTTAGATTGTGTGAGCGCAAGTATTGGTTTCTGTGTCTGTACAAAAACATATTTCAACTCAAATTTTCGCTTTTTTTCAAGCTGGATACCAGAGGGAGCTTCTATCTATTTATCTCAACCTTTTGGGACATCACAATATCTGATTGACGACGCCATCGTAGGCAAAGAAACATGATTACTCATTCACTGTACGACTTCACCATATAGTGTTGGTACGTATCGGTTACAGCACCATCTGTTTTGAAGCTGAAAATATCTTTGTCCAATTAGGATCGTAATTAGATTCTGCGCTTTCCTAAATACGTATCTATTTTGGAAGTTTGTTCGTTTCCACAAAAATCATTTACATGCCTACCATGGTAAAAGGAATCACCTGTCTCACATACGCTGATACATCTTCGCTGACTCATCTTGTCCACGTGTTGAAGCTAAGAAAAACAAAACAAAGAAGAACTGTCAAGCAATGTCATATATCTGTTACAATGTCATATATCTATAACTACCTGTCTCGCGTAAGCTGACGCATCATCCCTGATTCATCATGTCCACGTTTTGACGTAAGAAAAACAAAACAAAGAAGAGCTTTCAAGCAATATCATATATCATATTAGCCACTACAGATGAACGCAAATTTCAAAGTTGGATAATTTTTTATTTCTGGGCTTCTCCGCCTGCCCACACTAGCCAACAATTCGAGATGCAGAATTGTGCTCGAGAACGAAATCTTTCTGTATTCCCTTGTTCTAAACAAACTCAAATGGCCTTAATTTAGAATGTGCAAAAGCTGTCTGTTTCCGACACCGACAGCAGTAAGAGGCGTTATGAATCCTGTATGTAAAATCACCGAGTAAGGCACAAAAGAGCCGTCCCACGAGTTGCCAACTTGCTCGAAACTGCCTTCAAATTGTAAATAAGTATGGACATGTGTTTCACCGGGATTCGTTGCAGAGCCTATGAAAATGTGCGTCCGCTTCCTGACATGGCAAACCGTATGTGGACGGAATCGAGCGGAATCGGAAGAGCAGTAGTCGTGATTTTGTTTTTCTCAGAGACCAACGCTAATACTATTTTCTCCATCAAGATCACGTCTTTAGTGCTTGCCACTCACTGTAGCATGTAATAACTTGAGCGCAAGACAGGAGGTGTTCATGTTGTCGAGTCCATTAGCGCACGGACTGGGCCACTGCGGACCACGCGTCCCGAGACGCGTTGCGTGCTTCGTCGGCCGGTCCGTGCGGTCAAGGACGGACGTTACAGCAAGCAGAATATAGCCACAGGTGTTCGCCATTCGAACTCGTAACGATCCTTACCGACCGTTATTCTGCACCTTGGAGCAGTCACAGAATTAGCATGATTTCTTGAGATTTTATGAAAGAGTACAAATCCTTCAAAAATGTTTATTTGTGTTAGTATGTCAATAATCTCTGAGAGAGCCCTTGCTTCTGATACTTGATTCTCATGCCTGAAGGCGCCCCATTTCGTCCGTCTCGAACTTCTCCATCTGAATGCAGAGACGTTGTTAGAAGGCTGTTGCAATGGAAGTGCCCCCTACATTGGGAGAAGGAACCTCTGCGCCTTGAACGACGCTTCTTCGTCTTGAGCTTCCAATGAGGTTATGAGGGTCACATTTCAAGTGTGGTCTCCTTGTAGTTCATCTTCTTCTAGAGCCTGGGCTTTAAAGATATGCTTCGGCCGCGTCGTCCTCATTCTGCTACTCCGGCTTCCACCACTTGGAGACGAACCATGGCATGGTTAGTAAATGAACCTAACCTCTCATTTGCTCTGCTTTTATAGGCTGCGTCTGCCTTATCATGCATGTTGTTTACCAGCACACCCTATAAAAGCAGAGGAAAAGAGAGGTGAAGTTCATTTACTAACCATGCCATGGTCAGTCTCCAAGTGGTGGAAGCCGGAGTGGCAGAATGAGGACGACGCGGCCGAAGCATATCTTTGAAGCTCCAACGCTCCAGAAGAAGATGAACTACAGGGAGACCACTCTTGGAATGTGAACCTCATAACCTCGTTGGAACAAGATTGAGAAGCGTCGTTTAGGGCGCAGAGATTCCTTGACAAATGCGCAGAGGAAAGTCGCCTTCTTTTAATGTAGGAGGTACTTCTATTGCAACAGCCTTCTAACAACGTCTCTGCATTCAGGTGGAGAAGTTCGAGACGGACGAAATGGGGCGCCTTCAGGCATGAGAATCAAGTTTAGAAGCGAGAGCTCGCTCAGAGATTATTGATATCATACTAACAGAAATAAATATTTTTGAAGGATTTGTACTCTTTCATAAAATCTCAAGAAATCATGTTAATTTAGTAATTTTGTGACTGCTCCAAGGTGCACGGTCGGTAAGGATCGTCACGAGTTCGCATGACAAACACCTGTGGTCATATTCTACTTGCCGTACCGTCACTCGTTGAACGCACAGACCGGCCTAGAAAACACGGCGTCTCGGATCGCGTGGTCCGCAGTGGCGACCAGTCCGTGCGTTAATGGAGTCGACAACATGAACACCTCCTGTCTAGCGCTCAAGTTATTACATGTTACAATGGGAGCCAGCACCAAAGACGTGATCTTGATGGCGTCGCTACGAAGGGCTAGGGAAAATAGTATTGGAGTTGGGGCTTGCTTCACTTCTACCCTTTGATAACAATAAAATCACGACTACTGCTCTTCCAACTCGCTCTCCGATTTTCTCCACATATGGCTTCACAGCCTGCGTTGAAAGCAAACGCACACTTTCACAGGTTCTGCAACGAGTGTCGGTGGAACCAATGTCCACACACTTAACTAGAATTTGAAGGCGATTTCGAGCAAATCGGCAACTCATGACATTCCGGCTCTCATGTGCCTTACTATAGCGGCAATTTTGCATACAGGATTCATAACGCTTCTTGCTGCTTTCAAAAACAGGCCGCTTTTGCACATTATGAATTAAGGCCAGTTGAATTTGTTTAGTACAAGAAAACTCAGAAAGATTTCGTTCCGCGTCGTCCTCATTCTCCACTCCGGCTTCCACCACTTGGAGACTGACCATGGCATGGTTAGTAAATGAAATTCACCTCTCTTTTCCTCTGCTTTTATAGGGTGTGCTGGTAAACAACATGCATGATAAGGCAGACGCAGCCTATAAAAGCAGAGCAAATGAGAGGTCAGGTTCATTTACTAACCATGCCATGGTTCGTCTCCAAGTGGTGGAAGCCGGAGTAGCAGAATGAGGACGACGCGGCCGAAGCATATCTTCAAAGCCCAGGCTCCAGAAGAAGATGAACTACAAGGAGACCACACTTGCTCATTGGAAGCTCAAGACGAAGAAGCGTCGTTCATGGCGCAGAGGTTCCTTCTCTCAATGTAGGAGGCACTTCTATTGCAACAGCCTTCTAACAACGTCTCTGCATTCAGATGGAGAAGTTCGAGACGGACGAAATGGGGCGCCTTCAGGCATGAGAATCAAGTATCAGAAGCAAGGGCTCTCTCAGAGATTATTGACATACTAACACAAATAAACATTTTTGAAGGATTTGTACTCTTTCATAAAATCTCAAGAAATCATGCTAATTTAGCAATTCTGTGACTGCTCCAAGGTGCAGAATAACGGTCGGTAAGGATCGTTACGAGTTCGAATGACGAACACCTGTGGCTATATTCTGCTTGCTGTAACGTCCGTCCTTGACCGCACGGACCGGCCGACGAAGCACGCAACGCGTCTCGGGACGCGTGGTCCGCAGTGGCGACCAGTCCGTGCGTTAATGGACTCACAACATGAACACCTCCTGTCTTGCGCTCAAGTTATTACATGCTACAGTGAGTGGCAAGCACTAAAGACGTGATCTTGATGGCGTCGCTATGAAGGTTGAGAAAATAGTATTAGCGTTGGTCTCTGAGAAAAACAAAATCACGACTGCTGCTCTTCCGATTCCGCTCGATTCCGTCCACATACGGTTTGCCATGTCAGGAAGCGGACGCACACTTTCATAGGCTCTGCAACGAATCCCGGTGAAACACATGTCCATACTTATTTACAATTTGAAGGCAGTTTCGAGCAAGTTGGCAACTCGTGGGACGGCTCTTTTGTGCCTTACTCGGTGATTTTGCATAGGATTCATAACGCTTCTTTTTGCTTTCAAAGACAGGCTGCTTTTGCACATTTTAAACTAAGCCCAGTTGAATTTGCTTAGTGCAAGAAAACACAGAAAGATTTCGTTCTCGAGCACAATTCTGCATCTCAAATCGTTGGCTAGTGTGGGCAGGCGGAGAAGCCCAGAAGTAAAGAATTATCCAAGTTTGAAATTTTTGCCCATCTGGAATGGCTAATATGATATATGACATTGCTTGACAGTTCTTCTTTATTTTCTTTTTCTTACGTTTCGAAACGTGGATATGATGAATCAGGGAGGATGCGTCAGCTTGTGTAAGACAGGTAGTTCCTTTATCATGGTAGGCATGTAAATAATTCTTGTGAGAACGAACGAGCTTCCAAAATAGATAGGCATTCAGAAAGGCGCAACATCATATCACGTTGCTACTTGAGCAAAGGAGTTGCGTTTGGTTTACACACTTTCAGAATTTACCTTTTTCCTTTAGTGCGGGACGAAGCAATTAACTCTCATATGTTAGGAATTGTAGAAACTCACTCATTAATGGTTGAGATACGCCCAAACTGGATCTCAGGATTTATTTCGCACGGATTCATGGCGCAACCCATCAGTTTCGCGAAAGACCCACGCGCTCTTTTCTATACAGTATCATCAGCAGGGTGCTGTCCCAAAGTATGTATACGCTCTTCAAGCGTTAATATCTTTCTTTCGAAAAAGTGAAACTGATGGGTTGCGCCATGAATCCATGCGGGATACGATCCTGAGGTCCAGTTTCGAGGGGAATCTGAGCCGCTAAAGCACTACCTGAGCTGCCGCTTGGGCAGTGGCCATGCTGCACCTGCCAAGAAAGCCGCCTCTAAATACATGCGCATGGACGACCTCACGATTTCGCTCCAACTGTCGGAGACGGCATGTCGCAATATTATAAACGTGCGAGTCCGCAATAACTCTGTGCATCTAACCTTGGCGGAAACCGTACTCGTCAAAATTTATAGTGAGGAGCTTTAGGAAAAGCTGGATTTCTCTATTTTTGCGCTCTCCTGATTTCTGGAATCAGCGCGTCAGATCTCCCCACCAAAAAAATTTTGAGTCAAGGATTTGCCGAGCCTTTAAGGCAGTTCCTCAGCAAAAGAAAACATCCTGTAACTTTGTTTTCATATTCGGTAACTTGCTTACCCCTTGATTTTATTGAGTAAAGAGGGTCATTTTATCCTAGCAAACGTGAGAGCGTGGTATTTCTTCTTCGAATTTACATAAACTCGAGTTTGTTGCTTGACGTGCTCGCGCAAGCTTGTATCGGTGCTATTTTTTCCTACATAAATTTGTTACAATGGCTTGAATAGTGGTAATATGCTTCTTACTGTTGTCTTTTACCTGTGATTTTTTTATTTACTTTCTTATCCTTAATGTGGAATAAACTGAGCGTTTTAAACGATAAAATGGGTATATGAATTTTTTCTATATGTAGTCAATATCTTGCAATATTTGTAATTTAGAGATCTTCCTTGCTCCATATCTTCTATGGTATCAAACATTCCAGGTCAGCGCTTACAATTGGTAAGGTATCAATTTGTGCAGCAGTATAGGAAGACTATTTTTGTCTGCAACAATCCGATGTCGTTGGAGTAAGTTTTCTCTTTGAGGTGATTGTTGCCGCATGGGCTCCAAAAAAGTTTTTTTGGAAGCAGAACTGTAATGCTCCCTAACAAATTGCAACAAAATTGTTCGCGCATTTCTCTTGAGCGGGAAATTCCACACTTTGAATTCATCTTGGTCAAGGAGCACTTCAAACAATATGCTTACAAGGGAAGGAAGGTTGGTCGAAGTGGCCTTTTGAAATGAGGTGTATACTGCCTTGTCGAGCTTGGAACGCTGATTCCAAATCTACCTTTGCTATCTGCTGCGGGCTTCTGCGCGAGGAGTTATGAAGGTTTTTGTGAGTAAAAATTTGAATGCAAAAATAGGATAAAATCAGTCGTAACCTTTTCCCAATGTTCAAATGAGGCAGCAGCGAATTGGTTTATTTGAGTCAAGAATATTTTTTGCACCAAGTGACCCGACTACCGCTTAAGCCCTATAAAAAATGTTACGACTGATTTAGCTTACTCTTGCATTCAGATTTTTACTCACAAAAACCTTCATAACTTTTCGACCGGAAGCCCGCAGCAGATACCAAAGGTAGATTTGGAATCAGCGTTCCAAGCTCTACAAGGCAGTATACATCACATTTCAAAAGGCCACTTCGACCAACCTTCCTTTCCTTGTTAGGATGGAGCCGAGAACATAGTACCGCATTTTTATATTCAAGGAAACAGCGGAGGTCCGATTCAGACCTTAGAAGGGAAACACTTCCTTCTTGGAATAGCATCCTACAATGTCACTGCAAATTAGTTTTCTTCATTCTTTGGAAAAAAAAAACGAGTAGCTGCAGTTGGATGTAAACCAAACTGACTACCCCACGACAATGCAATGAAAGATATAGTTATCGCATACTATGCCATTTTCTAATTACCGAGGCATGGATGAAAGATTAGTGCAATCACAGAAATGGCAACGAAACTTTTTTGAATTCTGTTTTATGAGCGTTAGTGATTCGTTCATAATAATTGAGCAAAGAACTACAAAACTGTTTTGAAACCAAAGCGAAGTGCAAAATTTTCGGATTTTCTTTGACGAATAAAACGAAACGAGCGGTCTAGTTTTAGACAATTTATAGTGTATGCATTGTAGCAACAATTCCTTGCTACATGTATATACAGGGTGCCCCAAAAAATATGTGACACATTTTGATCATTGGTAACTCTCTTGCATGATGTCTTTCGCCGGGCTCAAGGTCCCTTATTTAAAATGAGGTTCAGCTTAAAATAACAGTACAAATCGCCTGACACGGCAGTGAGCGGCCGCTTTTATCGACGCTCTGCCGAAGATCTACTGGGCCGCTCGTTCCCCGGATTCCTCCGTCAAAGACCTCAGCCTTCATCCTCGTTCCCTATCCTGCATTCGGATTTCGAGTCCCCTATTCTGGTTCTGCTTCTGCCTAATGCCCGATACGACCGATACGCCTGTATATCCGCTACAGCCTCATGAAAGGCAGAAAAAGAGGCGCCTGCAGTACGACATCACCCCACCCGACTTCTCCCGTGCAGCTGATGATCTCTTGAAGGATGAGGATATTCCACTGTATGCTAGAACTGTACTAGCTTATCTAGTCGAATCCCACAAGCACTTCGAGGCGGTCAACGAACGGAATCGTGAGTCGTTATCGAGGAATAACGATTTGTCGGAGCAATTGATTTCCCTTAAGTCTGAAAATGAAAGACTTAGGTCACTTGTTGATAACTCTAGCATGCGTGACCCTGCACCCTCCCCCATGCATCGAGCTGATAAAGAAGATCTTGAGAGAGAGCGAGCTTTAGTAATTGCTGGAGTCCCTGAACTGCGAAGATCGAGGAGTTTTGATAAGGTTAACCATGATTTCTCCTGTGTTGAATATATTTTGGACTACCTTGGGGTAGACTGCAGACCTATCGCAGTTTATCGAATGGGGAAGCCAAACAACACATTCAGTCGACTCTTGAAAGTTATTCTACCCGCTTCATACTTTGTAAGGCTGGCGCTGCGGAGGGCGCCCCAAATGAAAAGTTTCCCGTATCAGAGGGGGGTATACATACGTCCCTCTCTCCCCAAAGAAGAGAGGGATAAAATTCGGGAACTGAGGACGGCTCGCCGTAGCGCTGAAGCATCTAAAAGCAGTGGTATCAACGCAGAGTACTCTAGGAATTTATCAATAATTGATCATGTTGACCACGTTGCTAGCGGTAATATCAATACGCAAGTTGATTCTGAGGTACAACAGCCAATTTCTTTAAACAAATAAGACCTCCGCGGATTGCGAGTAGCTTTTTGAACTGTCTTTTGGCTAATATTAGGTCGCTGTGTAAGAACATTGATAGCTTGAAATTCCAAATTCTCAATAGTAACATTTTGGTCATAGGTATCACTGAGTCTTGGTTAAACGAAAACATAAGTGACAGCTCGTTGTTTGGGTGCCTGTGAGATGATTACCTTGTCTATAGATGCGATCGCACTGGCAAAAAAGGAGGAGGTTTGGTATTTATCGTTCATAAAAGGCTCAGCCCGTCCTTGGTGTTTCATGAGTCAGTGCATGAAAGTTATGAGATATTGTCTACTGATATTTTTGCCCATAAATCGATAAGGCTGATCTTGGTGTATAGAGCCCCGAGCTGTCCCTCCAGTAAAACAAGGCAGTTGATCAGCGCTATCACAGATTTACTGGCATGTCCATGTTCAATAGTTCTGATGGGAGATTTCAACCTCCCGGGAGTTGACTGGAGTGATCCCCATATAGGCACAGCGCCTAATGCTGTTTCTAGGGATTTTCTCAGGATGTGCAGGTTGTATGACCTGGCCCAGAAAGTTGGGGCTCGGACGCTGGGTGACAACTTACTCGATCTGATTTTTACAAATGATCACGAATTGATTAGTGAGGTCAAAGTAGAAGCACCACTGGGTACCAGCGACCATGCATCGATTAAATTTCGAATGAATAACTTGGAGAGTTGCAGTGCATCCTATGTCACATGCAGGGACTTCAAACATGCTGATCTTCAGGGGTTGCGGCAATATTTATCTGGTGTTGACTGGTATGGTTCATTTGCTACGGTAAACACCGTCAACGAGATGTATGAAATCTTTTTGTTCATACTGCATCATAGCATTGATTTGTATGTCCCCTTAATCACAGCCCCTGTGATCAGACATGTGATGCCGAAACACCTTTGCGCTCTTCACGCCAGTAGACAACGAGCATGGACGAAAGTAATCAAGATTGGGGGAAATGTGCAGTGGGACACTTACTCCAAACTTGATGCTAGGTTCCGAAAGAAGCTACGAAAATACAATTCCTCTGTTGAAAAGAAGGTTGTAAGCAGTGGTAATAGATCGCTATTTTACAAGATGATCAGCTTCAGACTCAAAAGAAAAAGTGGTCTTGGGCCTCTTTGTTCTGACGATGGCGCAGTCATCACTGCGGATGTAGCAAAAGCTGAATGTTTAGCTGACGTTTTTGAAAAAGTATTTCAAATCGAAACCGGTCTCAGTCATAATCAGTCCACTGCAACCTTCGAAACAATGGAGGAGGGGGTATGGTTTTATCGTGATGAAATTTACAAACTGTTGATGCGTTGGCCAAAATCCACTTCCCTAACACCAGATTTCTTGCCATTGCAGCTCATCAAAGCTGTCGCGGATATAATCTGTGGTCCTCTTGAATACATTTTCAACTTGAGTATGATAAGAGCTGAGGTTCCCGAGAGGTGGCGTTTGTCTTTTGTTACACCTATACCTAAAAGGAAACCTTATACTTGCCCTAGGAATTATAGGCCTATTAGTATAACATCGATCTTTGCCCGACTACTTGAAAAATTTTTGAAGAAAAGTATAACAAAACATCTAGAGAGGTACAGCGTTATAAATCCTGTTCAGCACGGGTTTCAAAAAGGCAGTTCTACCACAACTGCTATGCTCCATTCCTTGAATGAATGGACGCGACAAATTGAGGATGGATTTAACATTGACGTTATCTATTTGGATTTTGCCAAGGCTTTTGACAAAGTTCCGCATAAGAAACTTCTGCAAAAGCTCGAAGTTGTAGGTATACATCCGCGTATCATTGCTTGGATTAAAGCCTTCTTGATGAGAAGATCTTTTGTTGTACGAATCAATGGTTCCTTCTCTAAGCCAAGAGAAATCAGTAGTGGAGTGCCGCAGGGAGGTGTTCTTTCACCAATATTATTTAATATTTATACCCACGACCTTTGTCTCATCCCACTTTCTAAAGGAGTCTCTTGTACTGCATTTGCTGATGATCTAAAATTGTACGCTGTGGTGATGAATGACAGCGGACGTGAATTGTTGCAAAATTCCTTGAACGATGTGTATGCTTGGTCGCTGGAATGGGAAATGCCCATTTCTCGAGAGAAAACGAAGGTGCTTCATATAGGTTCGAGTAATCATGCGTACCTATACTCCTTGGGAGGAGTCTCCCTAGAAACAGTCACATCTGTGAGTGATTTGGGCTTCCTAGTTAGGAATGATCTCACATTTGATGAGGGGTGCGTAGCAAGTGGTACCCAGGCAGCCGACTGCTGTCGCAGCCAGCCACCAGAGCTGCCGGCAAAGCCGCTGCAGATAGTACAGTAACTACGCTCTGGTCTAAAACTCTTGCCAAAAGGTTTCCTCGCGCCTCGTCGCTTTGAGGTCAATGATAAAATACGAAAATATGCCACATCCGCTTGTATGAAAGGGAACATCACCAAGAAGCATGTACTATTTCAATCTACACAGTTCCAGGTATTTTGAGAAAATAAAAAAATAGTAATGAAAAAAATTCGAAATTCAGAACTCATTGCAAATAATGAAAGTTCAAAATTGAAAGAACCACCTTTGATAACCCTTCAACAAGACCGCATTTCGAATTCTGAAGTGTTCATGCAAAAGCGAATTTGATTTTTAAGAATTCATTGGAAAATCAAGGATTCTTAAAACTACAGCGTCAATGGATATTTATTGTACTTTGATTTCAAAGTTTTTTTTTTCAAAATTTCAGTTTCTCAAGAAACATGAAATTTTTGCTGTTCAAATTGATATCGAGGATCACGCTTTCCTGAGGTTGATTTCGCACCTCAGAACGGCGAGGTGCGAGGAAACGTCTCGGCAAGAGTTTTAGACGACCAGCATATTTACTGTACCATCTGCAGCGGCTTTGCCGGCAGCTCTGGCGGCTGGCTGCGGCAGTAGTCAGCTGCCCGGGTACCACTTGCACGCCTCCCTTTGATGAGCACTGTAAAATTATTGCGGATACTGCTATGAGGGCCGTTTATAACTTGTTTAGAGCACTCTCGTGCAATAAAGCTGAGGTGTTCCCGGAAGCGTATAAGACATTCATAAGACCTATGCTAGAATACGGTACCTCCATATATAGCCCTCATTTGCGCAAAACAATCAACTATCTTGAAAGAGTTCAGAACAGTTTTACGCGTAAATTATTTATAAGAACTACCGGTTTATCATATGACCAGATACCTGATGGAAAGACTCGCAACTTGAATTTTAAGCTGTCGACATTAGCATACCGAAGGCGCAAATTTGATTTGATTCTGGCTCATAAGGTCATTTTTGGGGAATGTAGACTCGACCTCAAGGATTACTTTTCCGCTAGACCTTCCAACACTCGTGGTGGGCATGTAAAGCTGATAAAACCAAGAGCAAAGTCAAAACTGAGAGAAAACTTCTTCAGTTGTCGCGTATATTCTGACCTCGATGAAATGGTAAGAAATGGAATGTTAACTGTCAAGCTATCAACGTTCAAGACCAATATAAAGAGTTACTTGCAATCAAAAAGTTGTTTGTGATGATCTGGTGTACCTCAGGTTGAATGATCTTGTCATTGTTAATCTTCGTTGTTGTTCTGTTTGTTTTGTGTTGTTTTTCTTTTTTTCTGGTTCTGTTTGATTCTCACATAGGGGCAACCCTATGTAACAATAAATAAATAAATAAATAAATAAAATGCAATGAAAGATATAGTTATCGCATACTATGCCATTTTCTAATTACCGAGGCATGGATGAAAGATTAGTGCAATCACAGAAATGGCAACGAAACTTTTTTGAATTCTGTTTTATGAGCGTTAGTGATTCGTTCATAATAATTGAGCAAAGAACTACAAAACTGTTTTGAAACCAAAGCGAAGTGCAAAATTTTCGGATTTTCTTTGACGAATAAAACGAAACGAGCGGTCTAGTTTTAGACAATTTATAGTGTATGCATTGTAGCAACAATTCCTTGCTACATGTATATACAGGGTGCCCCAAAAAATATGTGACACATTTTGATCATTGGTAACTCTCTTGCATGATGTCTTTCGCCGGGCTCAAGGTCCCTTATTTAAAATGAGGTTCAGCTTAAAATAACAGTACAAACCGAATTATCAATCACCCTTTATTAGTGTAGGATTACGGTATGAACTTCGAAAAGGATTTTAGGGAAGTGAAAGCGATTTTTTCTCAAAAGGAAAACCAAGTAAGCCAGAAACTTTTGCACTAGACTAATTGAAGTCGCGGTTCTGAACATGAAATTTGTAGTCTACTGTAATGCTTCGTTCAAAATTTATCTCAGAATAGGTTACAAGCGTTTTTACAGAGTTCATCAGAAGTGTGATTAGATCATATAAAGAACTCAAAAAACCGGTAAAATTTTTGAAGTGAAATCGGGACGTCTGAAAACCTTGCTACACAAATTTCTAGGTTTTTTTTTTGGGGGGGGGGGTCTATAACAAGGCCTATACCACCGTTGCTCTTTAAGCTGTAAGTTCCGTAATCCTACACAATGCAGAGTGGTCGATGATTCGGTCTACAATCTCGCTTTACAGATTGGCACTGCAAGCTCGGTGAGACATGTAAGCAAGAGAGTGATTAGCGATCAAATTGTTCACATCTTTTTAAGACATCTTGCGTATTGTAGGTACCACTAAATAACAGACATTGCAACTTGCACACAAAACAATACTTCAAATTTCTAGTTCAAAATTATGAGGATTTGAAGTTCGGCCATTTTTATGCAGCAATACCAACTCAGTTTAACCAAAAATGACAATATTACGGGGTTTCTAAAAAGCCTCAAGCTCACCTTAATGAAGACCCAAGCTCCAGCAATGTTTTATCTATATTTTCAGCTGGAGGCATGTTCAGCGATGTGCGAAAACACCTCGACTGGATTTGCGATGAAACCGGTAAGCGGAGTGACCTAAGAACTTATTTGATTCCAAGCACAAGTTGAAACTATGGAGCTCTTTAGAATGATTAAACTTGCTAATAAGGCAGTATTTCTTTGGCTATCAATCCGTAATTCCCTTTTACTAAGAAATGTTTCTATGCAGGAGTTTGTCCACATTCTGGAGCAACCAGTCATCAATCGGAGTCGATACCTTCACCACCGCCCTCCACTGTCTCAGCAGTATTCTCAGTGGTACCCAATGACGACAAACAAAAAGATGTTGAGAGTTAGCAATTTATCGATAAATGGTTCAGCATCACTTTCCAAATCGAAAGATCAACAACAGTTAGGAGTACATGAATAATGATGTGCCTGATGAAAGGGACGCAGTATTCCGCAAATTAATCAAGTATTCGATAGTATTTGTTTGGTTGGCTATATGTCATTTTGTAACTGAAGAAAGAATTGCAAAAAACACAGACAAAATCTCTCCACAAAACTCCAATTACCAAATGGCGGTTCCAACCGAAAGAAAAGAATAATGATTCATGTTGAGAAATTGCTAAACGGTTTATTTCATCTACCAAATTAACTTCCAGGATCGCATGTTTCCATGTTGAAATAGTCCTGTACAGGGACAATCATGATTTCGCTTTTTGGACCAAGAACGAGCGCAAACAAGGTATTATCCTTCATCTAGATTTTTCGGAATGGTGTAAACTGGGCCTGTTCTGCAAACTAATACAGGATGCAGAGGAAAGCGACACCGAGCAAAACATGTGGGAGCTGCGATAATGTACCGTGCCGCGTGACAATATAGTCTTAGTATGTATTGGCCATAAACGCACTGTTTTAGTGTTGAAGAAACTTAGGAGAGGTAAGTCGTGCTTTCTGAGAGCGAATACGAAAATCTGCCGTATTCGCAAAACCGAGCATCAACATTTGAAACAAGCTTACTTGACTTTATAAGAATGACGCACTTGCTCGAGGGGCAGCGTCTCCATGTCGGCGAAACTATCGCGCTCTCGATTCGGAAACCCTGTATATGTACGTACATACTATATAGGGCTTATACCAGGGTCAAGCGTGGGGTGCGGCAAGCCACACCTGGGCGGTCGTATTGAGAAGTCAAAAGGGGAGGCGGTCGTAGCTGGGTAATCTGATAATATTGATAACATGATATTCGTATCATATCCATAATTAGCATGTCAATTAACCCCTGTAGACAAAGTGTGAGCGAATTCCGAAGATTCAAAATACTAGGCTACCTAAATGAAATGGTCAAATTCCATCACGATTAACTTTGTTTCAAAGGTGAATTAGCTATCCGTTTTTGCACTCAAGACAAAGCACTTCTCCTTCTTTGTCCACCTCATGAATCCCGCTTCAGAAGACCTGCAAACTGTGGAATTAGAAGCCAACCAAAATCTCGTTTTTCCCATTTTTCGCTTTTGATCGCTGTGCTTTCACCAAATATTACTTAGAGCTAGAAGACAAATCAGGCTCCAAACAGTCATATGGAATCTACAAGGTTTAGGCTATCGATTCATATAAATACTGTCCGCTAAAAATGTTTTTTTAATATAGTTGGAGTGCGGCACACCCTTAAAAGCTGCGACTGCCGCAGCTTTTAAGGGGGTGTGCCGCACCCCATTAACTTGCCTTCAAAATCCAGAAAGCGCTCCATTGCTGGTATGAGTGTTGAGCACATAGCTTCTTCTTGCTACATTGGAAATTTGGTGCCGAACGCCCCACCCATAAGAAAATTATGGCCCTTTCAATATGCCCATTCAGATCAAAGTCAACCGTCAAATTACGTGTGATTGTAAAGTGCAGTCACAGAAAATCGGGCGTACAGCTCTCAGAAATCTGAAAACTCTCTAGAAAAAGATGATGTCTTCCAGAATGTCACACTTTGAGGTGCAGAGGTTAAGAAGAGGAAGAAGGGGTCGTTTGAGGGCTTTCATGGAAGGGGGGGGGTTCGAAAGACTTGTCTGACCTCTTTCTCAACTCTGATAATGCTATCTTAGGTATATAGCTTAGGGGGGGGGGGTCTTATTAAGACAGCAATCAGGGGGGGGGTCGTAACCAGCGATCGTGTGCCACACCCCTTGCTTGACCCTGGCTTATACCATTACCTGCGACTATCAATTACGCAGGCGCCGCGCGCGACAGACTGGTAGTAATCAGCTGCGAGGAGAGCTCGGTGAGCGGACCCGCAAAGCATACTATTCTATCTTTTGTAAAGGTTTTCACGCTATAATATCAAATCTTACTGTTCAATAAAAGTGGAAATCTTATGAAAATACTTAACAACGTGACCTCAAAACATATCTGGAACATTTCTTCTGGCTCCGCTGCTTCTTGCCCAGGTCACATACTGTAACGCGCGTCGCGGCAATTTTTAATTGACACCCTCAAGTAATGGGCTTCCCCCTACTATATAAGGCTTACAGCCAGGGTTTTGCCTTGAGATTGAGAACTTCATGGCCAACAATGAAAGTAGCTGCCAATCATGAACAAGAAACGTATTAGAAAGGGGCAGTATGCTCAATAAGACAGAGATCATTGACTAAACCAGTAAGAAAAAGACGCCTGTGAAAATTTGTATATCTCCTCTGAACAAAGATCGATTCTGCATTTGGAATTTGTACAGCATGTTTTGATTAACGTACAACAAACACAAACAATGTAGAAGTTTGTTGATCCTCGGCGATGCGAATTCCACTCAAATAAAAGCATGTATATAGGTAAGTACCCTATTTTCAGGTGTATAAGCCGCACCCTTTTTGCTCTAAACGCGAGCATACCCACGGTCGCCTTATCGCATACTGCTCTCAATTGACGCGCTCCATGATGACAGTCAGTCTTTTGGCATGTTCGCCTTTAGAGTGTAAAGAGTGCGGCTTATACACCTGAAAATAGGGTACTTAACTTATCAAGCGCTTTCGCTTATTGGCGAATGTAAAGAAGCTTCGAAAATGCTCCACCGAAACGAAAACGATATTTCTGTAAGACTAAAACCTCTAGGCACAGAAGACTTTGGATGAGATCGATTGATACCCGGACAGCCGCTTGCTGCCAGGTAATCAGCTAGGATCAACGCAGGCTCATTTGCGCTGCGCTACGCGGCAGCCCAGATTTCTTGCCATTCGCGCACCACACTTTGAGATGCGAAAAGATTTGGTCGTGCATTATACTTCCGTAGCCAGAACCAGAAAACTAAAAATTAATCTATAAATACTGTGAAACATTTGTAATGACATGAGACAGCAAATCAGGTTTTACTTGCAGATCAATAAATTTCCAAAAACATAAGTTAAGTACCTTCTCTTTTTGAGAGATTTATCGTTCTATGTCCCATAAAATCTTTGAAAGTGAAACGTTTTACATTTTTGACTGCGGTTAGATTTCTTGGCTTGGACTTTTCACTCGCTCCTCAAAAACCAACTGACATCTCTCATTTGAAAGTACTCCAGTAATTGTTTCTTTATAATTTTTATAATAAAATTCGCTTCTTTGATATCCTTATAAGTTTTTAGCAGTTGAACGCACAATAGATCTCTTCGTGCATCAAAGCACGAGCGTGACTGGTGAGAGATTGTTTTCTGAAAGGTTAAAGGAGCGAGAGGGGCTGCCGCGTAGCATAGCGCACTAGATTGCGTCGCGCCTCGCTGATTATCAACGGTACGGCTGCGAGGGCTGTTCGGATATCAGGTGATACGTACCAAAGAGATTTCGTTTTTTGGTGAATCCCTGAGCGAAATATATACTGCTGTTGAAAACTGAGTCAAAGGAAGCTGCATGAATGCTACTCATCACTGTGCTTAATATGGCACGCTTTCAGCTTGTTCCAAGCTTAATTTGAATCCCATAAATTGTATTCTATATTTTTATATCTCTACCCGATTTCTTTTGAGCGAACTGTTGATAAGCGCGAATTATTTGTATTACAACGCGCTACTGGCCAAACGCTCCTCCGCTCCTCCTCCAATCTTATATATAAAGCTGAATGTCTGTTTGTATGTATGTCTGTCTGTATGTCTGTATGTCTGTGTGTACGTATGTTCCGAATAGAAAATTCCATTTCTGAACCGATCGGGACCAAACTTGGCACACATACACTTCGGGCCCCGGCGGGTGTCATAGGCTACTTTTCGTATCGATCGATATCGATTTTATCGATCTTTATCGATTTTTTTGCTGAGTTCACCTACGGGGCTGGGAGTTGGCACAGGGGGGTAATCGAGCATGGGGATTCCGAATACAATATTGGTTTTCAGGATTATCGATTACTTTTATCGATTTTATCGTTTTTTTTGCAAAGTTTGAGCTACGGGGCTGGGAGTTGGCACAGGGGGGTAATCGAGCATGGGGATTCCGAATACAGTATTGGTTTTCAGGATTATCGATTACTTTTATCGATTTTATCGATTTTTTTGCAAAGTTTGAGGTAGGGGGCTGGGAGTTGGCACAGGGGGGTAATCGAGCATGGGGATTCCGAATACAATATTGGTTTCCGGGATTATCGATTACTTTTATCGATTTTATCGATTTTTTTGCAAAGTTTGAGGTAGGGGGCTGGGAGTTGGCACAGGGGGGTAATCGAGCATGCTGATCACCCCCAAGGGGGGTGATCAGCATGCTCGATTACACTCCTGTGCCAAATTCCAGCCCCCTAGCTCAAATTTTCAAAAAATCGATAAAATCGAAAAAGTAATGGACGATCCTGAAAACTAATATTGTGTTCGTAATCTGCATGCTCGATTACCCCCTGTGCAAACTCCCAGCCCCGCAGGTCAAACTTTACAAAAAAAAATCGATAAAATCGATAAAAGTAATGGACGATCCTGAAAACTAATATTGTGTTCGTAATCAGCATGCTCGATTACCCCCCTGTGCAAACTCCCAGCCCCGCAGGTCAAACTTTACAAAAAAAAATCGATAAAATCGATAAAAGTAATGGACGATCCTGAAAACTAATGTTGTATTCGGATCCCCATGCTCACTTCCCCCCCTGTGCCAACTCCTAGCCCTGTAGGTGAACTCTGCAAAAAAATCGATAAAAATCGGTAAAATCGACATCGATCGATAACAAAAAGTGGACTGTGACACCCGCCGGGGCCCGAAGTGTATGTGTGCCAAGTTTGGTCCGGATACGGCGGAGCCGGGTAAGCCAGCTAGTGTTCTATAAAAGCCAAGCCCTAAGACGGAAGCAGCGCTATGCTTGCTTCAACATTGCTTACCTAATCTCTCCATCTCCTTCATTTTGATTCCTTTTGTTTATGTCAACCTTAATCCTTCTTGTTACCTTTATAAATTTTTCCGCATACGTAGTCCCTCAAGTTGCTGCAATTCTTTCTCATGATTCCTTATGTTTTATTGCTTCCAGATTTACACCCTTTGTGCTTGATTTTAATCGAAATCTTCACTCCAACTAAATTATCATTGAAAATGGTGTTATCACTAGGAGGAGTACCATCCCAGAATATGTAGTCTATTTGTAGTGAGACGGTTCCAAGGTCACCCAAACTAATGATAGCAGGGTTTCAGGCATTATTTTATAACAAAAGCAGCTAAAGTGAGTGTTTCGCCATAACTTGGTATGTGAGATGAAGCAAACAGATGGTAACCGTACCAAAAGCCTAGGCAGACCCTGTATTCAGCACTTTAGGTCTAGCTATGGTGCTCTGTCGCCCTTGAAGCTGGAATTATCAGAGAAAATATGGAAAGTGGGGAAGCGGAAGATTTATAAATGATTTAAGTTTGTCTCACATTATTAATAAACACTGGAAACACCTAATTTATAAGGGCAATACCATGAATTCTTGCTTCCACTGGTTATCGTCCTCAGTAGAAGCTGTTATTGATATCCTGCGCAATTTCTCTGACCTTCTGAATGATTATATCTACAGATGACCTCACTGTGGTTGCTTCTCCTTCTACTTCTTCACGCAGCATCTGCGAGAAAGCTCACCAAGAAGGAAAATGAGCAATTGAAGAGAATGTGCGGACTTGCAAAGTCACCAGGTACTGAACGTAATTAAACATACGCCACCGTTTCTAGCCCACAATAAGTTTTTGAGATACCGAGCATTAATACCTGAAGAATGCTCATGCTTGCCAAAAAACAGATTGTTGGAACTTTAGTATTTTGTTCAGCAAACGGTCGCAATTAAGTGATCGTGGCAAAAAGTAGGTGGGCTTGTCTGGGTAAGCCACCATTATGAACTATCATACTTGGGACCCTATGGCGGTTATTTTGGCGTAGTAACTTCGCAGCGTGTCACGATAAGGCTACTGAGAAATATGAACTCGAATTTGTGTAAGGAACTTTAGTCGTGATTTAGAAGGAGTATTTTCAAGGTTCAATACCTCTCATCAGATTACGAGAGTCAAAAGGGAAAGGCTAGTAGTATCTGGGAGAGCGGAATTTGTCTACACTCGATCCCCAGTCAAAGCATAACAAATCTTTCCTATATTTTTTAGCTTGTAAAATAGGCTATATCTTACTACATGGTATTAGGTTGGAAAGAAAAGAATATAGTATATTATAGCAAAGCAATAACGAACCGATAGATATGAGGGATACCATTTGATAGAGAGAAAATGGCAAATTTCGCTTCAGTCTTAACAATAAGCTCCTTCCGTTTATGCCGTTCTATATCAGAAGGTTCGAAACTTTAACGAACCATAAAATTTTTGGCTTTGAATGTGCTTCTCTCGAGAGATATCAATTTTCGCCGAAAATGTTCGGCATACATACTTACCAGCGTGATGGTATTTTGTGGACTTCAAAGATGAAAGTTTAAAAGACTTCCTCCATAGGGCGTGTACAGGGGAGTTCACATGATTTGTGGCTCAAGAAGAAAAACTCATCACTTTGAAAAAGTGAACAAGATTACAAAATTTTGTCTTCATCCAAAAACAGAGGAAGATTCTGTAGAATCATTTCGGCCACTTCGCAACATCCTCGCCTGGCCTTCAAGAGCACCTCCGCTTCCGAGATTTTTGGCGATCCTCTTAAACTCCACTAGGTCTCCCTTTAGTAAAACGGAAAATATGTGGGTTCAAGGTGAGGCAAATCGGAAGGCTAAACCTATTTTGTGTAAATGTCTAAAAGATGGACTCTAGATCATTGCAGATTCTTTTTTTCTCTGGGCTATTGTCTTGCTTTACCAAAAATTCCAAGCAAAACCCATAGTGTTTGCCTGGCTTAAAGGAACCGCCCACCCTTAGGGGTCTTGAGCTTCTAGCAGCTCACGATTGTAGAACTTCCTATTAAGCCAATGCCCGAGTGGCGGCAGTCGGCACCGCCCCTCTCCAGTGATGCCCGCCCCCATGCGCGCCCATCCAATCATCGTTCAGGAAAACCGCCCGGTGGGTTCTCTGGAACGGAATTGTCGGGACCCTCGCGGATTCTCTCGTTTCCGGGATAAGGGACTGAGAAGGCCCCGGAACGATTGAAACATGGAAGTCGAGAACCTGGGTGGACGGTGCCTTGAGAAAGCACAACAGCCCTTCAAAATTTGCTTCCGGTTTAAACCTACAACTCGGTTTTCGTGGCGACAACTACGGTTAATGAACCTTTGAGCTAAATCAGCTCTAGGAATTGAAGTCTAGAATAGCGACAACGGGACGAAAGTGGAAAGGAATTCACCAAAACATGGCAAGAACGGGACAAAAAATGTATACGCAGCGCCTCACACTTCACGTGGACACCCTGTAGTAGGACGTCTGATTGCATTCGAGTGAAAAATTTTTTAATGCTTGTAAAACAAGTATTTCTGTTTTAACTTGGCTTAGGGTTGTTCTACGATAATGCTCAAACGCCAGCTTCGTTGTATTAGGTTGTCTGAAATTACTGTCCATTTTAGATCTTAACCGCAACAAGTCATACATCTTTCATTTCTATTTAGGTCCCAACGAGAGATTTTATATAAGTTGCATCTGATAGAGCAAAGCAACCTATACAAGATGGCAATCTTGCTATAGCAAAAACTACAATCCACCTCTGAATTAAGCCGAAACGGATTTAATAAAAAGATTTAACTGCCCGAAAAATCGAGAAAAATCGTAACTCAGTTTATAAGATCCTACAAAAGTTCTAACTTGTTCACGTAAACAATCCACGAAAGACATTTATGTACGCTGTTGCCATAATTTTCCTTTAATAAAAACAAAGGAAACGGAAATTTTTGTGCATTTGTCGAAGCGGCGCTGTGCCGTCCCACATAATGGTTGTATACTATAGATCTGTAGAAGTACAAACGTAAATTTTTAACTCTCTACAAGCTTTAGTTCTCGAGAAATTTGAATTCTATCTTGGACCGCCTGACTACAGAAAGCTGTACTCGATATTTTTCGAGAACTAAATCTTGTAGAGAGCTGAAAATTTACATTTGTATACTTCTACAGGTTTGTGATATACAGCTGCTAGTGTAGGGAAAGCACAGCATCACTTCGGCGAATGACAAAAATTTCCGTCTTCTTGTTTCTAACAGAGATAAAAAAACACTGCAAGGCGTATTTACATGTTTTATATGGATAGTGTTTACGTGAGCAAGTTAGAATTTTTGTAGGATTCTTATGAACTGGGTTACGATTTTTTTCAATTGGACAGTTGAACCTTTTTAGTTTTTGGCTCGAAACTCGAGGTGGATGAGAGCTGTTGCAAAAGTAAAATAGCCATCTTGTAGAACTTTGCTCTATCGAATAGTACTGCAGTCTATGTGAAAGTATAATGTATGTGTGTATGACCTACTGCGGCTGAAGTTCAAAACGAACATTAATTTTTGGACAGCTTAACACAGAGAGGAAAATAGACTTCGAAAGGTAATGCTCATGAAAACAAATTCCTGATCTCCTAGTAAGGAATATTTTGTACTCGTTTCGTATACATTTTCAGAACCATCCGCTCCATTAATATTAGGGTGATCGGAAAGTAATGGGACACCTAAGGAGTAAATGTAGTTTTCTCAAGCAGAGTTAATTGGATGTCCCAGTGGCGTACCCAGGATTTCGGCTCGGGGGGGGGGGGCGCGACAAAAATTTTTTTCTAAAGAAGGTGCGTGGCGTTAGCCACGCACTCCGAAAAAATTTTTGGGGTGCTTCTCAAAATTTTTGCGGGTCTCCGACCCCTAAAATCTGGACACGCCCCCAAAAAAATTTTTTTTACAAGGCTAATTTGATTTTTTAAAAATTTTTAAAAATTATTTTAATTATTTACAAAAATAAACAAGTCATTTGCACATTTTTATAACCCATATAAGTACTTTCAAAAATTTCGCGACCCATTCTCGGGGGGGGGCGCGCGCCCCCCCCCGCCCCCCCCCCCCCTCGGTACGCCACTGGGATGTCCCAGTTTTGGCACATGTTAGTGCATATCAAAGTCTTCTGATCGAGCTCTATAGATAGGCACTTCGCATGGCGTCGTATTTATAAGTGCTCAAAACCTAAGTTCGTCACTCCAAACAATTTCGAACTTGAAGCAGCAACGCCGCAGTGAGGCTGACAGAATATTTGTGCTGCAATGGGTTAGTGGACTGTCACCAGATCCATGGTAACATGATGGTCCCAATGCTCGCAGCAGAAGATATAGCATTAAGTATCAGGTGACGTAGTATTTCTTTCTCATCGAGTTTATCGATGGACTCGCCTTTGACGAATGGCATTTGATAGAACTGCTTACGCTCTATCCATATGTACGCAATTTAACTCGAGAAAACCTCGCTTTCAAAAATTGTGGGCCAAACACGTTTTTAATGCACGGATCAGCTGCCTCTTTTATCCAGAATGATAAAGCTTTGCAGGATCAAGCGATCATTAGAAACAGTTTGGAAGGCATTTCGAGTGGTATATCATGTGCCCAGGGAATTGAAAGTACTGCAGTACGAATTTGGATGGCGTTCAAAAAAGTCTGTCTGACTTTCTTGAACCGCCGCGCGAAGGATTGTAGGATATGAGCTGCAAGTTCTGCCAGGATAACATGCGAGAACTTCATACAAATTTACCCTTATTGCTGGTTGTTTATTGTTTATCAGAAAAAATATCGGAAATGAAAAAATTGAAGTGTCTCATTACTTCCCGATCAGCCTAATAGTTACTTTGCCATTTCAGATTTTTGCCTATTCTATGAACAAAGAAGGTGTCTTGTAACATACAAAACATCTTGATTTTTGATGAAACAACATTTTAGGAGTAAAAACCAATGATGTCACAGATTCCAACATCTTGAAGTAATTGGAACAATAATAGTAATTATTGAACACTTGAACAGTAAACTGCATGTTTATCAGCTTAGTTCAGCCTCAATGCGATTTTGTTTTCTGTAAGTGAAGAACTTCTAGAAGACAAAAGGAAGCGTCCAGGCAGACGTCCAAGCGTCGAGGACCACGCCCACTTCCTTGCGCGGCCACACTTACGAATAGAGTCTTTTCAGCACTTGACATGTTTTTACGTGGCAAACACAGTAGAACACATAGCGCTTACCTGTTAATGCTTGCTTTCGATTCTAGGTTTGCTCAAAATAGCTCCAGAAAGGTGGTTTGAAAAAATTTACGCTTTTTGAGATCCATGACCAGCCCATAAAAGGCCTGGATAACATAAAAATATGTAGGTCGAGAATCTGCCTGGACGCTGCCTTTGACTGGCCTGCACTGTCATTGTTAGGAACAGTGCTTTAGCGCACACCTATCTAAAATTCGCTGATCGAAACTTTTCAAAATAATGAGTTTCAGATAGAACTGTTTTTAATGAGTTGCACTTTGACTACCTATGTGAGAAGTGCGTACTAATCATCATACTTTGTTGTACAATGCTTCGTTATTTCTTATTATACAGAAAATTTCTCGTCAACACGCATGAGGCGCCGAGTCCCGGTCGAAGTTTCTAAATATCCCTTTGTCGTTGCATTGAACCATCGGAGTGAGTACTTAAGCTCAAGTTTTGTCTTGTAAACCTTGAAATTATTCGACAAATCACTCAGGAACCATTTTTCAGTTGTTCTTAACGGGTGGGACGGAGAGACTCGATATGGATACAAACCAAAACCATCTTGCACCGGTGTGTTGATTTCACCTCGTCACATCCTGACGGCTGCACATTGCGTGTGCTACAACTCTTCTAACTACGTCCGAGGGTATTTTCCAAATATAGTTTTTACAGCATAGAGTCTGTACATCTTTTGAAAAAACTCGAAGTGCTTTTTTGAAAGATTTTCAAAAAGTTGACTGCGTTCGAAGCTTGCCACATTGCAAAGCGCTGAAGAAAAAAGCTTTCTTGCGTGCTTCGAAGAGCTAGGGTGTAGATCAAAAACAGAAATTTTTTTGAAGAAGTAAGAAGTACCCGACGCTTTACATCATTTAAAAGAACTGTTGAGCGTTATCCAATGATGTCAAGAAAGTTCGTTTTCTTGTTGTCGTGCAGAAATACATGATCTCGGACAAATTTTCGGCCGAGCGACCTGCAAACAGCGTGCGTGTGCATTGAGTTGTGTCGGACCGTTCGGTTTTGCTATGCCAGTGCTCTGCGCTCGTCCAGTTTTACAAAAGCCAAGCGATCTACGGACCAAAACTGGCCTAAAGGAAACAGTTTTTTCGAAGCATTTTGTTATATCCTTTGTTCTTGCCAACCGACAATTTTTAGCTGAAGTGACTAGAAGGAATAAAACCTAACTTTATTCCAGTCTCAGATACGAAAAGGCATCGTATTCAAAACTGAAGCTGATTATTTTAAAATACATACAAACACCGTGAAGTATATTCTCTTGGCATCATATTCCTATCACTTAAAATACTGCTTCTGACGTAGATGAGGCTGGATATAAAAATTGGCTATTGAGTGGACGGTAAATGTTCCAGATGTTTGATGACGGCTAGATTATGGATAAGTCTGATGAAGAAGCGCAGTCGCAAGATTGCAAGAAATTTGCATAACCAAAGATGAAAGTGATAACATACTCTTCTTTGAAAGGGAAAAAATAGGTGCGCTCGGCTGCAGAAATTGGATAAAAAACTATACTGTTAGAAATATCTGCTCTTATCACAGCCGATTGAAATTGAACTTCTCTTCAAAAATCGAGCATATCATATATGGTACGAGGGAGGAAGTACCCTTGAAAGCTTGAGTACGCACGAAATTATATAGTAGGTTCATTCGATAATAATTGGTGAGCTTTCTGCAAAGAGAACTACTTTTACGGCAAATTTGACGCCCCATATAACGCTCTTGCGACGTCTGCAACAGTTTTGATTTGTGGCCATTTTAATGCGCAAGTGCTGTTGATTCGCAAAGTTTCATCTGTTGCCTGAGATTATGTCAAAAAAAAACTTAAACACATTTTCAATGCTTTTATGACAACGTAAACGGAATATCGTTCAAAGTAAATCTGGCCAGTTTCTCATAGATAATATTATCGCGCAAACATAACGAGTTCAAAACTTTTTGTAGAATCTGGGTTCCGTCTATTTGTTTTTGAACTTCATTTTGATTTTTAAGCTGTTATGTTTGCTTGATTTGTTTTTTTGCTTCTTTGTTTTTTAGCTTGTTATGTTTGCGCGATAATATTATCTATGAGAAACTGGCCAGATTTACTTTGAACGATATTCCGTTTACGTTGTCATAAAAGCATTGAAAATGTGTTTAAGTAGCCAGATGCCTAGTGAGCATGATCTAATTCCTAGAATTGTTCATGTCTAAATGTTCGCAAACTTTTCGTTTGAATCTACACCCCTTACTTCTGCATTACACTCAACTTAAAAGTGTTTTGCTTCGGAGTGTAAGCGATTATTGTCAATTTTTTAAACGACAATCATCGAGCGCGCGTCAGCTAGAATACTGAAGTTGAGCAGTACTGCTACTCGTATTACTTATTTTCTATGTATACGCATTATATGCAATCAATATTAAGCGAAATCGTATATAGAAAGCACACATTATAGAACTTATATAAAAGCATTCGAACTTAAGGAGATGAAAGTGATGGAAAGATTAGCAATACAAAGAAGACAAAAAAGGAGCTCAACATAGGATAAGAAAAACTTTCTGCGATTGAAAGCGTTACAATACCGCTCACATTTTTTGAAAAAAAGACGCGAATGTATGGACATGTATGGACATGTACGGACATGTCCATACATGTATGGACATGTCCGTACATGTATGGACATGTCCATACATCAGCGTCGCGTGGCCATATCTCTCTTCAGAGTGGACGAATTCTGAATCCAAGGCCACCGTTCGATTCAGCTCGGCGCGGAGAACCTTCTGATATATTGGAAGTGGGGGTACGATGTTTTCGATATTCCGTTTCCAGTTTTTTCAATTTGTTCTGCGGAGGTCCTTTCGCGAATATGTGAAGCAACGCCTACCCAACATAGAAGACTTTACTAAGTACTATTCGATAATACTGTTCTTGTAAATTATTGTGCGCTAAAAAAAAGGCTCAGACTTCTTTCCAAAGGAGGTGAAAGCGTTGGTGAATTTTGGAAAAATCACGCGTTTCTAAATTCTACCCGCCAAAACTTCCTTCGGAATAAGTATATTTTGAATCCGAAAACTGCGCCTTGCTCAGCTCATCAAGTCGAATCTTCCTATGTACAGCATGTCCTTGGTATTTCGATTTCAGTATTCTTGAATCTTTTTGAGGACGTCTTTTCGCGAAGGTGTGATGCAGCGAACATTGTCCCGATACATTTCAGCAAGGATCTTTCGATAGCACTTTTTCTGTAGATTATGATGTGCTAAATAGTAGTCGCAGGTTTCTTTTCAAAGGAAATAGAAGGGCTGGTGAATAGTGGAAAAATCTTGTCGTCCCAAATTCTACTCGCCATATCAGCAGGATACGAAGCTATCTTGCTAAGCAGATGTGAGTTTCGAAATCAGCAGGTCGCATAACCTCTACGAGCAAGTTTTCCGATATGTTCGGGTCATTTCATTTTTCTCGCTTTACGCTCCGGAAGCGCGCCGATGGATTTTGGTCAAAGTGTTGATGCTCTTGAATTGTAAGGAAACTTCGCTTATAGAGGTTTTCGAACACGCTCTTTACGAAAATCGTGGTCTTTGAGGATTACAGGGTCTTTTTGGAGAGATACGGTGAGGTGACTGTAACTTCATCACGAAAGTACGTGACTTTGGCCGCACTTCTCGCGTATCTGTCAGAAATTGCCTGCTTGCTTAACTAGTCAAAGTTACTAGGAGATGTGCTATCGAATGGCGCAACTCAGGCTCCAGTCTATAAAATTCGCCGAGTTACGAGCCTACAAATACACGTCCTCATGAATTTTGCCCAAAATGACAAGATCGCATATTTCGTCGAAATTCCTCCGTGAGCGCTTGCATGACGCTCGTTGCAGATATTATGTTCGCTTCGTTGAACGTCTCCCACTGCACTGAATATGGTGCTTGCGTCTGCTTCAGCTGCTCAACTGATTATCAAAGCTATTTCGTGGCTAGAGCTCAAAGCACCAAATCTAACACAATAAGATCCATTAAAAATATGGAAGGATTTGATCATAGCATTGTATTAGGTCCCCCCACAATGGTCGGCCCATCGTGGCGTGGGGGTGACACTGGGTGTCGAACTGCGATGCACAGCCGAGTGAATACTCTGGCAGGGCCTCCCAAGCTGTGAAGGAGTTCGACGTTCCCGGTTTCGGCCGGATGCCTAGCTAAGTGCCGGCCAGGCCAGATCCACCGCCGTCTGGTTTTCAGGTCGCTAGGCGGTTCTCCCCGCTTCAAGCCCGGGGTCAGCGATCGCCCCGTGGAAATCAAGAGTTGGCCTAGTAAGTCTGCTCTTGTAGAGGAAAAATTTCATTACTCTACCAGTTAGAAGAATAGAAAGAAATCCTGTACATCGGATCCCGCCTACGGCGCCGGGTGGTAGCAAGACTGATGTCAGGGTCCTCAGGGCGCCTTTTGGATTGGACAAAAACGACACGTCTGCCCGGACGACACGCCACGGAGACTGCCTCATGCTCTGCACCTACAACGCCAGGACATTCTCCACAAACGCCGACCTCCACGCTCTTCTCGACGCTGCAGAGCACATCAAGTAACACATCATCGCTCTGCAGGAAACGAAGTCCAGGAAGAAGGACGTGCGACAGATGAATGACGGAACACTCATCATTCGTGGTGAGAAGGTTCCATCACGAAACGTGGGAGGTGTTGGCTTTGTCGTCCACCCATCTATCGTCCATCTTGTCGATTCGCACGAGATCCTATCACCCCGACTAGCCATCCTACGACTACGCCCTCCACGTCAGAAGGCCATCAGCATCATCAACTGCTACTCTCCAACATCAGCAGCTGACGACTCAGAACTAGATGCTTTCTACGAAGACGTGGAGGAGGTCGTCCGCAACGAAAAGTCCTTCTACAAGTATGTTGTGGGCGACTTCAATGCGAAAATCGGGATGCCACTAAAAAAGGAATATAGGATCGGGAAGTTTGGATATGGGCTCCGGAACGAAAACGGCAACCGTCTTGTTGGGCTTCTCTCCGCCGCACGACTTTTCCATGGAAATTCCATCTTCATGAAGAAAGAACATCGCCGGTGGACATGGGAATCGCCCAACGGAACGACTCACTCGGAGATCGACCACATTCTCGCCAACCGAAGGTGGAGCTTGCTCGATGTCTCAGTAGTTCCATCCTTCTGCAGTGGCTCCGATCACCGCCTCCTTCGAGCGAAGATACGACTCAGCCGAAGGCTGGAAAAGAAAGTCTGTCACAGTGCCGCGAGAAGGAAGGAAGTCGTTTACGACGGTAACAGGCTGGAGGAGCTCATATCAAGATGTGACTGGCCCATCGAGGAGGACCCAACGTACGACTACGACCGGCTTCTGAAAGGATTGCGAGCCTGCGGAGAATGTGCCTCAGTGACTTCTGAGAAGAACTTGGAACGTATTTCGAAGACCACCAAGGAGCTCGAAAGAAGAAGATTTCTGAGGCAGGATCCGAATGCAACCCAACTCGAGCGACTGATAGCCAACGCCAGTTGCAGAACAGCTTTGCAGGAGGATCTCAGGAAGTACAGGCAAGCCAAGATACTGGAAGCAGCCGAAGAAAGACGAAGTCTTAAGAAATGCCGAAGGGGCCTCTGTGAATATCACGTACCGCTGGCTGCACTATTGAACGAAGACGGGACTCCGACTTCTTCCCGATACAAGATGGAATCTATCGCGAAGAACTTCTATACCAACCTCTTCCGCTCATCAACACCCGTGCCGATGCCCGTTGTTCCCACTGGAGAAGTACCACCACGAATTCTACCTGCTGAAGTGCGCACGGCGATTCAGACCATGAAGACATCCACGGCTCCAGGACCAGACCATCTTTCCGTCGAATTTCTGCGAGCCGGAGGACAACGTCTACACGAGATTCTCGCGTCGCACCTGACATCTTACCTTCAGAAGGAGAGGATTCCCGACCAGTGGAGAACGTCAAGAACCGTCCTTCTTTTCAAGAAGGGTGAACGGGAAGATCTTCGAAATTACCGTCCAATATGCCTGCTGAGTGTGCTGTACAAGCTCTTCACGAAGATTATCCTCGCACGCATATCTAGGACACTGGATGAAGCCCAACCCCAAGAACAAGCTGGATTTCGCAAAGGATTCAGCTGCATGGACCACATCCAGACGGTTTCGAGGGTCATAGAAGTCTGCCGGGAGTACCGACTGCCTCTCGTCCTAACCTTCGTCGACTACGAGAAAGCCTTTGACAGCGTCGAAACCAACGCCATCCTGTCTGCGCTAGTCGATCAAGGAGTGGAACCAGCTTACGTGAGGACACTAGCCGACTGCTACAAGGACTGTACAACAACGATGCAGCTATTCCATCGCCCCCTAACCATTCCAATTGGGAAGGGGGTTCGACAAGGCGACACTATTTCGCCGAAGCTGTTCACCGCGGCCTTGCAGTGGGTGATGAAGTCACTAGACTGGGAAGAGAGAGGCATACGAGTTGATGGGAGATTCCTATCCAACCTTCGTTTTGCGGATGACATCGTCCTTTTCTCGAGCAGTATCACTGAAGCAGAGGCGATGCTGAAGGAACTAAACGAAGTAGGGAAGAAGATCGGACTGCGAATAAATCGGAAGAAGACTCAGTTCATGAAGAACGCCCTTTGCGAAGACGCAGAAATGGAATTGGAAGGCACCCCTATCATGGAGACGTCTTCTTACGTGTATCTCGGACGTTCGATGAACATGGAGAACGACTTGAGGGAAGAACTTAACAGGAGAAGAAGAGCAGCCTGGGCCGCCTTCGGGCCTCTGAAGGAAGCCACCGACCAACTGACGGACCCGGAGCTTCGTGCCCACCTGTTCGACTCAACCGTTCTCCCAGCGCTCTGCTACGCAGCTGAGACTTGGGCCGACACCGTAGCCACGTCGAAAACTTTAAGGACCACCCACAGAGCGCTCGAGCGCAGTCTTCTGAAGATGACCCGACACAAGCAACATCTAGTCGGACTTCGCAGCACGGATATGAGAAGAATGTCCCGTCTTCGTGACCCAGCGGAATACGTTGCGAAAGCGAAACACCGATGGGCCGGTCACATAATGAGAAGAACGGACGATAGATGGACACTAAGAACATCTGAGTGGATTCCTCGCGAAGCCAAACGTCCTCGAGGAAGACCACCGACGAGATGGGCAGACGTGTTCGTGGAACGGATGGACCAGCTGAGAAATCAGCTGGATACGATTCTTGCCCCTGGAGCTCGTGGACGCAGCCACCGACGACGACCAAGAAGATCGTGGATGTCCGAAGCGAGGGACAGGGATCAATGACGACTTCTGTACTGGGGCCCGCACGTCACGTGAGGACGGGCCATCTAAGTAAGTATCTAAGTATTGTATTAGGTCATTCGGATAGTTTTTTCCTTTTTGCGCCTTTGATGTTGATACCATATTTTAAGAGGGTGTCAGGAGGCTGTTAAGGGTTGCCATATATGGATCTGTAGAGGATGTCTTCTAGTTTCTGGGATCCCACCGAAATTGCAGAAGACGCTTTGTAGGGGAGTTTACGCGGCTCTAAATTCGACATACGAAAACGCGATTATCGAATAATTGTATTCTCTAAGCTTAAATTTGAGCGTAAGACCGTTGAGGAAACCATCATTGTGCGCAATGCATTTGCCAAGACCACGTCTTTTTTGAGGTAAGTTCAAGATTACTTCAGAAAGTTCAGATCTAGAGAAGTGAAAGCTAATATTTTGCAGTGTCCTGGAAGGTGTTTCTGCCATATAAACGAGCATCTCATAGGGTCCTTTAAATCGCAACTATAGCTGCGTAAAATTATCAGCAGGCCCTGAAGTGTCATATAACCTTATTAGGAGCCACCTTCGCTAAAGCTGCAATACCGAAAAATTTCAGCGACATTTACCCACAAATTGTCGCAATCGCAGTTTGAGGGCGCGTTGACTCTGCTTTCGTCGCTCATAATTTTATGTAGCAATCCTTTTCCAGCCTGAGTTATTAATTACAGCAAAAAATTGACTAAGTGCGGCAATGAGAAGCGACAATGTGGTAAATCATTTGGAATGAGCATTGAAAGCATAACCAGAACAATCTGTCATTCCAAAAGGTTGATGCACTCAAATTAATGTAATCCTGCTGGTCTTGTACGCTATAAACTTGCTAAAATGCTATTGTACTGTAAGAGCAGAGTAGTGTGATGTCGCTCTGAAGACTGTTTGTCAAAATTTCAAAACTGAACAGACTTGCACGTATAAGCTATGAGAGTTGCCATCCACGCTCATGACTCCGCCAAACCACATGTAAGAAAAGTGGCTCTCACAAAAGGGGTTGACTGCGCACCGAGGTTCCTGTCTATTTTTCAAACTCTTTAGACCTTCCTTTACCAGTCACCGAATTTTCCAATTCCTCGGTGCCTATCAAAAAATAATAGGACCTAATAGAGATTGACTAATCAAAAACGCCTTTTCAGGCTTTAGTGATTCCTCTGAGATCATTCCGCAAGAAAAAAGCACAAGAGCACTATAAGAGTGTAACCAGAAATTTGCTGAACACAATGCAGTTTATTTGATGGAAAAAGGCTGAATCAGGGAAAAATTGTGCTCGTTTGAATTTGGAGGTGCAAAAACGAAAAAATTTTCCGAACGACCTAACACAAGCGCTCGCGGAGGAATTTCGACGAGATATGCGATCTTTACAATTTGGGCAAAATTCATGAGGACGTGTATTTGTAGGCTCGTAACTCGGCGAATTTCACAGACTGGAGCCTGACTAATACACCATTCGATAGCACACTTCCTAGTAACTTTGACTGAGAAAAGCAAGCAGGCAAGGTTTCTGACAGATACGCGAGAAGTGCGGCCAAAGTCACGTACTTTCGTGATGAAGTTACAGTCACCTCACCGTATCTCTCCAAAAAGACCCTGTAATCCTCAAAGACCACGATTTTCGTAAAGAGCGTGTTCGAAAACCTCTATAAGCGAAGTTTCCTTACAATTCAAGAGCATCAACATTTTGACCAAAATCCATCGGCGCGCTTCCGGAGCGTAAAGCGAGAAAATTGAAATGACCCGAACATATCGGAAAACTTGCTCGTAGAGGTTATGCGACCTGCTGATTTCGAAACTCACATCTGCTTAGCAAGATAGCTTCGTATCCTGCTGATATGGCGAGTAGAATTTGGGACGACAAGATTTTTCCACTATTCACCAGCCCTTCTATTTCCTTTGAAAAGAAACCTGCGACTACTATTTAGCACATCATAATCTACAGAAAAAGTGCTATCGAAAGATCCTTGCTGAAATGTATCGGGACAATGTTCGCTGCATTACACCTTCGCGAAAAGACGTCCTCAAAAAGATTCAAGAATACTGAAATCGAAATACCAAGGACATGCTGTACATAGGAAGATTCGACTTGATGAGCTGAGCAAGGCGCAGTTTTCGGATTCAAAATATACTTATTCCGAAGGAAGTTATGGCGAGTAGAATTTAGAAACGCGTGATTTTTCCAAACTTCACCAACGCTTTCACCTCCTTTGGAAAGAAGTCTGAGCCTTTTTTTTAGCGCACAATAATTTACAAGAACAGTATTATCGAATAGTACTTAGTAAAGTCTTCTATGTTGGGTAGGCGTTGCTTCACATATCCGCGAAAGGACCTCCGCAGCACAAATTGAAAAAACTGGAAACGGAATATCGAAAACATCGTACCCCCACTTCCAATACATCAGAAGATTCTCCGCGCCGAGGTGAATCGAACGGTGGCCTTGGATTCAGAATTCGTCCACTCTGAAGAGAGATATGGCCACGCGACGCTGATGTATGGACATGTCCATACATGTACGGACATGTATGGACATGTACGGACATGTCCATACATTCGCGTCTTTTTTTCAAAAAATGTGAGCGGTATTGTACTCTCGCGCTCCAAGCGCTCGCTCCGTGACCTTGGTTCTTTGGCACGGTTGGAATATTTTTCTTCATCGCACGAGCGGCCGCACTCCGGAGTTCGGACACGTGCGGCGGCTTCCATGTACTCCCGCTCGCTCTCCGCCTGTCCGGCGAGTCCGGCACTGACCCGGTGTATGCGCCCGCCAGGCTAAGTCGTTGGAGCAAAAGCTTTTAGTAAAACGGTCTCATCTTTACGATTTTAGGAAACCTCCAATAGCCCCAAAAGAGTTGTTCGGTGTTATCTTTGAAAGCGCCAAGATATATCCCGAAATTTCATCTGTAAGTGAGGCTTACCGGATATGAACTATAACAATTAAAGCTTTTTTTTAGATAAGAGTTCACCCAAGTTACAATCCAACAGCTTCTTGTCCGCTTTCTTACGATATTGCTGTGATAGAGCTGAATAAGGATGTGAATGTTTATCCTGTTTGTATGCCCGAAGTAAATTCTGTGATTCTTAGACCAGACAGTGTAAAGTCCGTCGGATACGGAAACGTAGGTAAGTAGTTTTCAAGTGTCGGATGGGCCTATTCTTAAATTTATTCAAGAACACTTTGGCGCATAGCATGATTACTTCAAATACTGAAAAGGTGTAGATAGCGAAGAAGTGATTTCAGAAGCAAGAACTTGTTTAGACGAGGGAACTACGCAAGCTGCGCAAGCAGCCTTCGCTACTGTCACAAATTGTGGCTCTTTTGAGAAATCGATTTCGCTTTTTCTACAACATTATTTGGGACATTAATAGTTTGCTTATAAGATAGAGAAGCTTTAGAGTAGTAAAATTTATTCAAATGTCCCTTTGACAGGCGATAGAGTCTTTGACTAAACCTGTAAGTAGTAGCTTTTCACAATCAGCAGTCAGGTACATAGACTAATATTAGGTTGATGCATAATTCTTGCACCAAATTTTTTGAAATGTGTTACTTCGTCCAGTTCGATGAAATCTTTGATTTAATACAAGAGAGAAATAGAAATTCTTGCGCTTTCTGAAGCTGATCGAGTAAAAATCTCTTGAGGGCATACGGCAGCGATATAAGGTGATTAAGAAAAAAAATCCAAAAAACGATTTTTCGATTTTTGGTCACTAAAATTGCCGAAACGTCTACTAAAATTTAGTTTTAATTTTGGTCTTAGTTTTATGGCTACTCTTTATAACTAAGAGAGTTGGTAGTGATTGCACAGCTCTGCGAAGAGTTACGAATTTCGATTTTTTGAAATCCTCATTCATTTTGTTTCACATTGATTTTCTAAAATGTACTATAAAATACTACTTTTGATACACATAGCAATAAGCATATTCTGTAGATCGATTAGTTTGATTGAGAATTTTTAAGCTTTTTTCTATTTTTTGGTGCAGGAATTATGCATCAACCTAATAGATCAAAAAATCAAGAAATGTTGTGCAAAACAAAACTATGCAGATTCGGAACTGTGCTTTTTTGTCACAAGCCGTCGAATTCCTGATGCTGTGCTTTTTCTTTTTTGCCTCATAGTTAAAGGCAGTTCTACAAAACTGGCCCCTCCCCCACCTCCCTAAGTATCCGCAGTCCCAAACCCACGTTTCAGTTGATACATAGGTCTCAATAACGAGCTTTGAATGCGCACCAGCGTACCCACTCGCCATCCCGCTTCGGAAGATGAAATCCTTCTCAATTTCTTCTACATATAATAGATATGTGGCATATCGACTTATACCCATTTGCACGTACATCCCCGCTGGGGAGGGTAAGGGATCTGAGAGGGGATGCGTCATATCTCCCTGCTCTAGATATATTTCTTCTTTTCTCTCTATCATAGAGTGGTGATCCTCTGGGGATTCCCAGGGGATTACCTCTTTATTAAAAGTGATTTATCTTCCTGAGAATCCAGTGAAAACGCTGCGAAATTGTACTGAGGATATACTACGGCACTGCTGAGCATGTTTTCGACAGGAGAATCGGAATTTGAAGATTGTGAATATTTCGATGATGTGTATTCACAATGCAATTTTACAGCGTTTTCATTGACTTTTCATAGAAAGTAAATGACATTGAAATTGAGAGGTGATCCCCGGGAGATCACACAAAATGGTGAAAATCTAATCAATCTTGCCAGTAACCTAGCATCAGTTATGCGCAGGTATTAGGGTATGAGAGCCTTCATAAGCAAGATAGATAAGGAAGAAGAAAGATACCTAGAGTAGCGAGATATCGCAACCCCTCTCAGATCCCCTTCCCTCCCCAGAGGGGATGTATGTGCATACGGGCCTTAGAGATCTTTCTTACTCCATATTCTCTGTCACTGAACATTCCAGAAATGCAGTCAGTATGGTACCAAGGTACTGCGTATCGGGATGACAAACGTGGGACGATCCATGCCTACAGCAGTACGTCTAATATCGTTATAGTAAGCTCTTTCTCTATGGTCATTGTTACCACCGCGCCCCAAAAAATTTTTTTAGTGGGTTTTCAATAGCTTGTATAGCTCTTCTACAAATTTCAGTAAATTGGTTCTTGCGTTTACGAACGCAGGAAAACCTTTGAACATTGAAGATATTTTGGTCAAGAAACACTTTGAACGGCGCATTCACAGAGGAACCGGATGTTGAGTACCTGCATGTTATTTTTAGGGAGACAGCGGAGGTCCGCTCTTGCAGAACTTAAAGGGAAGAAATTACGTTTTTGGAGTACTATCTTGCGGCCAAATTAAAAGGATCGCGGGTTCATATGCAGGAATGCAAAAGAAAAGAAAAGGTAAACCAGATTGACTGACCTTAACAATGCAGTAGATCATTCTCGTTTGCATGCTACCATGTGCTCGCATACTAAATCACGTCGATGAAATTATTGCAACCCACAGAAAAAGTAGTAGCACTTTTTGAGTCTCTTTTTGTCTTTACATTTCTTTGTATTAGATTGTCCGAAAATCAATGCCCGTTTCAAATTCTAACCGCAATAAGCCATACAGTTCACATGTCTAAATAGAATGCGAACCACCTTTTGATAGAGCAAAGCAAGCTGTATAAAGTGATGTTCTTGCTTTTACGCCACTTTCTATCACCTCGAGTTCAAAGCCAAGAACTAAAAAGATCTAATTTGCCCAAGAGATCGAGAGATATCGAAACTCCGTCTAAACTTACCTTACAAAAATTCTAACTTGCTCACCTATACACCCTCCACATCAAACATTTATATATAGTTGCTATACTTCTTTATCGATTAGAAACCAAAAAAAACTAGAATTTTAATTCTTTAGCCAAAGTGATGCTGCGCTGTTCCCACATCAGTAGGTGTTTACTACAACCCTGTGGAGTATGAATGTAAATTTTTGGCTTACAAGCTCTAGTTCTTGAGAGATATCGAATTTAGCATTTTTTAGTCGGGTGTCTCAAGCTTGAGCCATATTTCTCGAGAGCTAGAGATTGAGAAGGGCTGAAAACTTACTTTTGTACTTTCACTGGTTTGTAGTATACAATTATTCATGTGTGAGCAGCGCAGCATCACTTGAGAAAATGCAAGAAAAGTCTCGTTTTTTTCCTGACCGAGAAAAAATACGGTAGCGGTATATATAAATGTCTGATGTGGAGAGTGTGTAGGTGAGCAGTTGAAAATGTTTAGGATAATTTTGATATTCTTATGTATAAAGCTGAATGTCTGTTTGTCTGTCTGTCTGTACGTATGTTCCGAATAGAAAATTCCATTTCTGAACCGATCGGGACCAAACTTAGCGCACATACACTTCGGGGGAGGGGGGGGGGTGATCAGCATGCTCGATTACACCCCTCTGCCAAATTCCAGCCCCCTAGCTCAAATTTTGCAAAAAATTGATAAAATCGACATCGTTCGATAACGAAAAGTGGACTGTGACACCCGCCGGGGCCCGATGTGTATGTACGCCAAGTTTGTTCCGGATCGGTTAAGAAATGGAATTATTCGGAACATACGGTGGAGCCGGGTAAGCCAGCTAGTTTTGATATAAGTACGAAAAAAAACCTAATATTTACATTTCTCATTCGCATAAGATAGCGCGTTAGCGATCTTTTTATAATAATCTACTTATGATACAAAATATCGCGCTCTTATTTTATAAAGAAAAGAGCATTCCCTAAAAAATACAATACAATTTTAATGCTGTAATAGTACAACCTAGAAAGTAATCTCATAACAAATGAAGCTTATCAATTGTTTTTTGCGCAATGGTGCCGTGATTCTTCGAAATTCAAACTAAGTGCACCCAACACTAAACTCCAGGTTCCAGTTCAAAACCATGGGAATCGAATTCACAATCCACTCCTGCTTTTGCTCTCACATGTTGGTAGTGAGTTCCAGTCTGCGTGGAAACGCAGTAAGGAGAAATTTATGCAAAGACAGACCCGAAATTTTCGAAATCAAGCTCACCTAGCGAGTTCGAAGTAATTGCACCGCGTTCAGTGCGCTGTAAGCTTGCTGCCACGTGGAAGCTTGCGTGCACAGCGTAGAAAGCGACAGCTTGAACTTGGGTGATTAAACATTATTACAAAAACACTAACCAAAGTTACACGCAGGAACAAACAACGCACGAGTAATACGAGCATATAAGACATATGAGTTGAGATGTCAGTATGTGAAATGTCAGAGCAACTGTGCAACAAGTATTTTGATACAACAGTCTAAAGCCACTCTGTGACTATCAAGAATAAAGTAAACAATGAGAACGTGACCCCATCACTAAACCATGCTAGCTGATTATATATGTAAGCGAATATAAACACACTCAAAGAAAATCTAATGGCGAGCCATCTAAGAATATGAGCCTGCCAGAGAAGGACGAGCCGTAAGCGAAGTAAATCATTTCAACTTCTTCGAGCGCAAAGAATGATCCGAACACAGGAATTTTGTATAGTAATATAAATTCTATACTTTCAGTTAGAGCCCGCTTCACGGATGTACGAAGATACCTACAATGGATTTGCAAGGAAACTGGTAAGCGGATCGATAAGCATAAACAGTTACCGACGCCTTAATTCGATGCTCGTTCTCACAAAGTCTACGCAATGCTCGTGACTACGTAGCAGAGCTCGGCATGAGGTGGCTTTTTCAATTTCTCAAAAACGAAGTCCCTGTCACTAGACCGGCCCAAAAATAAGACATCACCTAGATGCGATCATAAACGGATCAAAAGGAATAACAAAAAAATGATGGAACAACGTAGAACCAACATCGAACATTACGAAAAAAAATTGAAGTTAGTTTGAATAAAGGTGATGGACACATAGAACACGTCACAGCAAGTAGTTGAATTCACTGACATTCTGCTTCCTCTCATTCAGTCAAAAAGAGCAGGAAAATAGGAAGAAGGTACACCATGAAATTCGTTCGAATCTAAAAGAGTGGAATGAATAAAATTAAGAGTGAGCTCAGGACTCGGCATGAGGTACTTCTTCAATTTTTTTCAAAAACGAAGTCCCTGTAAATTTCGCCACAAAAATACGACATCACCTATGACGAGATCATAAATATATCAAAACGAATAACGAAAATTAATGCAACAAAACATGATAACAACATTGAACAGACGAAAGAAAACTAAAGATGCTTGTATTCGTCTAAATGGCGGCATGCTGTGTCCGGCGCGCACCCCTGCGCACTTGGAGCAGGCTTGCCGCCGCCATACAAAATATTAGGTTGTCCCGAAAGTTTTATCGGTTTCTTTCATCGCTCACTAAAACTCGCAGAACACAAGTCCATAAACGTTCTAGGTGCCATTTGATTTAAATTTTCATCCTCTTTCTTACAGCTATATTTGCTCTCTGACCTACCCTGTCTTTGCAGTGTTATCGCCATGGCTTTTTGAGCAGCTCAACTTACTTACTTAGATACTTAGATGGCCCGTCCTCACGTGACTGCGGGCCCCAGTACAGAAGTCGCCATTGATCCCTGTCCCTCGCTTCGGACATCCACGATCTTCTTGGTCGTCGTCGGTGGCTGCGTCCACGAGCTCCAGGGGCAAGAATCGTATCCAGCTGATTTCTCAGCTGGTCCATCCGTTCCACGAACACGTCTGCCCATCTCGTCGGTGGTCTTCCTCGAGGACGTTTGGCTTCGCGAGGAATCCACTCAGATGTTCTTAGTGTCCATCTATCGTCCGTTCTTCTCATTATGTGACCGGCCCATCGGTGTTTCGCTTTCGCAACGTATTCCGCTGGGTCACGAAGACGGGACATTCTTCTCATATCCGTGCTGCGAAGTCCGACTAGATGTTGCTTGTGTCGGGTCATCTTCAGAAGACTGCGCTCGAGCGCTCTGTGGGTGGTCCTTAAAGTTTTCGACGTGGCTACGGTGTCGGCCCAAGTCTCAGCTGCGTAGCAGAGCGCTGGGAGAACGGTTGAGTCGAACAGGTGGGCACGAAGCTCCGGGTCCGTCAGTTGGTCGGTGGCTTCCTTCAGAGGCCCGAAGGCGGCCCAGGCTGCTCTTCTTCTCCTGTTAAGTTCTTCCCTCAAGTCGTTCTCCATGTTCATCGAACGTCCGAGATACACGTAAGAAGACGTCTCCATGATAGGGGTGCCTTCCAATTCCATTTCTGCGTCTTCGCAAAGGGCGTTCTTCATGAACTGAGTCTTCTTCCGATTTATTCGCAGTCCGATCTTCTTCCCTACTTCGTTTAGTTCCTTCAGCATCGCCTCTGCTTCAGTGATACTGCTCGAGAAAAGGACGATGTCATCCGCAAAACGAAGGTTGGATAGGAATCTCCCATCAACTCGTATGCCTCTCTCTTCCCAGTCTAGTGACTTCATCACCCACTGCAAGGCCGCGGTGAACAGCTTCGGCGAAATAGTGTCGCCTTGTCGAACCCCCTTCCCAATTGGAATGGTTAGGGGGCGATGGAATAGCTGCATCGTTGTTGTACAGTCCTTGTAGCAGTCGGCTAGTGTCCTCACGTAAGCTGGTTCCACTCCTTGATCGACTAGCGCAGACAGGATGGCGTTGGTTTCGACGCTGTCAAAGGCTTTCTCGTAGTCGACGAAGGTTAGGACGAGAGGCAGTCGGTACTCCCGGCAGACTTCTATGACCCTCGAAACCGTCTGGATGTGGTCCATGCAGCTGAATCCTTTGCGAAATCCAGCTTGTTCTTGGGGTTGGGCTTCATCCAGTGTCCTAGATATGCGTGCGAGGATAATCTTCGTGAAGAGCTTGTACAGCACACTCAGCAGGCAATTTCGAAGATCTTCCCGTTCACCCTTCTTAAAAAGGAGGACGGTTCTTGACGTTCTCCACTGGTCGGGAATTCTCTCCTTCTGAAGGTAAGATGTCAGGTGTGACGCGAGAATCTCGTGTAGACGTTGTCCTCCGGCTCGCAGAAATTCGACGGAAAGATGGTCTGGTCCTGGAGCCGTGGATGTCTTCATGGTCTGAATCGCCGTGCGCACTTCAGCAGGTAGAATTCGTGGTGGTACTTCTCCAGTGGGAACAACGGGCATCGGCACGGGTGTTGATGAGCGGAAGAGGTTGGTATAGAAGTTCTTCGCGATAGATTCCATCTTGTATCGGGAAGAAGTCGGAGTCCCGTCTTCGTTCAATAGTGCCGCCAGCGGTACGTGATATTCACAGAGGTCCCTTCGGCATTTCTTAAGACTTCGTCTTTCTTCGGCTGCTTCCAGTATCTTGGCTCGCCTGTACTTCCTGAGATCCTCCTGCAAAGCTGTTCTGCAACTGGCGTTGGCTATCAGTCGCTCGAGATGGGTTGCATTCGGATCCTGCCTCAGAAATCTTCTTCTTTCGAGCAATTCCTTGGTGGTCTTCGATACGTTCCAAGTTCTTCTCAGAAGTCACTGAGGCACATTCTCCGCAGGCTCGCAATCCTTTCAGAAGCCGGTCGTAGTCGTACGTTGGGTCCTCCTCGATGGGCCAGTCACATCTTGATATGAGCTCCTCCAGCCTGTTACCGTCGTAAACGACTTCCTTCCTTCTCGCGGCACTGTGACAGACTTTCTTTTCCAGCCTTCGGCTGAGTCGTATCTTCGCTCGAAGGAGGCGGTGATCGGAGCCACTGCAGAAGGATGGAACTACTGAGACATCGAGCAAGCTCCACCTTCGGTTGGCGAGAATGTGGTCGATCTCCGAGTGAGTCGTTCCGTTGGGCGATTCCCATGTCCACCGGCGATGTTCTTTCTTCATGAAGATGGAATTTCCATGGAAAAGTCGTGCGGCGGAGAGAAGCCCAACAAGACGGTTGCCGTTTTCGTTCCGGAGCCCATATCCAAACTTCCCGATCCTATATTCCTTTTTTAGTGGCATCCCGATTTTCGCATTGAAGTCGCCCACAACATACTTGTAGAAGGACTTTTCGTTGCGGATGACCTCCTCCACGTCTTCGTAGAAAGCATCTAGTTCTGAGTCGTCAGCTGCTGATGTTGGAGAGTAGCAGTTGATGATGCTGATGGTCTTCTGACGTGGAGGGCGTAGTCGTAGGATGGCTAGTCGGGGTGATAGGATCTCGTGCGAATCGACAAGATGGACGATAGATGGGTGGACGACAAAGCCAACACCTCCCACGTTTCGTGATGGAACCTTCTCACCACGAATGATGAGTGTTCCATCATTCATCTGTCGCACGTCCTTCTTCCTGGACTTCGTTTCCTGCAGAGCGATGATGTGGTACTTGATGTGCTCTGCAGCGTCGAGAAGAGCGTGGAGGTCCGCGTTTGTGGAGACTGTCCTGGCGTTGTAGGTGCAGAGCATGAGGCAGTCACCGTGGCGTGTCGTCCGGGCAGACGTGTCGTTTTTGTCCAATCCAAAAGGCGCCCTGAGGACCCTGACATCAGTCTTGCTACCACCCGGCGCCGTAGGCGGGATCCGATGTACAGGGTTTCTTTCTATTCTTCTAACTGGTAGAGTAATGAAATTTTTCCCCTACAAGAGCAGACTTACTAGGCCAACTCTTGATTTCCACGGGGCGATCGCTGACCCCGGGCTTGGAGCGGGGGGAACCGCCTAGCGACCTGAAAACCAGACGGCGGCGGATCTGGCCTGGCCGGCTCTTAGCTAGGCATCCGGCCGAAACCGGAAACGTCGAACTCCTTCACAGCTTGGGAGGCCCTGCCAGAGTATACACTCGACCGTGCATCGCAGTTCGACACCCAGTGTCACCCCCACGCCACGATGAGGCGGCCGACCATTGTGGGGGGAGCAGCTCAACAGTAACGCCAAACCTTTCCTGAATTTTAAAAATTTCTATCCTGACACTTCTAAGGAGCGCTGGTAACTATTATGTAGAGCAGAGCTTTGGCTACATTATACACATTTTAGATTACGTGGGTCACGCTTACCAAGTCCGTTATAATTATTCATTCAATAAAAAGCGCGGCTTATTGATTACGTTTGCTACGTAAAAGTAGCGAAAATTCCAAAAAGCTGCTTTTTTGAAGCAAGTCAAACCGGGCAATCTTGCATAAATAGTGTTCAATAAGAATCATGTTGCAATTCGCGGAAACTTCAGAAGTTCATGTTTTTGCTGCAGTTGCATGTTTCATGACTTTGCCAAAAATCGAGACCTCCGAAGAAATAATTTTTTGAACCGAAAGTCAGCAGACTAATGAAATCTAAAAATATCATCTTGTAGTCCGGGAATTGCTCTATTCAACCTCTACTTAGCCCTTTCCGAAACTTTGAAATGATATTTTCAAAAATTAGCCGAATTGAGCAGACAAAAATGACGGGTGAAAAATTTCAGCAATTATTAAAGAAAGCATACAGGGTTATGGTTCGTAAAATGTAACCACAAGAAAAAGAAGGAAAAGCTGCATCGAATACATGCTAAAGCTCATTCAGATCTTCATTGTGCGTGGTCTTATAGTGGTCTGAAAAAACCGACAAAACTTTCGAGACGACTTAATATTTGGAGGGCTGTAACTAGGCGAGGAAGAGGGGGTTTAGGGAGAGTCAAAAACTCAGTCGTAGGGTTTTTGATGCAGACAAGGTTAGGTTAAACATGTGAGAAAATTATGCGAAGAAAGAAAAATATATGACTTTTCTCACAGGCAGCTCAGGGTGGCTGTTTAGGTGGCTGGAAAGCCATTTAACTCCGAGAAAAGTTTGCCACGTCTTCAGTTCACATAACTTTTCCATAATTTTTCGCACATAGTCCTAACTCCCTATTGCCCATCTACACACCAATTTTGGTATCATCTTATTTTCTCTTCGCTGTAAACAACTCCTTTGTTTGTTTCGGGGTAGGTTTGAATTCGCGCGCTTAACCGGCGAACATGTTGAAACAGGAGATTCTTGGTTTTTGCAGATTGATAAGGAAGAAATAACAATTTACGTCTTCTGTAGAAGATGTGTGACATAAAGACAGAAGGAGATTGTGTGTGTGTGTGGGGGGGGGGGAGGGGGACTGGGGTTTCCGCCTCAACGATATCCCCCTTGCTTTTTATCCCGAAACGATATCCAGCTTGCCCTGTAATCCACTTGTGCCGAGCTCTGGTACGTAGTCTCTTCCTACATCACATAATCAGAGCACTGAAAATATGGAAGTTTCGAGAGCATATGCCATGTACAAAAAGCAGTATTTTATAGCTAGCAGACCTCAATGCCTTCTTACTAAATCACATTATCATGCAGGAATCTGTCCACTCTCTGGAACAAATAGTCATCAAAGGCAGCCAATACCATCGCCACCTCAGTCAGATCTACCTTTCGAATTCTCGATGATAATCTTTGATTAGTTATTGGAATTGGCTCTTCCTCTCAGTAAACGTTTCAGCATTTCACTTATAGCAGTCACAACTATACGCACATGAACAATGATGTAATCGCCGTTTTAGGTGATACACACAATTTAAAATGGCCGTACCATCCGCGAATTAAACAAAGATATTTTCCACTACTCTCATCTTGTAGCTTGGGCATTTGTGTCAAAGATGTGTAGTGATGTTCTGCCAACTAGGTTATGGCACCTTTTTTTAGCTATATATGGGTTTGCGATTAGAAAAATTATAGTACCTCTTGTTTAGCTATATGTCGCTTGCGATTGGAGGAGAATTTGCAACAGACACAGCCAAAGTCTTTGCTCGAAGGCACTAATTTACATATGCATGGATCAAACCTAAACTACTCATACTTCACTGAATAAGCTTCCATGGCTTTATGTCATTTCCTTTAACCTTTCTACAGAAAACTGTGCGAGGGCGACTTTGGTTTCAATCCTGTACAAAAGTGAATATTTGCGCTGCCTGGACTAGGTGCATGCAATATTTCCTCTTCATCTCTACCGATCCAGCAACGTTTGGAGGGAGCAAGGGTCAAAGGGGACTTCGTGAAATTTTCGAAAGTCGTGGGGGGACCTCGTTTTTAAAAGGGCGTCGAAACGGTTTTTGATCCACTCACACACTTCATCGGATATCCGCAGGACAAGCAAAATTTGCAGCAGTTCCGCGGAATTTGTTTGATATTGCAAAGTGGAAACGTTGAGAATGGATACTTCCGCAAGATTTTTCACGTCAGACTTTCTGAAAAAAGGAACTTCCACAGCACTTTAACCTGCCAGTACTTCCGCAGGTTTTTGAATGTGTTGTCTCTTACGATGTTGTCTCGCCAACAACTAGAGTTCAGTGTCGAACGCGCCATTCGTAGTGTAGAGGATATTAAATGATTCCCGCATTCGGTAGGGCAAGGTTAAAGTCTTGCTCAAGCATTCTCCTTTGCTGTTGTTGATATTCACCTCATTTGAGAACTTCCGCTGCACGTTAAAAGAACTTCTGAAGGTGACCCGACGGAACTTTCCCAAACGTTCTGCGGAATTTCTGGCGAGTGGTCTGTTAACTGCTGCGAGCTTGAAAATGAATGTTTTCGATGCACTTCACCTCGATATTCGAGGCTTATCGGCTCAAGCACAACAAGGAGCGTGTTCTGCAAGGTTGTGCGAGTTCTTAGCTTTCTCGAAACTGGTTTCATATCTACATACGCATTGATGAGGCATGCGGAAATGATTTTCACCTAAATGGTATAAATAAAGCAACAGTCCACTTACCCCTTTTCCGTAACCAATAGACTCGAATTCTCTTTGATTAGAGATCGCAGTATTCGGCTCAGGCATGCAAATGGGATCATTATTCACGTCCTCTCTCAACTCTACCACAGCGATGTCGTTTGTATCACCATTAAGAGCATCAGGTTCGCAAGCCTTGTAGTCGGGGTGCACAGTTGCCTGAAACGGCGCTTTCAAAAGTGAGCTACCTCTGCAAGAAAAGCCATATCCAGTGTCCACTTACAGAAGTGGTAAAGGGAGCTTTCGCATACCAACATTCCGCTTCTATGCAGCCGCTTTGAAGGAAAAAGCCGATGCTTTCCGCTGGCCGTATCGTTGGGCGTAAGCTATAACTTCTCTACATGTGTAGGCAAAATCTATCTATAAGAATTACGAGTACCTTTGAGAACACGAAGTTTTGTAATCGACGTATAAGCAATGTGCAGCAGTCAGGATGTGTCTAGGTGCAAGCAATATTTCCTCTTCATCTCTACTTTTTGAGATATCATAGAACTGTTCTATCCAGCGAACTAGAGAAAATACGTGCAGTGGAAAGCGACAACGGGCAAAACATGTGGGTGCTTTGGTCACTAACGTAACACTTCACGAGTATTGGTCTGTATTGGTTAGTACCTTGCGCACTGCGTCCAAAGTTGAAGAAATCTATGGGAGATAAAGCATCCGAATCGAGAGCGTACTTAGGAATCTATTTGTTGTATTGTGCTATTTGTATTGTGCTCGGGTGACTTCAGCTCATATCAACACAGGGGACTGATGTAGCGCAGTTCATTAGTGATATACAATCCTCCCTTCGGGTCATCTTTTGGCGTCGACTCAAGACGTTTCCAGAACACCGCTAAGCAGCATACTGGAGTACACGCGCTCTAATATGCACCCGCTGTTTGCAAAAAAAAAACCCTTGCTCGCGCAATTATCGAAATTGATTGATTTAAGCTTTGATCTTAAGAATAAGAGAATACTCACTCATAAACTCGATTTTATAGGCTTTTACGAAAGCGACCCTGCCGAATTGTTAGGCTTAAATAAAGTGTTGCTACTATTTTGGCTTGCTCAATTTTTGAAATTAACATGGCATGGATAGTTAATAAACCTAAAATTGTCTTTTAGGATGCGTCAATTTTATCATATATAAGATACAGCCCATAATAATAGAGTAAAGGAAGGTTATCACTTGCTAACTATGCTATGCTCGATACAAGGAGTTAGAAGCTATACAATAGGGTAAGAATATGTCATCAAAGCTTGCAGTCTCGACAAAGCAGAGTGAGAAGGAAAATTTGGGATCAGAACGGAGCTTACTGCAGACGTAGAATGAAGAAAGTCTGAGATTATTTAAATGATCTCATGTTCAAGGCGCCGCGGCCTCATGTCAGCGAGATTATTGTGCTAACGATCCGAATTCTCGTATGTAAGCACATATTTTTAGAGACAGTCCCTGAAAGGTTTTTAGATGAGAATTTCAAAGCCAACGCTGAAGATACGTTGGCGATTATAAAAAACAAAGGCAGGAAGTGTTTTATGCGTAATGAGACAGAGATCATTGACTATAAGAAATAAACGATTATGAAAGATGTATAAGTCATCTCTGATAAGACAAGGATCATTTTGCATTTGAATTTTGCACAGCTGCTGTTTCAACTAAGATACAAGAAGGTCGTATGATGTAGGAGAAGATCGCTGATCCTCAGCGATTAAATCTCACTGCGAATGAAATTCATGCACTTATGATATCATGCGCTTTAGCTTGATGACGAATGTAATGAAGCTTTGAAAAGCTTCACCAAGACAATGTTTTTGTATGACTAAAAACTTTAGGCACAGAATTGTTTCGGTTTTCCAGGGAACAATGCTTTATTGAAAAAGTGAAAGGTCATTCTGAAAAATTCGTGATGATGCTTTTGAAGATATACAGTTGAGAAGTGAACACAGCCAGCGCGACTTGTGGATTGTAAGGACATGGCATTTTCTTGTTTTTTTGCGGTTTTAAATACGAACAGATATTAAAAATGAATCAAAATAAGCGGTATAAAAGCTGAGTATTACTGTGCTTTCTATCACACATTTTCGTTTGTTCCAAGCTTAGTTTGAAGCTCGTCAACTAAATTTCATATTCTTGAAATCCTTTGCATTTGTTCTGAGCAAAGCGGGTAAAGTGTTCAGCACAACTCGATATGTGAGCTTAAACAAATGGGTTTACCAAGAACCTTTTGTTAGAATTTCCTTGTTTAAACAAAGTAGGGCTAGGCTGTAACCTTGCTTGTTTACAAAAGGATCAAAAGAAGTTTTTTTTTCATCTTTAGGTCCATACAGTCAGCATTGTTGGGTTGCAACTGCTGAAGCTTAGATTAGTGAAAACATTTATAGCAGGAAGAAAACGGCAAATATAAATTATCTCTATGCTTGCTTACTCACACTATTAATAAGAAGGACGGAAACACCTGATTGTGAAAAATTTCGTTTACACTAGTCTACATTATCAGTTTTTACTCTAGTGACTATCGTCCCTTCTAAAAGCAATAGTGATCATGATATCCTAGCGAAGGATATCTGACTTTCTCAAATTGATTCCATGTATAGATGATTTCACTTTGGTTGTTTCTCCTTCTTCTTCTTCTTCATGCAACATCTGCTGGAAAGCTGACCGAGGCGGAAAATGAACTACGGAAGGAAAAATGCAAGCCTGTTGAGTCACAAGGTAACGAAAGCTTTTTAGCATACATCAACATTTCTAACTAACAATGCCTAAATATCGAGCACAGGAAATTGAAGAATACTTATGCATGTCAAAAATCAGATTGCTGGTAGTGTTCGAAAAAAGTTTTGGTGATTGACTTAGGCTGATCTTTGACTTTTTTTCGTTTGTGAGGCCGACGCAAGAGTAATAAAAGTTAGCTCTACTTTTTACAATATCAGGAGAAAACCCAAATCGATTCCTATGGATTTGTGAATTTCTAAAACTCTGCCTGCGTAAGATACAACTTGATTAGCGAGACACTTTAAAAGTTTTGCAAGATGCGAAGCAGGTGAATCTGATTTTATCGAACGACGATATTGAAGGCTCATAAAAAGATACTTGTTTGTTTCATCTTCGAGCTCATCTTGTACCAGTTTGGCAGTCAGAAGTATATCTAATGATAAGAGCTCACCCCGTAGAAAAAACTTCTCCTACTCGAACAAACAGAGTAAGAGTTATGGTTCCTTCTCGAAGACACAAAGAACACAGGAGTGGCACATAAGACTAGTGTCAACAAGTTGATCCTCTATCTGACGGTCCCATGTTCTCTAAGGGGGAGGGGGGGGGGGGAGGGGAGTGAGACAAAAATTTTTCTGATAAAGCCCCCTTTTGGAGTTAGCTATGAACTACGATTTCGAAAACTTCTTGGGATGCTTCACAAAATTTTTGCTGGCCCATATCCCCTAATTAGAAAAAGGAGGCAGCTAAGCGCCGAAAAAATGTTTAAAAGAGCCGATTTGAATTTTTGATGAATTTTAGAGCTATTTCATTTATCAGTATGAACAAGTCAGTTGCTTATTTTTATAACCCTGCCATTCCACAGAATTCGCAAACCTAAGGTAGAGGGGTAGGGAGAGGGAGCCTCGGTCTATTTAACATCGATTCTTCAAGCCCTGGACCTCTACAATGATGTTAAATCGGTGGCAAATTTCATATTTTTTATCAGCTTGGATAAGCGCTATCATTACTACCATTGTTTCCAGGCGAAAGATGTTAAGAAAACATTAGAGTCATAAGTAAAAACACTTTCTTAGTGTGGGCTTAATCTGTGAAATGACGAAGCTTCCACATGAAATTTGCGAACCCAGAAATACTATTTCTATGACATTATGCACTGGCTGGAAACAAAATTATGAAAGCTATAATGTTTCCTGGACTGTATATGAATAAAAATATTTCTGTTGCTATTTATTTCACAAGTATCAGCGGGAACACGCTTCAAGAGACGGCAACCAGTCGAAGCTTCTGAATATCCCTTTGCTGCTGCCTTCTCCCGGATTGAGGGTTGGAGTTTGCATTAACTTTTTTATGAATGTAGAAGGCCTACTAATTAGTAAAAATGACCATTTGCAGTATATCATGGATACAGGGATCTCGAAACCGGAAAGACGTTAGAGTTGCACACGGAACCAGCGTGTAGCGGCGTGCTGATTTCACCTAGACACATCCTGACTGCTGCACATTGCTTATACGTCGATTACAAAACTTCGTGTTCTCAAAGGTACTCTTATAGATAGATTTTGCCTACACATGTAGAGAAGTTATAGCTTACGCCCAACGTTACGGCCAGCGGAAAGCATCGGCTTTTTCCTTCAAAGCGGCTGCATAGAAGCGGAATGTTGGAATGCGAAAACTCCCTTTAAATCCACATCTGTACGTGGACACTGGATATGGCTTTTCTTGCAGAGGTAGCTCACTTTTGAAAGCGCCATTTCAGGCAACTGTGCACCCCGACTACAAGGCTTGCGAACCTGATGCTCTTAATGGTGCTACAAACGACATCGCTGTGGTAGAGTTGAGAGAGGACGTGAATAATGATCCCATTTGCATGCCTGAGCCGAATACTGCGATCTCTAATCAAAGAGAATTCGAGTCTATTGGTTACGGAAAAGGGGGTGAGTGGACTGTTGCTTTATCTATACCATTTAGGTGAAAATCATTTCCGCATGCCTCATCAATGCGTATGTAGATATGAAACCAGTTTCGAGAAAGCTAGGGACTCGCACAACCTTGCAGAACACGCTCTTTTTGTGCTTGAGCCGATAAGCCTCGAATATCGAGGTGAAGTGCATCGAAAACATTCATTTTCAAGCTCGCAGCAGTTAACAGACCACTCACCAGAAATTCCGCAGAACGTTCGGGAAAGTTCCGTCGGGTCACCTTCAGAAGTTCCTTTAACGTGCAGCGGAAGTTCTCAAATAAGGTGAATGTCAACAACAGCAAAGGAGAATGCTTGAGCAAGACTTTAACCTTGCCCTACCGAATGCGGGAATCATTTAATATCCTCTACACTACGAATGGCGCGTTCGACACTGAACTCTAGTTGTTGGCGAGACAACATCGTAAGAGACAACACATTCAAAAACCTGCGGAAGTACTGGCAGGTTAAAGTGCTGCGGAAGTTCCATTTTTCAGAAAGTCTGACGTGAAAAATCTTGCGGAAATATCCATTCTCAACGTTTCCACTTTTACCATATCAAACAAATTCCGCGGAACTGCTGCAAATTTTGCTTGTCCTGCAGATATCCGATGAAGTGTGTGAGTGGATCAAAAACCGTTTCGACGCCTTTTTAAAAACGAGGTCCCCCCCACGACTTTCGAAAATTTCACGAAGTCCCCTTTGACCCTTGCTCTACCCCCTCCAATTGTTGCTGGATCCTTGCATTCAGTTCTTGACAAAACCAACCTGCTGCGAGCTGCGAATCTCGCGATTTTAGGTCAAACTCTCAAAGAAAAACCACAAAACCCACAAAATTTTGCTCCATAAAGTCCTACAGGTCACAGAACGATCAAAGTAGATCACGAGCTGAAGAAAGAAGAAGAAGAAGAAGAAAGAAAATGAAAAAATTATTAAAATATTGAAGAAAAAGCTAGAACTGAAAATGAAATTTCAAAAAGAGAGGATGCAGAAAAGTTAACGCTGGGGCGCGATATCTAATAAGGCGATTTTCGGAAGAAAAAGAAGATAAAAAACGACGGACAGGGGGTGATAAGAAAATGTTTCTATGCTCAGGGATAAATTCTTGGCCTGGGCATCCGTCCATGCTAAAAAGATCCAAAACTTATGTGAAGTGACGAGAATATATGCTCCTGACGATCTCAGATCGTCTGATGACCGTCTGGAGACGATCCAATTTTGGAAAAGGTATTACTTCACATAAGCTTTCAAATCTTTTTACATAATCCTTCCGCAAATAATATTCTAAGTATATAGTTCAATTTTGATGTCATAGATTCTGTGTGCGCTGTAAACAAGCAATTTGTTTCTTTTAGCCTTGCTTTCAAATCGCGCGCACTTTTCGCCATATGTGATAGAGCATGTCAACCGTGTAGCAACCTATCCGATAAGCTTGTGCTCGAATGAATGACACTTATTCTTTGTGCTCGGCTCCGACTCGTCTAAAACAAAATTCCCTGTGCTTTTTGCTCCAAAAAGGAAGTCCAGCCCTTCCAGACGATCTGTGCCGGGCCCTGACTAAAACTTCTATTTTGCCACTACATATATTTCCGCTCAGGATGTTTTATGGAATTTTGCAGCATGTTATTTCTAATGCAAAGATTTTTTTTTAGCTCAGGAACAGTCTTGGGTTGAGCGCGTGCATTTCATGAATGTCTTTTATAGCTACTACATGAACATATTCTGTTTGATAAGGCCCTCGAACGCCAACCCTTGTTGTATACTTCTATTTAAGTTTTTCTCTAGTTTAGAGAGTAAGTTAACATAAATCGCAACATTTGAACCCTTTCAATTGTAGTAGTAGATTTGTGGTAATACGGCTTATGTGTAGCTGTAGTGAGCATTATCCAGAAGTTTCCACAAAAAATCATAGTGGTGTGTAGCGCTATGCGCTAAATTGAGACTGTGTAATTGACATACCTTTTGAGAAACTGGCCTGAGGTATTTGCAACATACAAGTCTTCAGTTATGTTCGTAATGTGTGATGTGTACAAAATTTATTTTTTATAAATACAAAGACAATCAACGTAAGCGCCTGCCAACTTTCACTTCCACAAATCAAATCTTGCGATTATCATTATGCAAAGACCTTCTGCCTAAATGTTCTAAACAGTCGCACATTCCAGATGGTAAACATCGAAGAATACAGTCAGTAAGGTACGATGTTGTAAAAGAAAAGGGAAACATTATTTTCGCCTATAACGTAACGAACAAAAACGACGTCGTAGAGGTGAGTTGAAACGTACTCTCCAAAATTCTTTGAAGGCTTTGACATGAAGCTATACTGTTTATTAAAGATACCCTGAATTGCTTTCCTATTTGGTAAACACGAAGAATCACTGAAACCGTAGTATTATTTTGCTCGAGAAGCAATCGTAAAAAATGCAGCCAGGTATAGGAGCTAAGGTAGTCCAACAACTTGTATGTTTAGGGAGACAGCGGAGGCCCACTTATTCGAAAATTAAGAGGAAAACACTACCTTTTCGGGATAGCATCGAAAGGAGTAGAAGAATCCAAATACTATGGATATGGAGAAAACCCGACAATCTCTGGTACGTAAAATTTAAACCATTGCAGTAAAAGCCTTCACGCGATCGCTTGCCCTATGCTATCATCTCAAACTTTTATTGTACGAGTTTGGATTTGAAATAAGTGAGTGCAGTCTCCAACGAAAAGGTGAAAGTTGATTACCTCTATACACAAATTAGCTCATTCATTGAATATTTCAAACCTTGTACTTTATACAAATAAAGCCTTGTCAGTTCATATGTTGGCTGCAAAAATTGTGCAAAAATGAAGGGTAATATTATGTAGCATTCGAATTCTTTTTCAAGGAACTCAAATCTTGGGTTTTGTTTGCAGCCACAAATTTACAAAGTTACAAGTTTACAAGTTTTCACTCCATGCTTGAAGTGAAAGTTACAGATGATGGCCATATGATAGTAATATTATACAAAGTAGGTTTTGAGCTTAAATCAACTGCTTTTGACTTGTAGTATAATTTTTCGTGCTTCACATGCTATGTAAAAAGTAATAGAAATTCGCAGTTTGTTAGCAGACAGAGCGGAATGTTTGCAATAATGCCATGGAGAATCAATCCAAAACCGGTTCTATGAAGCATTTTCATATTCTACTCCTGCTCAGAATGAATCAAAAGCTATAGAAAATGGAACCTTTCAAAGCATTACAAATAATACTTGATTTTTCAAAGGCTCCAGCCTTCAAAAACTTGATGCTGATTATTGATCATTATAATATAAGACATTCCAGCTGGCGGTTACTTTGCCGATGTGCGCAAGCATCTAGACTGGATTTGCGTTGAATCGGGTGAGTAGGTTTCTTGAACTTCAAGATTAGCCGGCAAACTGCGTTAAACAGCTCTTCATAACCAAAATAAGGCCCAACATGAAAAATTTCGACAACTTTGAGGAACCATCTGTCGCAGAATGCTGCATTTTTCGGTTGAGTGTCCTCTATTTGCTCATTTGAATTTCTATGCAGGAGTTTGCTCTGATACAGCCAATCGTCAGAGTGAGTCAATTCCATCGCTACCATTGGAACCTCCTTTGGAATTCCAGAAGAAATTCGCTGAGAATGGCAACTATTAAGCAATCAATGATCAGCTTTTGCTCTCAGTAAATGTTGCAGCATTTCAATTTCATGATATCTACAAATAACACACAGAAGAAAGATTTAGTTATCACGAACTAGACGCGCTAAACGCACTGAACATACTTCTATATTGAATAGTCCAGTCGTTACTTAAAAGAGGAATCCACTAAAACGGCGAATTATTCTAACAAATCAACTTCTGCAACTCCCTTCTTCAAGCTCGCTTATAAGCCACCTGTACCAAGCCCTGCCACTTGTACTAAACCTTTGACATCTTCTTTGACCCCGGCCAGTTCGTTGGCGTAATTGTTGCGCTTTTCATTTCGATCTCTAGCGAAAGGTAAAGCTTATCTTTTTCTAACTGATTCGTGTGGAATGCACCACTCCCAGCATCATTCGCATTTGATAACACTGACGAAGTAATTCTTCATCATTGTCCAAGTTTTTGAAGACACGACAAAGGAAACAAGCGGGTAGAGGACTATATGTCGCCGAAAAAGGGCGGTCCCCGCGGTCATTTGCGACAAATGCGCACCCTTATATATGCGCGGACCGGACCTGGAAGAGTCCTGCGCGTTCCTGCAGGGAATCCGCGCAGGACTCTTCCAAATTCGGCGACATATAGTCCTCCACCCGAAACAAGCAAAAGCCCTTAAGCAAACATCATACATCACGCCTCGATGCATGCAGGTACATGATTGAACTCCTGAATGTTCGCAATAGATCAAGCTTCAGGAACCTAACGAAAATCATGTGCAGCTCAGATGCACCGATCTGCATCCGCGGCCGTTGTGCACAATAAGGCTTAAATTTATAGTATGATATACATAGTTGAATATAGTAACATTTGATTCAACTGGCTTGGCACCATTGGGGCGGGGTTTTGTGATCTAATTGAGGCCGCTCGCGCCCGCGACGCACCTGCGTCTCTCTCGCGCGAGTGCTCTCTGATCATTACCTAGCCTTGATTAGGTCACGAAGCCCCGCCCTTGCCGATGCCAAGCCAGTTAAAATCAGATGGCACACTTGAATATTTTTGACAAACATGCAGACGGAATGGGAATATTTGTTGAAAGATATCATGTATGCAGCTATAGTGGTCTGTAACTGAAAAAAAAGTGGACTCGCTTTATCACGAATAATGATAGCAAATGGGCGCGGGAAAGGAAAGCCAAAAGTCAGTCAGACCTATACACAAGTTCGAACGTAAAAATAAAACCTGTATAAACTTTGTATTTTGAAGAGCATCGCTATAAGACCTTTTGTTCATCATGCAACCAAAACAGGATCATGACTAGCAGTAAATGCCTTGAAGGCACCGTGTGCCCAGTGTTGGAGATGGTAAAAGTCTAATGCAAGACGTTAGCGGAGCCATTAACTATGTAAGTAAAAATAAAAATCTCGCTGCAGAAGGTGAATTCAAAACAAGAGTTGCACCAAAAGGGTGTAGCAATCGCAGCTAGGACCGCTAACATAGGTGCTCCAAAGATACTGATTTTAATAGTTGAGCAGTTCCATTTAGTATTTGAAGCCAAAATATAACAAATCATGAACAGCCGAAAAATAGCATTTTCGTCCATGAGGTTCCTACGGACCTCCAATTTCAGGTATGTGTTCTCTACATTGGACGTTCACCCATTACAGTAGGTGGAATAATTACATGGTCAGAATACGAGAAAAGATGGGTTAAAACTATGAAAATCATAATGAATATGTCGCACTTTCGAATTTTCTGCGTTAGCAATATTTCTCGAAAACTAGCAGTTACAGGAAACTGAAATTTATGGATATATTTCCAAAAGTTCTCATTTCGAGATGATCGATAGAAGCTCAAAACTGTTCTGGCAAGAGTGTGCCACGTTCCCCCAATTTCTAGCCCTAAGACAAATCGCGAAACGGTGCTTACGAATGTATTTGATGCAGAGAGTATATGCGTAAGTCGGGGGTTTTGAAAATCTTTTTTTTTCATTTTTTCGGGTGTCAAGCATTCAAGGAATTCGAATTGGCTACCAACTTCACACAAAGCAAGCTCTGTGCCAATCATTGATCTGTGTCTTGTAAAACTTTGCTGTACCCTATCACTTTAGTCGTGCTCATCCTGCAGCGATATTGCCAGATAGCAGAAGATGCGACATTATTTTCGGAACCTAGTAGTTTCGCGTTTGAGTCTTTACCTCAAACCTCATAAACCCCCTACCATAGGCATTTTGCAGATTGCTAATACAGGTCTATACCTTCTGGTAGTATAGACCTGAAAACGCTTTGACTATTTATAAATGTAATCAAAAGCTATGTTATCGTATGCGATGACTGCAAACAGCTCGAAAAGTGCTTCACTTAGTCGATATTTTAGTTTGACTAAAACAACTGAACTTACAATGTTTGGACTCAACGCTTAGAATAATAGTTGACGATGCCATTGAACAGGGGGGAGTGAGGATGATGGCAATTGACATTCATTGGAGCGCCAAAGACAGCTAGCAGGTTTCCTAACTGGTAAAATCATTACTCTTCTCATATTTTCTCAGAGTGAGATGTGAACAAAATACTAAAAATGAGTCAGAAGTGCTTGCATAAAAGCAAACTCGTCAGTCCGCTCTCTTTCATGTTTATAGCTTGCTCCAAGCTACCAATTGCTTTTCATGTTCTTGATTCCTCCCATTTTGTCTCACCTGGAGCAACTAGAGGTGTTCTATAACAATTCAATATGTAAGGTGAAGCAAACAGCTGATCCCACTAGGAGCATAGAAACTAAATTTTCCATGTCTATCCAATAAAGCGTCTCTGTGTTGTGAAAAAGGCATCACCCAAGCGTTTGCTGCTTGGTGTTTACCCCTGGCTATGATACTCAAGTACAATAGCACTTAGAATATAGAAGCAATGAGGCTGGGAGGGCGGTGGGGGTTGAACGATATAGATCACACAATATATTAACTCATACTTTCAGAACACGGAAGAACAAAGGGGACGTCCACAAAGTAATTGGCATAGAACGGCCGATAACCGTAATCTGCATCAGTCAAGTACCAATCAAATACTGTGTGCTCACTCACTTGATGGACAAAGCGGGGCTGTAAAGGTCTCATTTTTGTGCCGTTAACTTGATCTGTCAACCATCTAATTCGTCTTATCCCCAGATGACCAAAATTTGGTTGCTTCTTCTCATTTCTCATCCTGTCGCGGGAAAGCTCTTTGTCGAGGAGAATGCAGAATTGAAGGAAAGCAACTCTGGTAAGTGATCAAGTAATGCAGGAGTGCAGGTGCTGACATTTTTGAACATTTAAAAACATGCATCACAATTTCCCAATCATTGTCCATCAGAATGTCAAAAATCTGAATACAGCTTCAAGATTTTGATATTTGTTCAAGGCTTCCGATAGGTGAGTAACGGCCAACGAAAAACAAGTGCCCTGCGAAAATTCAAATACGATCTTTTATCCTCATTCTATTATTCCAAATTTCTTTATCGCCCAAGTTCTGCGGGTGAAATGTAGACTCTTCTATCTTAGCGAACTTTTGATCCTCCAAAAGTGGTACAAAACGCGAACGTTCAAATTGAATGATTGAATTCAGTTATTAGGTTCTTGTAATCCCTAGTAGTAAACGTCGATTTTCACAATAATGTAAATGTTTCAGATGGAGCCTACCTCACTAATCTGCGCAAAAATCTGGGCTGGATTTGCGGTATAACAGGTAAATACTAAACTCGCTGTAAGTACTAGTGCTCCTAAGCACCAAAGACATATATGATCAACAAGCAATGAAGCTCTTTACAACACTCGTGCTGAAGGAATAATCTGCATCAGAAACCTGCCAATCTATGCTAATGTTAGGTTGGTCCGAAAGTTCTGCCGCCTCAATTTTGGAAAATTCGTAAGTCCCTATGTGAATACTTACATTCGAGATAGAATCGTCTAGTTTTCAATAAAAATGGAGTAGAAAACGAGATAAAAAATGGAGTAGAAAACTTACACTAATTCCGGATTTTGGTCATTAGATCGTCAAAAAAAACGCTGCACAAACGCTGCACAAAAATTTGAAGCCAGGTTTGTTAAAGTCTAAGTAAGCTGCTTTATCTCATGGTCCCAAATATGTGCTGATTGAAGTTTTCGATGAAAGGTTATGATTTTCTAAGAAAGCAAGAAAATACAAGAAATCATTTTTGCCGTTCTGTGTTTGGTCGCGACAAATCTGAACTTACAATGAAAATCAGAGCAGGTTTTAATATTCTCTTGCCTGCTCTAGCTGTGCAAAGCTTTTGTTGGTTGATCGAAGTTATGATTTTTGAGTCAGTTAGTAAACAGCAAGGTTGATTTTTTTGCGTTTTCCTCGTAAATCATCACTTTTCGTAGAAAGGCTCGATCAGCACAAACTTGCCGCTCGGCACTGCTTAGAAAGAGCAGCTTACACAGACCGTAACAAACGTGTTTTAGATTTTTCTGCACTGGATTTCTGTCAATTCAATTTCAAAATCCAGGGTTAGAGTGGGTCTCCTTCAAATTTTTATCTCTGAAGCCCCTGTCCTCGAAGATCGCAAAGGTTATCAAAAACTAGATGAATTCTTTGTACCTAGGATACTATTTGGAAGTAATTGTGTTCACATAGGAAGCAGTTACGAATTTTCTAAACTCAAAGCGACAAAACATTCGGATCAAACAAGTATAGGACAGGGTGTCCCAAAAGTATGCATACATTGTTCGATTGTTGATAATTTTCTTCTCTAAAAGTCTTTTTTTCCTACTTTCAAAAACCATGTAGCTGGCTTTGTTCAGAACTACATATGGAATGAATCACCAGACATTTCACATTACTCTAAGATTACGGTAGGATTGAGAGCGCTATTTCGTGTCAAAGAACAAAGCAAACTACCTGTAAACTCTTACTCTACGCTAATTAGAGTTACGTACTAAAATCAAATACTAGGTCGTTTCGAAAGTTTTTTCCGTGTCTTCAACCTATCATAAAAACACGTGGAATGAAGCTAGGGAAACGCCTAAGGCACTATCCGACGCATCTTTCCTTCCTCTTTTCAAATGACATATTCCTGTATCGCTTGCTCTTGTGGTCAGTGAGGTAATGGCCGAAATTTCGAACCCATGGTTCTTACCATGTCCAACTTTGGCAATTTTTCACAATCTTCTTTTTTGACTTTTGGAGACGCTTTGATAGCATTCAGATAAAGTAAAAGAGTGCATTTTCATGCAATTTTTGGCACCTATAGCTAGCCTCAAAAATTCTTTAGATTTATTTTTCTAATGCTATCAAATTCCACTTTTGGTGATGCCAAGAACCATAGGACATAAAACGGCGCAGAACTAAGCCGTCGTTTGATGCAGCTTTTTCTCCGCCTTCTGTTGAGTATTTTTCTTCCCAATTTGTAGGGGTTTCTGGCGGTAAAACCTCCATAATTCTTATTTTTGAGCCCGCCTAAGGGTGTACACTTGGAATGCAAAATCTTTTATTTCGGGGCGGTAAACACTCAGTTACTTTTTAAAAATAGTGGACAATTTTAAAGGACTTTTGAAAGTGTCGAAGTCCGAACATTTGTTAATGCTCAGAGCGTTTGTGTGTTTTGTGACTTTGAAAAATGAAGACGTCTGGAAAAGTTATCTCAAAAGATACTGAGAAGCCATTTGAAATCGCTAAAAAATTGCATTAAATTGCACTTTGTTTACTTTATCTGACTGCTATCAAAGCTTTTCCAAAAGTCAAAAAAGAAGATTGTGAAAAATTGCCAAAGTTGGGCATGTAAAAACCATGGGTTCAAAATTTTGGCCATTATCTCACTGACACAAGAATGAGCGGCACATGAATATGAAATTTGAAAAGAAGAAGAAAAGCTGCGTCGGATAGTGCCTGAGGCGTTTTCCTAGCTTCATTCCACGTGTTTTTATGATAGGTTGAAAACCGGAAAGAACTTTCGGAGCGACCTAATATAAACTTTGCATTTTCTAACAGTGATGAAGACTGTTTGGTGATTTGCTTTATGCTGTGAAGCTGAAGCTGAAGCTAACTCTACAAAATGGTACCTGGAGGTAGGCAGAAGCCTCTTGGGAAGAGAGATATCGAACAAACAGTGCATACTATTTTGGGACACTTCGTATATAATCTCCCTATATATCAATATTTGAAGCCTCAGTAAAAACTAAAAGGTTCCCGGAAACGATCCTCTGGCGTGTTTGTGCATTCTTTGGATAATAGTCCTTGATGTTTGCTTACTCAATCTTATCTCTATGCAGGAATGTGCTCTTTGTCTGGACCAACCAACCATCAGCTTCCGCCATCGGAACTCGCTGCTCCATTTTGGCCCTATATTCTTTCAACGCCACCGCCAGCTATCTTCGGTCCCGCTTGGCCCCCTTTTCCGCTCCCAACGCCACCGCCAGCTATCTTCGGTCCCGCTTGGCCCTTTTTTCGCTTCCGCCAACGCCACCGTCAGCGGTCGCTGTTAAATCAATTTGGCCCTATGTTCCTTGAAACTAGCAATTGAAAGCTGGTTCTAGCTTTAACGATCGTTTCATGCATCGTTCAGATTTCATCTTGAATGACTGGCACATAAATAAAGCTTTACTCGTTGTGTGTTGACCATATACGAAGACGTGGATTTCATACTCCTCAGTGACCTATGGACATTTACACAAGCTCTAATCCCATAAATTGCTTAATCACTGAATCAAACAGTAGTGCACATAGTTCGCTTCCCATGGCTTTTGTAAATATACTATGTTATAGATATCTAGTAGTTGCTTCCCGGCTCATGCGCGGGTTTCTATCAAAAAAAAAACTCAAAACCTCTTCAACCTATCGCCACAGCTACCCCTTCTAATACTCCATTGATATTGGTGGTGATTGGATCGTATGTATAGTACGGGGTGTCCTAGGAAAATGTCCTCACTGTTTGATTCAAAGTATTTCCTATTTAATGTCATTTGCCGGCCTTTTGGCACCGTTCTTTTGTAAAGCTTGCTCGAACATAGATTCACAGTATGGAACAAATAGCTAATTGCTCTTCGTTACTACAGGATTATGGGAACTTCCAGTATAGCTATTTGTATGCCCAGGCCATCGCACACGCGTGGCGCGTAGTCCGTAGCGATTGTGAGGATGGAAAGAGGAGTACGCGATTGACACAGGCTGTACGTCACTCTCGTAACAAGCTGAAGGGCAAGTCGCAACCTTTGACGCATCAGTGTACCATGACATTCCCGTTATACTTCAAGCATTAAGATTACTCAGCCTTTTTTCTAAGACTGCTAGAATTGGAAGACTTAATATGCCTTTCGATGTTAGTCAGCCGCTTAGTTTGGGTTTGCAAGGCGCATTTGTAACACACATTCTGTGCTTCAGTTTTCTTCTTTCTCTTTACGGGCGTGCACTGCGGTATTGATTCAGATTTTCAAATGCCCAAAATGTTATCATAGCGGTAAGCCTGGTTCGTCATAATCTAATCGACACACCTGTCAGTGGAACTTCTAGGCATGCCTCTCAGTGTCAAAGCGCATCGACAAGTGACCAACTTCTACCTGCTATTCTACCCCCAATGCTAATGATCTATGGAAAGGAAAAAACGCCTAAGAGTACAATTACATATTGCTTGTAGTGTGCTTGTTTGACTATGTTACTGACTCGTCTCGTTGACCCTCCAACTCATGATGCTATTTGTAGCACCCATAAAGTGCAGGCAAATAAGCAGGCTATAGGCTTTTAGGCTATATCTAAGAATGAGATCGCAAATTCATCGACTTACTTGTCAAAAAAAAAACAAGGGGTATGAATTCAAGGGGTATGAATTTACAAACGTAGAAAAATACAAACGTCGAGAAACCAAATCACGCACCCTGGTTGCTCTAAAGGCAATCGCTCCAATGCAATCCGCATGCCATGGGGCGCGCTATCTGCGGAATTAGTAGGGGAGAGTGATCCTAATTGATCCACCACCTTACATGTTGCACAGATTTGAAAACTTGTGGCAGACACATTTAACGACACATTTTACATGAAAGCGCCATATTACATGCTTGTTTATTCCGAAAATCGAAGTAATAAATGTTGAGAAATTGTCACGGCATAATTTTATTTTTGAATCAATTTCTCTCTACCTTTCGTGTCTCATCCATGTCTCTCCACCTCCACAGAAGGTTGTGTGGAAACTGTTCACTTGATAATCCTGCACAGATACAATATCAGCATGTATTTTTTTCTATCTGAACTAAAGTTGTACTTCTTCTTCATCTCGACTTCTAAATCATGATGTGCCCATTACGCGAAATAGAGGAAACACAGATAATCGGGACAATCGGTCGGTTAAGCTTTTTCAGATGTGTAGGGACCAGGGTCAAGCAAGGGTGGCACACGATCGCTGGTTACGACCCCCCCCCCCCTGACTGCTGTCTCAATAAGACCCCCCCTAAATTATATACCTAAGATAGCAGATTACCTAAGATTACCTGAAGGCCCTGTCAAATATAATGGGCAACATATCTATAATGAGCATGTCAATTAACCCCTGTAGACAAAGTTTGAGCGAATTCTGAAGATTCAAGATACAGAACTTTCAGAACAGAACAGATTTCAGAACTCTCTCACTCTTTTCTGAAGCCCTAGCTGTGACTGCTATGACGTTGGGTAAAGAACATTTATCTCAGATGAAGCATTTCGACCTTTGGTACTCTGCTCATAATTTATGCAGTAATCAACAGCAGTTCAGATATGTCATACAGTAAGTAGCATTGCCCACTTATGTTGATCACGCCAAGTCGCGGCAATTATTATCAAAACATAATTTGTAGATTAGCCGCTCTGATACATTTGTCAAATTTTCTGTGTGTTGAAAACGTGAATTTTCCAAAGATGTCCATTACCGTCCATAATGTCGATACTCTGTGACATTGTGCACCTGCTCTTCCCGATTACCATATGTACAGATGTGCCTACTTGGGCTGCTCCTTCTTCTACTTCATGCGATATCTGCGGAAAAGCTCACCAAGGAGGAAAACGAATCAATGAAGCAAAAGTGCGTGCTTGCCAAGTCACCAGGTAATGAACGTGGTCTAACGTTTCTCTGACCTAAAATGATTTTCTGAACATAGAGCCTTGATAATCTAACAAGAAGGTCAGAAATCGAAATGGCTAATGCAAACAGGCTGCAAACCATTAGGTCTAAGGCCAGTGGCGGTCCCAGGATTTCGGACGGGTGGGGGGGGGGGCGACAAAAATTTTTCTTAAATGAAGGTGCATGGCATTAGCCATGCACTCCGAAAAATTTTTTGGGGTGCTTCTAAAAATTTTTGCGAGTGCCCCGAAAAAAAATTTTTCATACGGCTAATTTGAATTTTTAAAAAATTTGAAAAATTATTTAAACAAACTACAAATTAAACAAGTCGTTTGCACATTTTCATAACCCATATAGGTAAGTTTCAAACCGTAAGAACTGTTGATAATTGGTCGTCGGAGCGCTCTGTTAGGGCAGAACTTGATCATTTCGCAACAAATTAGAAAAGCTACGTGCCCATGTATTGGAGAACCGCGCAAGTTTAATTTGGAAACTTCTGGCAAACTGCCAGGTTGCGTAAACGTCGCAATTTGGCCGAATCGCGCGAGGTATGCCTTAGGCCTTAGATGCAGCATAAAACGCTGATTACGAATCTGTGTTCCATATCTGCTTAGCGCCTAGGTGGGGGAAGTTATGAGCCGTCAAAGGCCGTTATATTGCCAAAAAATCGCTTATGCAAAACGCAGATTTGGCAGTACAGTGGGTAGAAAAAGTGTTCGGCTTATTGATGGCCCAAAAGATGTAGCCCAGCTGATTAATTTTTTTGGAGTCTAAGGCCTCGGGCAAAGTTTACGCGATTTAATCGTCGCGATTCAATCACTAAAAGACAACTGTTACGAGTTCATTGCACGCCGATCAGCTTGCATTTCGGTTGTGAACTTTTCCAGCTCGAAATTTTTGGATGTAAAGTGAAAACATGAAAATCGCGGCGATTAAATAGCGACTATCAAATCGCGTGAACTCTGTCTGAGGTCTAAGGCCTAAGGCATACCTCCCGCGATCCCAGTCGCGTCGCAAACTCCAACTCGGACATATGTTCATACATATGACATACATAAGTTCTTGGAGCCTATTTTGCTAGTGTCTTCACTTCTACGGACAGTAGTGCACCTGATGTTGGCAATATTCATGATGTGCGAGGGAAATTGTCCTCAATCTTCTTTGAATCGCATGAAGTCTGCCGAATTCTGAAGCACCTCAAAAACTCCGCTACTGAAACATATGACGGCATACCTCAGATTGTATACAAGAAGTGTTCCTCATCTCTGGCCACACCATTAGCACATATTTTCAACATATCCATGTTATTAGGAGAGGTACCCGCACTTTGGAAGCACGCCCTTGTAACACCCATCCCTAAGGTCCAGGGCGCTAGGCGGGTGAGGGATTTTCGCCCTATTAGCTTGCTGCCTACACCTGCAAAAGTCATGGAGAAGTGTATAAGAGATAAGCTTGTGTCCTGGCTTGATAAAGCTGGTATGGTCCCTGCTGAGCAGCATGGTTTCATCAATGGTGCCTCGACGACAACAAATTTGGTTGACAGTATTTATGACTGGACTCTTGCCTTAAATAGTAAAAAATGTGTGGATGTGCTTTATATTGATTTATCTAAAGCATTTGATAAGGTCTGTCATGATATGCTAGTGAAGAAACTCAAAATGATAGGCGTTGATGACCCGCTGCTCGCATGGTTTGATTCGTATCTGCACAACCGCTATATGACTGTAAGAGTTCATGACCGATTTTCGGATACCTATTCTTGTGCAAGTGGTGTTCCTCAAGGAGGAGTTTTATCGCCTATATTATTCCTCATATATACTATGGAGTTGCCTAACTTACTCCATACTTCTCAAAAGGTTAAATTGCAAATGTGTGCAGATGATATAAAGATATAGAATGTACGATGTAGAAGATCGAAAGGTTCAATCAGCTTTACAATTGTCTCTTTCCAATCTGGTTGAATGGGCAACGACTTGGAATCTAACACTCAATCTTGACAAGAGTTGTGTACTGCATATAGGAAATGGTTGTGCAGGTACTTATGTGGTTGAGGATCTTGCGTTGAGGTCATGCGGCTCAGCTAGGGACTTGGGAGTGCTTGTTGATGCTAAACTAAAGTTTTCTGAACATATCGATGCTGCTGTCAGAAAGGCTTACACCTCCCTATTCGTGCTCCTGCGCACCGTAAGGAGTAACTCGCCTGCACTAGTGACGCGTCTCTACAAAGCCCTCATTCGCCCCCATCTAGAATATTGCTCCCAAGTTTGGAATCCTGCCCGGAAAAAAGATATTTGTAAAATAGAAAAAGTGCAAAAAACATTCACGCGTCTCTTGTACAAGCGACCCTATTCTGATAACAGTATACCAGATTATAATGTATGGCTTAGAATGTTCAAATTACATAGTCTTTCGTTTCGTCGCAATCTCTCAGATTTAGCGTTTTGTTTTCAAGTTTTAAAGGGTGAAAATCGGTTGAAGGCAAGTAAATATTGGATATTCATGCCAGCTAGTGAAAGGTCGGGAGGATTTAATTTGCATTACGCCAAAGTCAAAAAGCACAGTCTTGCAAAAATGCACAGTAACATATTCTGCAGGTCTGCTAGATGGTTTCAGCGGTTGCCTATGGATGTTATGTGTTCTCAGACTGCACGTTCCTTCAGGGCTAAGTTGATGAGAGCTGACGCACAGCTTTCATCCCTAAGCTTTTTGGAATGATTTTAATTTTGTCGTTTTTCAGTTACCAGTTCTTGCTCTTCTTGGCTTTATGGCTGTTGGTATTACTAGCATGTCGGTTTTCGATCCGCACGGTCATTTTTCGGAGCCGAGTCCTGGTGTTCTTCAGTTGCAGCTTGATTCTGTAGCCTGGTTTTATTTATTGGTTGTTACTAACCTTAAACATCATTAACTAACAACTGAACCAGCCCGGCTCATTCGTCAGAAGTTTTATCACACCTTACTGCCTTAAAGAAGCCTAGTTTCCCATCTAATGCACTCTTGTGTCCGCCTAATGAAGTGCCTTCCGGAGTAGTTGGTAGATGTTTACCTGCCACTCTTATTCTGAATCTTGCTTCCTCTAAAATTCAATCTTTAATGGGGTCAGGTCAGCTAGCCTTACCGGCGGGCTCGTTGACACCCAAAAACGGGGCATCTTTGATTTTAGAGTGTGCAAGATTCATGTGATTGTTTTTGATCAAGTTACTTTCGTTCAACTTTACAAGCTGGGTCTAGAGCTTCGAGTTCTGTTTTATTCCGTATTTTCTTTTATCTTCTCTTGCGGCTGAGGACTGGCTGGTCTCACTGTTTTGTTTGGATCTTCATTTCTTTGCTCTGGTGCACCTCGAGTGTATTTATAAAATAAAAAAAAATAAAAAATGTTCCGAGTCCGCAGCGCAACTGTGTGGTCCCGCCGCTCTGTGTTAAATTGACGCCGCGACGGATCGCGGGCCGTTTTTGGACGGGCATACCTCGGCAGGGAAATCGTCACGACATCGCTGAAACTCAGCGATGTCGCCGTCGCTAGGTCCGACCCAGCGATGAGCGAATCGCTTGGATAGCTTCTTCTTTGTTATGAAGTTTTGTATTTTTTTGCAAATGCAAATTTCATTTAGGACTATTCCATCTCACACAAGCCCTTCCTCTCTGCATGAGAGAAGGTAGGTCATCGAACATTCCATACTATTAATCCTTGAAAACAACACATGCGAGTTATATAGTATGGAATGCTTCCCACGTCACCTCACCCTCTTAGCATTTACCGTTCTCGTAATGTATTAATCTTCTCCTGTTCTTGTTTTTTGATTACAAATAGTGACCGAATCTCGTATGTTCATGCTATAATTTTCCGATATGGATAGAATAGATGTGGAATCTCGATCGCTCAGACATATATCGTTCATTGTCTGACTAAGAGACACGATCACGCTTCGCGTACGTTCCATCTATAAGTTGCTAGTGCGTTTTAAAGCGATGTGGTAAGTCAGTATTGGGAATTCGTGCATAAACGTGATCGATCTCGCGTTGTTTCACGAGCTTGAACATGTCTCATCAAGAACCTTACTCGTAAACTTATTAACTGAACTACGCAAAGCTTGGTGGTGTCTTTTGTCAAGTCAGAGAATGAATGATTTGTATAAGCATTCGCAGATTGGCAGAGAACTTGCGGAGCACTCTTGTTGAAACCCTACTCAGAGTTTTCTACAAGGACGAAAGCATGATCTTACAACGAAGCTAACCTATATGCAACCAGTGACTGAAAGAGAACTCAAAAACTTTATGAAGTAGTTGCTGGTTTATCACAGATGTAACTACTAAACTTGCGCCAGTAGAAGAACGTCGGTAAAACTGGGATGTGTGTAAATCCATATCCTTTCTTGTTTGATGTAATGTTCTCTTAAAGCGTATGGCGCCACATTCTGCTCGAATTCTCTCGAATAAATGCATTCAGAGAATTTAGCGCAAGTTCTCCAAAACTGCGTGTAATGTGGTGTGGTGTGTGAGCGTTCACAAAATCGCTACGGGTATGCCCAAGAACCGAGCGATGAGCGATTTTGACGCAGTGGACGGTCGCTCCGGCAGTCTAGTCGCAGTGATCGAGAATCGTGACGATGGGGTCGCCGGAGGTATGCCTTAGGCCTTTCTAAAGGTGGTCTGAATCTGCTATGCATGCGGTCTTTATAAACGATTTCTTCGCAATAAAACTGCTCATTACTTCTTTCACAAAAGCGTTAAGCAGATACGGAATACAGATTTGAAATCAGCTTTGAATGCTGCATCGAACGGTAGGCAGCTTGCTTGGATTGGCCTCTTCAACTTCTAACCATTCCCTCGTAGGAACGCTTGTACTTGCCAGAAATCATGGTCGAATGTATTAGGTTGATTCATAATTAATGCACGTTTTTTGAAATTCACCTTCAAAGCGCCGTAATTCTTTTCCCACATCATCTTTCAAAGAGCAATAAGGGCTGTTGCAAAGAGCAAATCTTTG